AACGAACTCTCGTGAGCGCGAGTCAACGCCGTGAGCAAGGTAAGAAGGGGGATTGGCGGAAGCAGCCTGTCCGCGACAGCACGAGTGTCGGACAAGACTGAGAGAAAGCGTGCGGCAGCTGAATAGTATTGCCTGCAGCACGTTTCTAGACTGAGGGGAGAATGCGAAGCGGACTGCGTTCAGGCGATGCTCTCTCTCACCTATACTTGGAAAGGGGAAGCCAACGCACATAATTGAATCTCCCTTCGATAAAACATTCGAGAAAGAAAAGGCTGCTTTTCGTCGTTTTGCATTAGCAAAGCCGTCCTTTGCGCATAGCCACTAGGATCGAACCCCATTTGTTTTGGTTTGTGCGTTAACTGTCGGTCTCCCGCCCGTTCATCAGCTCATGGTTATCCGCGTCCCGACGATCCGTGTTTCCGATCAGCAGATCCTCTCTTTAGATGATTGGCAGATGTGCGTGTGCTTTACTTACGAATTGTGCATTCTTCTGACTGTATCGGGTGTGCGCCTTCTCGGACACGCGGTTATTGCTTTGACAGGTCCTGATCCAAGATGACGGCGGCTTTGATATTTCCCGTTGCTCCTTTTCTGGTGGACAGACGTCACATCTCGTTGGTTTACAAGCGAGCAAGCTACTCTTTGCCTGAGACTTGTCCTAGAGCAAGGGGAAACTTACTCGTGGAAGGTGTGCTTGCTTTCCGCTGTGCTTGTGGACCGAAACAAGGCTGTAACAATAGCGCTGACTAGAACCGGGTTCGCGCGCGGGAGCGACAACACATTGGCAGGAACATGTTTCTTGCCCATTTCGGGCAAGCACGTGGTATCTCTTCTTCTCGCTCACTTACACTCTCTTTCGATTTCTCTATGCAGTGTCCCAACGGCACTGCGAGGTTGGTCCGAGGTTGGTCCGAGCCCCTGAGCCTCCCCTTTCAACCCGAAAACTCCAAAACACGCTCGTCCAGCGCAGCCTCATCACGACTCAAACCTCATCATCTTGTCGAAGAATAAAATCATAACCGAAGCCACGGCACACCAGAACCGTCACGACGTCCTGCAACGCAAGACTTAGGCGTTTCCTTACTATCCGCCCAGATGGCGTGATTCGAAAAAGGGTCTCTACTCGCGCGCGTCGTGATGCTCAGTCCAGTCTGGGGCTCAGCTCTCTTCCATCCACAACCGCCATACTCATCACCGGCTGCCTAGCCGTGACTAAGTCGTCGTCGCAAAATGAAACAGCACAGCTACTCGAGGCGGTCCACTCACCCACTCTCTCCTCACCCACTCACCCACCTCCTGTCAAGCTCCAACCCCTTTTGTCACTTCCGTGACATGGCTTTTACGTTTTCTTCTAGCTTCATGACCACGGGGAGGGGCCCTGTGGGCGTCGGCCGATGTCAAGGGTACCTTGTGCTGTCAGCCCGTCTCTCTCTCTCTCGGAACTCGCCCCGGGGCCGCCTGCCTCCCATGTCTGTAGGAGGAAGCTTCCCAAAAGAAGCATGACTCCCATTCACTCTCCGTGGCGGACTCGTGCAAGACGCATCGCGTGTAACAGGTTGTTCTCCACCACTTGAGACTGGTGAGGTAACAGTGAAGCGGCTCTGTCGTCCGACGGTCCAACGTTCCGTACCTTGTCATCTGGTATAAGTAAGAGCCCTCCCTCGGCTTCAAGTTGGATATGAGACTCAGAGAGAACATCGCAATCTTATCTCGCTCTCTCGCCACTACCGTACTACTTCGCGGCCTGGTGCCTGTCTTGATTGCATTTTATACTTCTTTCTTTCCATCAGGGAAACGCCAGGGCGTCGACTTCTCTTCCGGCTTGCACTGTACCATTTTCTCTCTCTCAGAGACTTGAACACGACGGCAAGCTTGCTATAGTCCCACCCCAGACACCATGGTCCGTCTATCTATCGCTTCCACGGTGGCCTGTGAGTAACCCTAAATCTCTTCCCCCTGGGGATGTTCATGCGGGAACTTCCGGCTAACTTGTCAATCCCAGTGGCCTTGACTGCGTATGCCGCTGCGCCTGTCTTCACCACCCCAGAAGCTCGGGCCGTGCAGAAACAAAACAATGTCGAGTGCAAGCTAGACAATGAATGCCAGTCCAATTGCTGCGCCGTCCAATCCGGCGGCAATAACAACATCTGCTCCACACGAGAGGATGCCGAGGCCAAAAAGGACCAGAAAATAGGATGCGAGGGCACTCTAAAGCAGAATGGCGGCGGCGGGCAAGCCAACAAGGGCGTCAAGCAAGCCCAGCAAATCCGGGGGGGGGGGGGGGGGGGGGCAAGCTCAGCAGGCTCAGGGACCGCGGGGGCGCGGGGAGCCCAGGTGGGGGCAGGGACCGCGGGGGGCGCAGGGGTCAACCAGAAAGTCGACCAGAAAGCCAACCAGGGCGTCAAGCAAGCCCAGCAAACCCCAGGGACCGCGGGGGGCGCAGGGGTCAACCAGAAAGTCGACCAGAAAGCCAACCAGGGCGTCAAGCAAGCCCAGCAAACCCCAGGGACCGCGGGGGGGCGGGGAGCCCAGGTAGCCCAGGTGGGGGCAGAGACCACTAAGCAGGTCAAGAAAACCAACCAAGCAGGGACCGCAGGGGCAGGGGCTGGGGCAAGCTCAGCAAGCGCAGGGAGCGCCGGGGGCGCCGGGGGCGCCGGGAGAGCCGGGGGCGCGGGGAGCGCGGGGAGCGCAGGAAGCGCCGGGAGCGCCGGGGGCGCAGGGGGCGCCGGGAGAGCCGGGGGCGCGGGGAGCGCGGGGAGCGCAGGGGGCGCCGGGGGCGCCGGGAGAGCAGGGGGCGCGGGGAGCGCGGGGAGCGCAGGAAGCGCCGGGAGCGCCGGGGGCGCAGGGGGCGCCGGGAGAGCCGGGGGCGCGGGGAGCGCAGGGAGCGCCGGGAGAGCCGGGGGCGCGGGGAGCGCAGGGAGCGCGGGGAGCGCCGGGGGTTTTGCGGGGAGCGCAGGGAGCGCCGGGGGCGCCGGGGGCGCGGGGAGCGCAGGGAGCGCGGGAGCAGGTGGTGCTGATGCTGCCGCCGGCGGTGTAATTTGATTTTAAAGCATACCGCGAACTGGCCGACGCAGACTTGTCAACGTCGACAGGGCCTTCGAGGTTCGCGTCTGGGTCGTTATCAAATCAGTTAGATTTGGAAATGATAGAGTATGTTTTGCTGTTGACGAGTCTTGGGGTTGAGACTAATCGTGAACGTTTTGAGCATTTGGCTGTGGCAATTCCGTGCCTTGGCCCAAAGAGGAATGAGGGTGAGCTACAGGAGGAAGATTCGCCTTGGCCAGCATTGGGCCACAAGCTGCCGACGAAGACGCTGGCATCCACGAAACCAGCCGCCGACGCTGCCGAGCAGCTTCGGTCAGGGCTTGTCGTTACTTGACCGACCCGTCACACCGTCTTGCCGTCCGGGCATAGAGAGGCGAGAGTATTTTTCCTAGGGTGAGCAGGGCCCAGAGATGGATGACCCAGACAGTGACAGGGAGCATACGTAGCCGCATTCCATCTCCACCACGGCCAGTTCGTCTTGCACTATCTATATGACAGCTGACAGCGAGGCGACTTGCTCCCTAGGTAGCGTCGAGCCTGGTCCCCGAAGGGCTTTGCTTGAAAGCGCCCGCAAGCGTCCATGGCCAGTTTCCACTGCTTGACTCGTCGCAGCATCGTGTCGACTCTGGCTAGAAGAGGCGCATCCGCCGCAAAATGGAGAAAGCTTGGTATAGAGATGTGGTCGTGGTCTGTCAATAAAGGCCATGGTCCGCGACGCGTCAGAACCAGGAATAGGGGCGTCCCGGTCAACAGTTTGTCCCTCTCGAAAAAGGCTGGCGCGGCCGACGACAAGGACAGGCAAGCGTCGGCGTCTGCAGTCTCGAGGGCCGAGCCGACGCATGTATCCCGGCCGGCCGTGCGGCTGAAGTGGAGAGAGGGCGACGAGAGGTTGGAGGATGAAGAGGGCAAGAGGGCAAGAGGGGAGGTTGAGTCACTCGCCGAGCAGAGCATGTGACCGGCACGTGACCCACACACCTCACTCTGCAAATAAAGAGAACAAATATTCTTCGGCTCTCGTGCTCTCCCCCTCCCTTCCTAAGACGATAAACCATTTCAATCGCAGTAAAAGGCGTTTTATCTCCACGGTGCTGGCCACTGCCGGCCGCGCTAACAGCAAGCGCCCGTTGCCGTCAGCGGGCCGTTAGTGGAGCCCCCGACTCGGAAAGCGCCACCATCCACCGGCTACCGACCCAATAGGCGGTAGAAGTGGATCTCTGCTTCATCAACAGCGCGGCAACAGCGCGGCAACAGCGCGGTACGTCGGGCTCCTCTCTCGCCGTCTTCCCGGCAGATGATGATGTGTGGATTCACTCGCCGATCTGAACCTTCAGTGTGGATTCTCTTCCTTGGGCAATGGTTTCGCCCGCGAGTCTGACTGCCGTGCTTCCCAGGCCCTTTGTGCGACGACGGATGCTCGGTGGCAGGATGAGATGCTGACCATGCCGTACGCTGCCAGTTTTCTACCTATCGGCTACGCGCCGACGCCGAAACGTGCTGCGACGGCTGTTGGGATCCGATCTTCCCACACGCTCTCCATGCTGGTTGGTGATGGCTTTCATCGGAGGCTTTCTCACGAGAAAAGGTGACTTTGTTCCGCTTTAGACGGTGTTACTTCCACCGCCTTTCAACTGCTTGTAGCCAAATGCCCTTCTCTCTTCCTCTGGGTCTACTCAATACGGCCATTTCATTCCTGACATGGATCGTGTCGCTGCAGCACAGTGCGTTGCAGACTCGGGCGGGGCTTGTTGAGATTAGATCAAAAGATCAGATAAGCGTGTAACTTACTCGGTACACAGATCCGTCTCCAGCCTCCTCGCACCGACGAAGAGCCGACGGCGGCCGAGTTGCGTGGTTTTAGGGCCTTTGACCAGCGTGGCCATATCAGACAGAGCTTGCATCTGCCGCATCAACTGTGCACCTGATATGCCAACATGACGGAAACAAGCGCACAAGACATGCCCGGCCCTCGAGCCCAGCAAGACCACTACGTCGCCCTCAACGCCAGGGTCTACCAGTCGTCGACGAATGGCGAAGCGCCAACCTTTGCCGAGTGCATGGTGGTCAAGGACAGCATCATCCAGCACGTGGGCGCAGCGACGGACCACGCCGTGGCCACCGCCCGGGCCGCCGGCGCCCACGTCCGGGACATGCAAGGCCACACGGTCCTGCCCGGCTTCATCGACGGCCACCTGCATCTGCTGCTCGTCGGCCAATCGCTCAACAAGGTCAGCCTCGACGACTGCAGGTCCCTCGACGACATCCGCACCGTCATCGCCCAGTACGCAAGGGCGCATCCGCACGTCTCCCGCATCTTTTGCCGCGGCTGGATGCACTCGATGACGCCCGCCGGCGTCGACGCCTCCCTGCTCGACGACCTGGACTCGAGGCCCATCTTCGTCGACACAAAGGATCTGCACTCGACCTGGTGCAACACGCCCGGCCTGCGCGAGGCGTGCCGCGTCATGAACATCTCCTCGGACACCCCGGACCCAGCGGGCGGCAACATCCAGCGCGACGCGGCCGGGCAGCCCAACGGCGTCTTCAACGAGAGCGCCGTCTTTCAGCTCATGTGGCCCTTTGTCGCGAGGGTCACGTCCGTCGACGAGAGGAAGGAGGCCATCAAGGCTGCCTTTACCGCCTTCAACGCCGCCGGATACACGGGCATGATTGACATGGCCATGGACGACAACATCTGGGAGCCGCTGATGGAGCTGCGCAACAGCGAGGGCGCCTTCAACAACATGCGCGTCGCCGCTTACTGGCTCATGAAGCCAGAGGGCTCCCTGGACCAGGTGCTCGCCCAGGTAGACCGAGTCGCCGCCCTCGCCAAGCAGTTCCACGCCGACACAACGCCCGACTGCCGCATTGTCGGCGTCAAGGTCATCTGCGACGGCATCGTCGACGCCTGCACGGCCTCGCTAACAGAGCCCTACTCCACCGGCCAGCACCCAGACCCGATATGGCGCCAAGAGGTGCTCGACGCCCTCGTCGCCCGGGCCCACACCGCAGGCCTCCAGGTCGCCCTGCACGCCATCGGCGACAGCACCATCCGCATGGCCATTGACGTGCTGGAGAGGAACACGGACCGATCGCGCAGGCCGCGCATCGAGCATCTCGAGCTCGCCTCGGCCCACGACGCCGCGCGCCTCGGAAAACTGGGCATCACCGCCTCCATCCAGCCCGTACACTCGGACCCGGCCATCCTGCGCGCCTGGCCGCGCCTCATCGGCCCCCAACGCTGCGAGCGCGCCTTTGCGTATCGCGACTTTGCCGACGGCGGCGCGCCGCTGGCCCTCGGGTCCGACGCCCCCACCGCGCCGCACCAGCCGCTGCCGAACCTGTACGTGGCGACGACGCGGCGTTCATTTCGCGAGCCGGAGCTGGAGACGGTCGTCAACGCCGAGTTTGCCCTGTCGATCGGCCAGGCCGTTGCGGGGGCGACGCATGGCTCAGCCTACTCGTGCTTTGCCGACCGGTGGACGGGGAGCTTGCGGCCGGGGCTCAAGGCCGATTTTGTCGTCTGCCAGGTAGAGCTGACGCCGGACAAGCTCGTCCAGGGCCGAGTCATGGAGACGTGGTTTGAGGGCAAGAAGGTCTATCCGGCGTAGCTGCACGCTCCAGATCAATCAACGGGTAAAGTTCGCAGTCCATCGTCAGGTCGGGGAGTGCATCGCGTTGTGCTGCAGGGCATTCGGCAATCCTGCTGTCAGATGCTCTCACCACGGGCTGGCGGAGTTGGCCGGGAGATGAGTGAACAGCCAGCCGCGTCTCCAGATACATGTGCCGGATAGTTGGGCAACGATTGTCGTGTCATCGAGGCTGGTTTCGTAGCCTTGTTGACCGGATACTGCGTGCGTTTGTTCGGTATGGGTTCCGTGTAAGTCGAGATCGAGGGACACAAGCCAACATGCGCTCTCAAGCCCTGCTTGTCTTTCGTTGTAGACGGGTCATGATGTGAAGATATGTGTCCGCACTGAATTTAAGTTCCGCCGCATCGTCTGTATGTTGATGTATTTTTCATTCGACACGGCGGTATCTCAATCGGCGAGGCTTTGGGGCGCCTAGGTCCGGTCTTGCCATTCTGAGTGAGTCCGACTAGGATGGGGCACGCCATACTTCGGGTCCAGGTCCGGCAAGATAGCGAGGGCGTATAAGTTAACGCCAACGCAGCGTGTTCACTGTTCAGATTGAACGTGTCGAATAATGAGACTGGAGTCGATTCGCGTCGTTCGCTGGGCCTGATGATTCTCGGGCGGATAAAAGTTGGCCCCCCTCCGCTGAAATTTCCACTCCGAGCACGCCCAAGCCAGCCCGCCACCACCACCACCAGCAATCCTCCCGCCTTTCGCCCGCCATCGCAGCATCGCAACACCGACGCAAAACACACGACCGCCGACTCGTCCCCAGCCACCCACGGTCGCCCAATCGATTCCGAGCCTGTCTCCCCCCCCTCGCCAAACAGTGCAGCATGACCGGACGCGGTGGAGGCGGCGGTCGCCGCGTGTTGCTGCCGCCTATGTAGAGCTCCCTCTCCTTTGGACCCTTTCACCGTGCACAAGATGCTGATGACTGTCTCCTAGCAACATGATATTCAAGCTCTTGCAATCCGTGAGTCCCGAGCGCCATTGAACTCCCCAGACGTCGACCTGTCCGCACCCCGTGGAGCTCGAAACGCGTGACTGCAGCAGCGGGTGGCGCGCCGTCACCGTCTGCTTTTCCGACGTGTGCCAGCAGGCTGTCACGCCGGAGGCGCATGGCAAGCATGTTTGTTGATGCTGTGGGAGCTTTCGGCGAGGGCCTAGTCTGAGCTCTGAGCTCGCGGGACTGGCGCTCGACGACCAGACCAATGCCCATGCTCTACCACGCAATCTCCAGTTTCACGGGGCAGGATGGAGTCGATAGGCAAGCTTGACTCTCGTGGACGCGCAGCTAATTCATCTCAGAATGCCACCGTCCGTGTCTGGCTATACGAGCAGCTCTCCATTCGCATCGAGGGCAAGATCCGGGTCGGTGGCCCCCTAACCTCGCGACGGAGCGACTCAAAGCTAACAAACACACAGGGGTTCGACGAGTTCATGAACCTGGTCATCGACGACGCCGTCGAGGTTAAGCAGCCCCCCCGGGGCGCCGCCAAAGCCGACGTTGAGCCACGGAAACCGCTCGGTACGGAGTCTGGACAACGGGTGCCGGCGCAAATCAACTGATGTATTCTCCACAGGCCAGATCCTGCTCAAGGGCGACAACGTATCGCTGATTCAGAGCTTGTAAAGTGAAAGGGCGGAAAGAGAGGCGGCCGGTGGCCACGAATACCCGAGTCGACGAAGCCTTGCGGACGGTAGAAAAAGTGCATCAGTACAGAGGAGCACTGTGGCAGAGGCCCAAGGCGGCTTACGATGGCTGGCGGTGAAGGGATCCATTACGACGGGAGGAAGTTGGAGGCGTTCTTTTTGTTCGTGCGTCCGCCGGGCGAGACTCGTCTGGTTCTTGCACGTGTGCTTTTCATATGCATCGCCAAAGGCACTGGCTTGAGGACATCAGCAGCCTGGCTTACGAGCAGCCTGTCTAGGGCTCTGGAGATCCGTCCACGAGGGTGCCGAGAAAAAAAATAAGAAAATTGGACTGCAAGGAAATTGGTTGCATCAAGAGACGGGTGCAACTGGATCCATACTGGGCTGGAAGCAGATGCACCCATCTCTTGATGAAGTTCACCCACCTCTCGATCCAACTCTGCCTTCCGAGACCGCGACCCCTCTGCGTCCCTCTAATCGGCGGTCACGACATCTCGAACCGCGAGATGTTGAAGCTGAATTCTCTTGGGAGGCTTCATGTAGCCGGGCCAAAGCCTCTGGACAAGAATCAGCAGTGCTGAATATGAATGAACTTGAATGTTGGTGTTGCTGGCTGGCCGATGCAAGAGGCGGGCGCCTATGCTGATTCAGCAGGCGTCGCGGAGAGATAGTCCGGATCATCGGTAGATCCGCCGCGGTCCATTTTTCCGCCGTCTTTTTTTTTTCCTTATCGGCCGCAGAAAAAAAGTCATCCTTGGGTCATCGCGACATGTAAAGCATCGCGACGCGGCTCGAGGCTCAAGATGCGCCCACTCACCGAGCCAGAGACGCAGACCGTCCTCAAGAAACTCGCAAACTACGCCGGCCCCTCGCTCAAGGACCTCTTTGCGCCCCTCGACGCCTCGGCCAAGCCCGACCACCACGTCCTGCGCCTCTCGAGGAGCCGCGTCTACTATGTCCGCCTCTCGCTCGCCAACCTAGCCACCTCGGTCGCCCGCGACAAGCTCCTGTCGTGCGGCACATGTCTCGGTGCGTCCCTATGCCTCGAGGCCTTTGTCATCTGAATCGCAACCACTCCCCTGACTGACTGACTGACTGACTGGGTCCTCTCTCGCGGCAGGTCGCTTCACCAAGTCGGGCAAGTTTCACCTCCACATCACCGCCCTGCCCATCCTGGCGCCCATTGCGCGGTACAAGATCTGGCTGCGGCCCAACGGCGTCATGCCCTTTCTCTACGGCGGCAACATCGTCAAGGCCCACGTCGGCCGCTGGTCCCAGGACTGCCCCGAGCACCTCGGCGTCGTCGTCTACACCATGGACGACACCCCGCTCGGCTTCGGCGTCACGGCGAAGAGCACCGCCGGCGCCCAGTCGCTGGGTCCCACAGGCATCGTGTGCTTCAGGCAGGCTGATTGCGGAGAGTACCTGCGAGACGAAGACTCGCTCTTTACCACCTCAGGATAGAGACGCGCCCGAGACGGGGCGCATTGGAAAAGCCGACGGGAGTAAGCATCGTGAGGTGATGCAGATACCGAGATACCCAATCCGACCGGCTTCTATGCGGATAGGCCGTATTTTTGCGCTTCCATCAGGCCTCGTACACCAACTCTCGATCCGATCTTGGTGGTGAGCCTGGACGGCATCAACCATGCAGCAAGAGGACCACAAGGGGCCTTTTGAATGGAATGCCTTCGCGGACCCTTCTATTCGCGGAGTACTGGCGGCGAACAAGGCTGGAGCTGATCTGATCAGATTTGTCTGTTGGTGCCCAACCTTTCAGGGCACCTTGCAAAAGACGCACATGGTATGGTGAACTCTTTGTTGTTCAACAGACACTAGCATTTTGACATCTGCGCCAAGGGCGTGTTTTCAGGGAGTCTATGCATCATGCAACCTATAAAGAACAAGAAGGCGGTGCGTTGTTCCGATGTGACGTGAGCCCCCTGCGATTATACAAGGATCCAATCTACACTCATCAGAGTGAATCACCAGAGCCAGCTCCTTTCCCACCAGTAGCTTCTCCACTCATCATTAGGTATTTCTTTTGTCACGAGCGAGGCGGTGCGAGCCCAGCTTCCCTTGAGGATTTCCACCGCGAAGAAAAGGGGGTCTGCACACTAGCAACCATGAATCGACGAACCCGTCAATCTGAACGTCGTTTTGACACCTGCCTGTCTGGATAAACGCCCATGTGATGGCAAACTCACGTCAGTCATCAGGATGGAGGTGAGCATCCCCGCAAAGGAACAACTTGGATTCGTAGACCGACTCATCCACGTCGCTACATGCCATGTCCGAGCCGCCAGAGCATCGGGCTTGGCCGTCAGATGCTGATCCCGGAGCGCCTCGATTCTTGATGCACCCAAAATGTACAAACAAACCAGACACGGTATCGACATCCTACCCATCCACTCCCTGCACCAGCAAGCTCCACCCGCCGCTTCCCGTACCAGGGCGGGCTCCGGCTAGCTCACACGCGTAATCATGTCTTCTCTCGAAGGGCCGGTGCCGATCCAACCAATATTGACCTGTTGCCATGTCAGCGGCAGGCTCCCGGGGCAGCAGAGGCCGTAATGCGGGACTCACCCCGCAGAATTGCTCGATAAACTCGACATATGCGCGCGCTTGCCGCGGCAGGTCGTACTGTTGCAGGTCAGCGGAGCCGTCGAAGTGGGGGCGGCCATGGGACGCACAAAGGTCTTTACGTGGGTCGTAGGCGTCTGCCAGCCCTCGAACTCCTTGTAGACGACCTCGCACTTTTCGAGCAGGGCGAGGTCGGCGGGGAAGTAGTCGAGCTCCGCGCCCTCGGGGGACTTATAGGCCACGGCCACTTTGATAAGGGGGAATGAGTCAAGCACGTCGAGCTTGGTCAGGTTGAGGACCGTGTAGTGGTTGATGGCGGCCGAGTAGCGCAGGACGACGAGGTCGAGCCATCCGCAGCGGCGCTTGCGGCCGGTGCTGACGCCCCACTCGCGACCGACGTCCTGGAGCTTGCGGCCGGCGTCGCCCGTATCCTCGGTCTTAAAGATGCCCTCGCCGACGCGCGTCGTGTAAGCCTTAACAACGCCGACGATGCGGTCTACCTTTGTGGGGTTGATGGCGAGGCCGGTAAAGATGCCGCCGAGGCCCGTGTTGCTGCTGGTTACATAGGGGTATGTGCCGTAGTCGATGTCAAGCATAAGGGCGTTTGCGCCCTCGATAAGGAGCTTGTGGTTCTTGTCTTGTACGTCCTTGATGAACTGGACGGCGTCGATGCAGTAGGGGGCGAGGCGTTGGCGGTAATCCTTAAAGCGGGCAATTTCGTGCTCGACATCGTAGTCGAGGAGGTCCCCGAAGCGCTTCTTGTAGCCGCTGGCGAGCTGGCGCAGCTTGCGCTCAAACGTGGGCTCGTCGAAGATTTCGTGGACGCGGACGCCGCTGCGAGCGGCCTTTGTGCTATACGAAGGGCCGATGCCGCGGCCGGTGGTGCCAATCTTTCTCGAGCCGAGCTAGGTCGAGCAGAGCAGTTAGCCAGGAGAGGACAAGGTTGAGAATTGTTGTGGCGCACCTCGACCTCTTCTAGGCCGTCGACGGCGGCGTGGAGGTCAAAGTTGACCTGGCAACGATCTGAGACGAGGATGCGGTCAGTTGTGTCCAGGCCCTTTTCTTGCAGCTCGGCGAGCTCCTTAAAGAAGCTGGGTACGTGGAAGACGACGCCGGAGCCGATGAGGTTGACGCATTTGGGGTTGACGAGGCCTGAAGGTAGCAGGTGGAAGCTTATGCGGCATCAGTCAGTATCGGGGGATTGCGGGGTCGGAGGGAGGCTGGCACCTGTAGGAAACTCCATTGGCTCTGGGGAGCTTGTCAGCACGGATTGGAAGAATGGGGATATGAGGCAATGGAGCTCACACGATGGAGTGGCCGGCATTGTGGCCGCCCTGGGTGAGAGTATCAGCAAGAAGCAGAGGCAGAGGCAGCGGCCGCCATCGGAAGAGGGGGAAGCAAACGCACGGCAGCTCGGGCGCAGAATTGGACCTCGGGACAGAGTATGTCGGTGAGCTTGCCCTTGCCCTCGTCTCCTGGAGCAGCAGGCGAGCGGTCAGCGGCCGACGATGGCATGGAGAGGGGAATGCTTGCTGACCCCATTGGGAGCCCAGGATGATGGTGGCCATAGTGTGGATGGCTGGCGGCGATGGCGACGCGAGGCACCGAAGCGAGGGGGTGGGCTCGTTGGATTCAACACGACGAGGACGGCGACGCGGAGAGGATGACAATGACTAGAAAGGATCGCGTCCAAAAAGCTCGACGGGTTGGTGAAGACGACGATGAGGGGTGACGCTTAACTCTTTTCTTGTAGGTACTAATGGTGGGGGCGGAGCGCCCTGTAGAAATGCGCAGTAATTAGTTAATCCGCCGCTGCAGATAAGCGCGGGCGGGCCGGCATGCGGGGCGGCGGAGTCAGACTCGCTTGCCCGCAGGCCAATCAGTGCGCGAGAACGGATACAGTAACAACCTTCCACAGCCAGGTGAACAATTCCGTTTCAGTACGCTGGGCATGGGAGAAGCAGATGCTGACGCTGACGAAGAGACGAGTCCAAGTCGTCGAAGAACGTCGTGTGGTGATGCACATTGGTTCCTTGGAGGACTGGCCAGCAGCTTCTTCATTCTTCAAACCCCTGGACACGACTCCATCGTGAGTGGCCTGGGCACCAACAGCAGCGGCCTTGGCATCGTCCCGACACGAGACGATTGGAAAGCACGTCTTCGTCAAGTCGAAGCAGAGTAGCATCTGATGCAAGCGAGATGCGGTAAGACTCCTGGCGCCTGCACGCTGCACCCGGGTCAGCCAGCAGCAAAGAGGAGCTTGCAACTGCTCTGCCCATATACAAGCGCAGAGGCTCTGTCCCCGTCTTGCCGGGGCACATGATGGAGTCTGCTCTTACAAATATGCAGGGGCCTTGGCTTTCGATTCAAATTCTTCCCTCCAGCCATACTTCTGCTGCTTCCACCGGCACATGATCCGAGCTGCAAGATACGCCTGCAAGACGAGCACTGCGGCGAACCGCCCTTGCCCGGGCCGTCATCTTGACGCCGACACGTCCGACTCTTTCTCTTCCTGGTTCGTACGCGGCGCCGATGCCTCCGTCCTCTGCCTCTTGAGGCGCCCATCCTCCTCCTCGTCATCTTGTCGGCCACGTTTCCGAGGTGCGTCGTCGGAGGCCTGGCTGGCCTCGATCAAGGGCACTTGATCCATGACCCATTGCACCAAGCTTCTATGGCACTCTGCCTTTTTCTTTGTGTCATCGTAATCCCATGTCTCTCCAAGAAAGTCCAAGATGCACTCGTTCCGGGCCCGAACTGACTTGAGCAATGCCTCTGCTGCCATCAGCCTCTTGTGAGGCGCGATTGGCAAGGGCTTTCGAGGTGACGCCTTCGGGCCGCGTCCTGGTATAGAGGGCCCTTCTGCGCTCGATTTTGCTTCTTTTAGGGCCTGCTCCGCCCGCTCCCATTCGCGCTGCCGCGCCATTCTCGCTTCATCCCCCCGTAGGTACTCGGCCGTCTCGGATGGCCGCAACACTCCCGAATCTACCAGCTTCGTCCAAGCTGCGTCAGATATCGATTGCAGACGCTCGCTTGAACGCACGTATAGATCATGCCACCAGCACTCGAATTCGAGGTACTCAATCCAGGTTGTCAGCCGGTCTTGTTCGGTGGGGTCGGCCATGAGCTCAAAGGGTTGGGTGAAGCCGTGATGTGCCAAGCGGCGCTTGGCTGCCTCGGCATACTCCGGGAAGCTGCCATGGCCGCGAATCTCACGTTTTGTGCGCCGCTGCCGGTCACGTCGACGTAGCGTCAGTTGCCATTCCGGCCTCAACGACTCGGGATCGGCTCTGAGTTCGGCCAGCAGATTTTTTTCTCCATCGCGCTCGTACTCTCGCGCCTGCATCTCGATAAAGTAAGAGTAGTCATCGATTGGATCGGTAAGGCCTCTGTTGTCCAGCTGCCAGTTGCGGAAGTTCTGCCATCTGTCTAGTTGCCTGTTAAATATTGTGGTCCAGTTGGGTGGATATTTGGAGTTGGGACACTCCAACCAAGGTCGCAGCAGGTCGAGGTGCTGTTCGGGATGTCGGGAAATCTCCCCAATGAAATGGATGGGGTACAAGGGCTGCCCGCCTTTGGCGACAAGTTCATGGTAATCCGCAGTTTCGTAGTATATAGGGCCCAGACTAAGCGGAGTGGGAGATCTCTCCACAGGCCACGAACCAGGTGGTGACGATTGCGTGGCGGGCGATGCTTGAAGTAGGCGCTTGGTGAGTTCGTCGGGGTCGATGGAGACGGTAGCGCCGCCGGAGCCGAGTGCACGATCTCTACACTCGTGTCAGAAAACGAGTCCAACGTCGGCTTAACTGCTCAGTACCTCAGTCTCTGCAACAAATGGCTCGGGATGTTCTCCCAGTCGTCCACCGGGACAGCTCTTGTGCCGTCAGGCAGGCGGTTTTCGTCGAGGTATCGATCGAGCGCTTCATCGTCGAGGGCGGCAACTTCTGCGGCGCGCAGAGGAGCAGAAGACGGCATTTTGATGTGCAGGTCGGCGTTGTGGAGGTTGCACGTTTGAAGAAGCTCGAGCCGGTCGTGGCATGTCTCTAATTAAGGTAGGTATTTATGGAGATGCTGACTAAGGTAGTTAGTGCGCCCGCTATCGGGAACTCTATCTTATCTAGGTACCTTGCCAAGAAACTGTATTTAAGGAGGTACCTACTGTAATTACGTTGCGTTACATTTCTGCCTGATCTTTCCTTTGAGGCCTTGACTACCTACGTAGGTACCCAGGTACTGTCGAGGGGCTACTTCCTACCAAGGAAGGCAGTTAATTAGCTCATGGAAATGACTTTGGGCGGGGACATCCAACCAGCCAACCCGGCTCGTGTGCCCCGACCCCCCCTGCTTGTTTTCTACCTAGGTAAGTACCAGGTAGGTGCCTCGGTCTCTTTGCCTAATTAGCTAGCCAGGTGCCATGACCCTCTCTGCTCGATGTGAATATTCACATTGCCTACGGAGTAATTACCTACGTTACAGTACAGTACAGTGCACTACAGTACAGCACCTCATCCTTTTTAGGCAGAGACCGAAAGCCAGTGACTCTTGCGTGAGCCACCGGGGGGCAGTGAATGGCAGTGACACCGCCCGTCGCCGGCTTGTGGCCCTCTGCCTTTGTACCCACGTCGTCATGCACGTTAGTTGCTTCACGCTCAATGCCATGCAGAGTTCAGGAGCAACCGTACGCGCACGGGGCGGTGTTTTGGACACGGTGTCCGAAAGCCAATACAAGCGTGAAGGAATTCATCATCTATTCTCGGGTACAAGCTGTCGAGGCCTTTGAGAGCTGTCGGCCGTCTCTGTCACCTGCCGGGGCCGTTGACCGCGGTTGGCTTTGGTGAGCTGTCAGCAGCATCGACGAGCTCTCTTTCTCGCCATGGCCATCGCACCCGGAGGCGCTCTCTCTTGCGTCGGCTCAAAACAACGTTGATTGCTCTTCTAGAACATAGCCTTGCCGTATGTAGACCGTGCCCACGTATATACGGTCTCCGCGGGCGTGCGCTCGATCCATGAATCTGTGCAGTTTTTGCCTTGTTCATGGTGCATCGTAGGCTGCCACGGGCACACCCGGCGCGCCTGCCTCATCTGCCTCATCTGCCTGCCATGTATCACGTCACATGCGTTTGTTTGCCCGTCCCGCAGCCTGTAGCCGCGCGCCTTCGTCGGTGTCTTTTCCCTTACGTGTTGACCACAGCTGGCAGTCTCGAGCGAGCAGACTCATCAGCATAAATACTGATCGGGCCACATCATCTGAAGTATCTTCCTGTGCTCACACCAAAATGGCAGATCAAGACGTGATCGCCCGTCTGTACGCCTCCGACCGAAGCTACAAGTACGCATCGAAAGCCATTTTGATCAACAAGTCTCGATATGCTGCTCCCCAACTTGGCTCGCCATCCCCGACAGAGGCTTCTCAAAGTCGTGAGACTCGTGGATCAACCGAACCGCTCGACGAGCCTCGCGGCCTCGAACATCTCTATGAGCCCTGTCTGGAGCTGCGATTCAGCCACGGCCCACAGACCGACGCTGGGTTTGTCTTTGGCTCGGATCCCAACAGCGATATCGTTCTGCCGAATATAAATGGCATCAGCTTTCACCACTGTGCCTTGACCTTTGACGCCCAGAACCGCCCGGTGATGCAGGACCTCGACTCGCTGAATGGAACAGCTGTGTCATACGACAACGAGGCAGGCGATCAGGTCCGCAGCGATTTTACCTGGATCATCGGTGGTCACCAGATTCCACAGAAGAAAGCAATCACTGCCAGCCTGAACAGTTTTCTCGGATTCCGAATTGTCGTTTCTAAGCTCGATTTGGCGTCACAATCGTACATTGAAAACGTGGAATCGTTCCGACGGGGCTCGGCCAGTCCAGAGAAACTCCTGCATCGCCTCGACTTGACGAGTCGCCCGCGGACTGAACCGGCCAGTGGAGCGCGCACCCCGGGCACCGGTCCTGTTATTCTCAAGAGATTGCTGGGCGAAGGAAGCTTTGGTATCGTATCCCATGCCTGGGACGTTAGCACTGGTGCAGAGTATGCCCTCAAAATGCCTTCCAAAAAGGCCATTAGGGAAAGGAGAGTTGACCTTGAGGCGTGGAGGAATGAGGCCGCCATCATGGGGAAAATCTCTCATGTCAGTCCGGCACCCTGCTTTAAACAAGTGCCAAGCTGACAAGACGCTTCTAGGGGAATATTGTCCGGCTTCTTGGCCACGAAAGTGACGTGCACCCACCCCATCTCATGCTCGAATATGTCCCTCTTGGATCGCTTTCGGACCAGGATGATATATCAGCTCAAGAATGCACGGATATTCTTCGTCAATGTCTGTCAGCCTTGGCCTATCTCCATGGCCGCAGCATTGTGCATCGAGACATCAAACCAGACAACATCCTTGTCAAGTCTCGCAACGCAGGCGGTATCCAGGTCAAGCTTGCAGACTTTGGTCTCGGCAGAGAAAGCCCCGACCCGACAACAATAGTCGGCACCATGTTTTACCTTGCGCCCGAGGTCTGGATAGAAAGCGACAGAAGGACGAAGGGTGATAACGAGGCTGTCCAAAAGAAGAGCTACACCCCTGCGGTTGATGTGTGGTCTCTGGGCGTCGTGGCAAGTCAGTTGGTCATGCCTTTTCCACGTTGCAGGACCGCTGGGCTCTCCTGGTGCACGAAGCTCGCCGACGCTGTCGAAAGGAGTGTCGAGGAAAGGGCCACCGAGCTCAAGCAGTTGCTTGCCACCATGGTTGTCATGGACCCGGAGTCGCGAGGCTCGGCAACGGACTGCTATCAAAGGGCGATGTGTTTGCCTGAAACGGAGGATGGCTCTCAATCGCCAAGCGCGCCAACCCAGGCAGAGGAGCATCTCGAGCACGAGGACGATCAAAGTGACGTGAAGGCTGGGCCGACAGAAGTGAACACTGCGCGGAATCTGCTCAGGTCAGAAGCCCCGCCACCGGAGTCCTCGGGGCCGTCGAGGAAGAAGCAGAAGCAGTCGCTCGGGGGAGAGGCAAGTAGCTTCCACGAGAGCTGGCTGTACGATCCCCTTCACGCATTTGGAGGAGGGTCGTCTCTTGCGGCCGAGCTGGGAGGGTCATCAGGGCGGCAGGGTGATTGATTTTCGAGTGGGATAGGTCTTGGCAGCTATAGTAGATGCAGACAGAGGCTGGCGAAACAGGACGGCCTGTAATACAGTAAATGCCTGCCCAGTTTGATAGTGCTTGGCTGGTACAGCAGAGCATAGGCACACAGACGGGCCCCATACGTGGATGGCAAGCTAGACCCAGGACAATGGAGTCTCAAACCTCAAACCGCTCTCTGCAATCCACTCCCATCCCATGGTTTAGATCCCTCCCAGATCAACCTCGACCGAGCGCACTGCTCCACGTCTGCCGGAACACGGCAGGCCGGCATCCCATCCGCGTTGCCAAAGTAGTCTCTGAGAATCTGTCTCTTGAGCAGCTTCCCAGACGCGGTGCGCGGAAGTTCCTCGTCCTCCTTGAGCACCCGGAGCAGAGTGGGCAGCATATAGGCGGCGAGGCTGGCTGCGAGGTCGCATCTGATGCGCGCCAGGGTTATTTGCGATTCCACCTGGCTTCGAAGCCGGACGACGGCTCCGCAGAGCTGGATCGCCGCGTAGTCCGGCACTCCCACGATGCATGCTTCGGCGACATAGGGCAGGTCGGCCAAGCTGCTCTCGACCGTCGAGGCGGGGATCCGAAAGACTCCACATAAGAGATCTGCATGGCAGCATTAGCTTACTGGGCTGCTCAACAAGGATAACGTCGAGATAGGAACTTGCAGTCGGAGCTGGCCCGGCCGCCAAACACATATTCACCATCCCGGAGCTCTGCGAGATCGCCCGTCTTGTAGTATCCATCTTCATCTAATGCGGCCCGCGTCATCTCTTCGTCGTCGAGGTAGCTGCTTGGAGCAAACCACCCCCGTTACTGGTCAGCGGAATCGACTACCGGGACTCTTTGATGGGAGAGGTGATGCAATACGCACTGCAAGAACATGTACGGGCTCTTGACGCGGATCTCTCCGCGGCTGCCTTCTGACAGCTTCACTTTGACGCCTGACATGGGGGTTCCAATCGAGAACTACAGGCTTGGTACGAACCGTCGAGAGAGTCGCGGTCGGTAGGCGTTCCGGCTGGAACTCCTGGAGCGGTGCTCACCTGTGTCGTCGAGGTGCCCCGGACCGCCAACCCGCCAGATTCCGTGGCCCCGTACATGTTCTCAAACGGCAGTCCACTAAGATCTGTCCAAAATTGTATGACCGAAGGCTCCAGGACCCCGGCGGAACATTTAATGGTGCCCAGGGCCTTGAAATGGCCAGACCACTTGGTCCTGTCCTCTTGAGACAACTCTCCGCGCTGACCCGTCAAAACATCCTTCATCTGGCGCAGAATCGTGGGCCCGAATGTGGCATGAGTAATGCCATAGTTCCTCAAGGCGTTCAGCACGGCCTCGGCGTCAGCCTTCTCTCCGAGAGCATAGAGCTTCGTCCCCGTCACCATAGGCGTGACGATGTCTCGCAATCCGGAAATCCAATGGGCCGGACGGTGGCTGATGGCAACACCGCCGGGCTCAGCCAGGGGTGCGCCTGCAAGGCATTGTCTTGGCAGCACGACGCCCTTTGGACGCCCGGTTGTGCCCGACGTGAAGGTTATCAGGCCCGGTCCGTTTGGTCTCATTTGGAGCGTGTCATCGCCACCAACATCGGCGATGCTCAAGGGCAAACCGTCGCACAAAATCGGCAGCAGGGTCCAGGTTTCTGGTGAGCCCCTGTGCCCGTGGATATAAGCGCTGATGGCCTTGCCCTGGTTCCATGCGTTCCCTGCCAACGAGCAAGCAAGTCACTTCCGCCCTGGCGAGTATGTATTGTGCCTCCTCAGGAAAGATGCCAGAGGCTACACGCCGTTAGCTGGTTTGTCGCCAACCGGAAGTGAACTTGGAGCCTGCTCACCCAAGGGCACGAATGCACCGCCTATGGCTCGGATGGCGAAAAAGCCAACCATCATCTCGTAAGCACTTCGTGTAAGAACGGCCACATTCTGCGTTTCCGCACGCAAGATGCCGCGTTGGTCCGTTGCCGACGGCGGTAGCTGAGCGAGGAGGTCATGGCGCATCTGCCGGATATCACCCAAGAGCTGCGGGTACGTCTTGTCGAAACCGAGGACATCGTGGACGACGGCTTCCGAGGACGGGGCGTGCTGGGCAGCAACAAGCAGACGGACCAGAATCGGGTCGTGGGGGAACTTGAGTGCATGCCCTTCTGCCATGGTGAAAACCCGATCGTACTCTTGCCGGGGCACTCAGAAACCGAGATGGCAATGGCAGAGGCTTGACAGAAGGCAAAACTGGAGTGCCCTCGCCCGCAGCAGGCTGAGTCCTCCTTGCGGAGTTTCCCCCTTTTCTTGCGCAGTATAAATCAAATCTGCACTCTATTATTGACTAGATTTCTTCGTCAAAATAACGGCTTTTTCGCAAAAAGAAAAAAAAGCCATATAGACCTCAACGGTACGCTTTCTCGGCCGGCAAGATGCCCGTGGTCATCTTCGGCCTGGACCCGGCCTCGGGCGGCGACACCAGCCCGGCGGATCATGCCAACTTGTATCGGACCCTTTCTCAGCTACGACACGACCAGCAACCCGTCTTGAGCCTTGTCGCGGACCCGGCCCGGCTTCGGCTCGCCTCGGACTCCCGTATCGTCGTGACACGGCCCGATGACTGCCTGACGCATCTGCCTCATGTCGTCGACCCGGAGACGCACTACGTGATGCTGTCGAAGCGCGGCCTGGCCCGGTCCAGCTTGCGCACAACGCCCTCGACCGTCATCGACGTGCTCCTCCCGCCCGAGCACATGGACGACCCCGTCAAACTCGAGGGCGAGGTCGCCCGCATGACCAAGCCCCTCGACATGCGCCGCGTGCCCTTCATGGTGAAGCTCAACCAGTCGCTTGCGGGAAAGGGCACCTTGCCGGTGCGCTCCGAGGCGGAACGAGCGCGGGCCAAGGCCCTGGTCGGCGCCCAGTTGCGAGACGCGCTCCCGCAGATCAACGCCGCCAACCACCACTTACACCCGTGCTCCTTGGTCCTCCAGGACTTCGTGACGGGCGGCGCCGTGGGCCTGTCGCTGTTTGTGACACCCAAGGGGCGCGCCGTCTTCGTCGTCTGCAGCGAGCAGCACTTTGACGAGAAGGGGCACTGGGCCGGAGGCTCCGTCTCCTACCCGGATCAGGAGGCCCTGCGCCGCAAATACGCCCAGCCTATGGAAGAGACGGCCCGATTCCTACACCAGAACGGCTACCACGGGCCCGCGGGCATAGACATCATGACGGACGGCTCAGGCACGCAGTACATCATCGACCTCAACGCCCGCATCACGGGGTCCTATCACCTGGGGCCGCTTGCCGGCCACTTTATGCAGCGGGGGCTGGCCAAGGCCAGGGCGATCAAGGCCCATTTCCTGTGTCCGAGGGCAGTCTTTGAAGAGACATTTGCTCGCGATATCAAAGACGGGCGCCTCATTATTACCGGCTGGGCGCGGGATGAGCCGCTGTCGCTGAGCCAAGGGGGTGTCACGGTGGGCGGAAGGGACGAGCTGGAGACCAAGGGCCTGATCGCCAAGGTCCAGGCTCTTGCGGTGTCTCTCAATGCCTTCTCCAAGAAGGTACGCGACTCCAGCGCCGTGACCTGCTCCAGCTCGCGTCAGGCCAACGTCGGCGCCCACGCCAGCGCCTGCAACGCCTTGATCAACTCCATCGGGGTGGCGCCGCCGGGGACGCTCCCTGCGTCGCCACGCGGGGGGTGTAAATGGTCCCTGATAGAGCTCCAACTAGACATAAAACAAAAGTGTATTGACCGATTGCCTTAAATTACACGTGAATTATTGCGCCATACCATCATGACGTGAGGAACCGAACTCTAGGGTCTTATATTATAGACAAAGCTGACAAGACCGTAGACCCTTCTAGAGAGATCCAGTCTCTTCCAACACCTAGTCGCCCGGATTCTCTGACATCAGGATCACCCTCTGAAACTGAGACGGCCACGCCGACGAACAACATTCATACATAATACGGTGCTACGAAAACGAAAGTTGACGAATCCCGCCTCACCGGCGTCAACGAGGACCATCATCACAGGATGAAGACAGGCCTGAAAATATTCCAGCGAGGTCTAGGACCCGGCTGACGGGAGGGGATGGACGATCAACGAGTTTGCCTCAATCTTTTGCATGCTCTCTTCGCGAGAGACTCATGCCTTACGTTGATCACGAGATGTCAGCCAACTTTGATTCAAGGTTCTCAACTCAGACACTTCGTTTACAGCCTTTACTCGGTAGCATGCTCATAAGTATTTCAATCCGCTCTGCAAGCAAGTCGGATGGGGCCCGCGTGTCGTTTACGAATAACACAAATATGTACATACGCTCGTAGGTGGAAAACTCGCCCCTTTTGATGCGCACATTTTCATTGGATGAATTGCATAGACAATGACGACTCCAAGGGATGCCCAAATCCGACAAGTATGAGACATTCTTTCAGAGACACTAGTCGTTCCTTTTATGTGTGCTTTTTGTGCTCCTATTCATCTCATCTTGGAGGCTGAGCCACCACCGGGTGCAACAATCTGGCTCGCCTACGCACATCACAGACTATTACCCAGGGGCCCCATGAGCGTGACGACGTGGTTCTTGCCCCTGCTTGATGTGAAGCACCTCGTATACCTCGTGAAAAGTACCAAATGAATCATGAGCTTCCGGCCCCGTCACCGACTCCTGCCGCATGAGATTACATGGTCCACTTCCATATGCCCTGCTGTATCCTTGGTCTCTCGGGCCCATCTCCTCTCGGTGCTCGCAGGATACACAATGATGCGTTTCCCGCGACCCTGGCAGAGTTGCGACCCGAAAGCGAGACGAGTCCGGCAAAACGAGCCCCCACATTACATTTGCGAAGACAGCTCTCTTTGCCCTCTGCAGCGCATTGCCGGGTGGCATGGCCATCGCCTTCTTCCCGAGGACCTCGAGTTTGTCGTCCAGTGATATTCGAGTCTTCAGTGTCGACAGAAGTCAGAATGGACGGAAAGGTGGACGAGCAGGACTGTGTCGGCGGGATACAAGACGAAAAAGCAGACGAGACTCTTCATGATCCGGCAATAACCTCGTCCTTGGCTGTAGGACAAGCCACTGGCCAATGGCAGCATCTCTCGACTCGTCGAGGCGACGCAGCCCCGGCGTCTTGGGCGTCCATGCCGAAAAAGCGTCAGCTTGCCTTGATCACGCTGGCACGACTCTGCGAATCCGCTGCCACCAGCAGCCTGCAGACCTACATCATCTCCCAGCTTGAATCCTTTCGAGCATCCGATGGCTCCGTATCTACCGGCTATACCCTGGCATTCCAAGTCTCCGCCTTAAACGCCGTCGTCGCGGGCCCGCAGCTCTTTACTTCCGTCCTATGGGGCAGACTGGTAGATTCTCGACATGTCGGGCGCAAATACATCATTCTACTCGGTCTTTTCGGAACTGGCATTGCGAGTCTGGGTCTTGGGTTTGCAAATAGCTTCGCGGCGGTTACGTTTTGGCGATTCTTGGTCGGCCTGATCAACGGCAACATGGGCGTCATGCGGACCATGATCAAGGACATTGGCGGAGACAAGTTTGAGGCGCGAGTCGTCCTGCTGCTGCCTACGGCATTTAATGTCGGAAGCATCCTTGGCCCTGCCGCGGGAAGCCTGCTGGCCGACACGAGTGCTTTTCGGTGGCTGCTCCAGTCGCCGTACGCTCTGCCCAACCTATTCAACGGCGTGTGCCTGATTGCGAGCGCGGCATTGCTGGGCTTTGGGTTAGAAGAGACGCTCGACGGCGTCAGGTTCCGGCCAGGCCATCTCTTGCCCGAGCGGCTTAAGAGGCTTCTTGGTCGAAGGGCCGATCCGCACTATCAAGTGCTCATGGACCAAGACGTCGAGCTGGACGCCCAGGGAACTCCTGCTTCACGCCGTCCCGAGGTCCGATGGTCCTTTTCTCGCATCTGGACGCCTCGTTTGGTTGCCACACTTGTCGCCCGCCGGCTCGTGACCATGCACGTCGGCGCATATCCCTCGCTTTGACTCGTCTTCATCGCCACGCCTCGATACAACCGGAGCGGCATGCCGGCCGCCATCACCGCAGGTCATGACGCCAATGCAACGGCCAGCGGGTCTCTCTTTGTGCCGCCGGCCTACCATCCGCATGCGCCGTTCACCTTCACCGGGGGTCTCTCCTTCAAGCCGAGCGGCATCGCCGTGGCGCTTACTATCCGAGGCATTGTGGGCTTTTTACTACAGCTCCTGTTCTTCCCACTTCTGAAAACCCACTTTGGACTCGTGAAGCTCTATCGCTACTCGCTCCTGCTTCTCCCGGTATCATATTTTGTCACCCCTTACCTGGCCACCATTCCGTCGTCTACGCTGCCACCGCTGCCGGCGGCCGGAGTCTTGCTGTGGGCGTCTATTGCGCTCGTCCTGACCATACAGACAGTGGCCCGCTCCTTTGCTCTTCCCTCGGGCACGATGCTCCTCAACGCGGCCAGTCCGGACCGGTCTGCGCTCGGCACCGTCAACGGCATCGGCCAGAGTGTATCGGCAGCGGCCAGAACCCTGGGCCCGTTGCTGACTGCCTGGCTGTATGGGTCGGGACTCAGCCACGGTGTCGTGGGCATTGCGTGGTGGGCTATGGCTGCAGTCGCTGTCCTGGCAGCCGTAGCGAGCGGCTGGGTCGTGGATGAAGCCGGCGTCAAACCCCCCTTTTAACGCGTACACCAGCCTTTCTTTTTGTTCAGTGGTAGACCAGAAAGTGGGTGAGTGTGGCTGGTCCAGGAGACTTCAGCTAGGCGGCTGGCTGCCAACACCGAGAAGTGAGGTTATTATTAGTCTGCGTGTAAGCACCATCGGCTTGGAAATCACATACCCAAGCCAGGGATTGCTCGACTATAGTCCCCAACATAATCGGAACACATGTACGTGGGTGGCAATTCTCATTATCGTACCACCTGTTTCAATCCTTGGCTGTGTCAGGATGATAGCCAAGAGGGGGCCGAGTGCCAGCGAGGACACCAGCGGTCATGAAACCTACGATGACGGAAGCAGAAGGGCGCACGTTGAATTTGTTGCTGATTTCGAGATAGGCTCAAGCGAATCGACAAGAAACGTGTCCGTTCGAGTGGCATCCAGTGGAGGTGGGACGAATAGAGACTGTTTAGACGCGTAACCTGAGACGGCAGACTCAGGGGCGTGTCTTTTTGCAAATGAGTAAAGGTTTGAGGTAGAAGACATAGATTCTTGCATCCATGAATATAAACCTCACCCTCGAAGAAACGCAGCTGCCCAAGTAGTTGATCAGAGAGAGCCCTGTAGCGCTTGGAGGCCTGCGTTGAAGCAACCAATCCCGAGAGCAAGACGCCTGGAGCCGACTCATTCAACCATGTACCAGCTATCAATAATAAAACAAATCAGATACAGCCCGAGAACTCCCAGTTCAAATCAGATTCGGGACTAGATCTGATTTGACTGATCCCAAGACATCGCTGATTATCCCATGTCCGCCAGGCTTTCCCGCATCAACCACATGTCCGCCAGGCTTCCCACCGTCATCCACATGTCCGCCAGACTTCCCACCATCGTCCTTGCCGTGGCCACCGTCTTTTGGCTTCTCCGGCATGTGCTGCTTAAGATGGCCGGGAACCTTATGGCGGTTGCTGATTTTCGGGAGCTCGCCTGATGTTGCAGATGGCTCCTCGATAAAATCCTCCACCTCCATCGATATGGTCTTGATCTTGGCAAGGGGGACATCTCTGCCGTCGGCCTACAACGTGGTCAGCGACGGGGGTATCGAGCGGGGTGACAACGAGGAGCTTACCGTCGTTATAGTCACGCTGATGCTTTCCCGCATCTCTTCTTTGCTGACGCCGGCGCGCTCGCAGGCCCCAATAGCAGGGTTGAGCGGAATGGCTGCGTTCACGGGCCCCTTTGACGGCTCAGCCATGACGGCAATGTCGCCCACAAACTGATCGCACAAAAAGACCTTGATTGTCGACGGGCGCTCGACATCCTCGGCCCTCAAGGAGATGTGCGCCAGATAGACTTTTCTCTTCTCTTCGTGATCTTTGCCCTTGTAGAGATCATTGATGATGGACACCGCTCGGCGCCGCCTCTCCTCGAGGTCTTTGTCCGGATTCGGGTCACTGTCGCCGCGCTTCGTGTTGGAAGCCGCGGGTGGGTTTTCTGCGCCTTCGTACGTATACCCAAACTGATGGGTTGACAAAACGCCATTCGCGGTAAGCTGCTGTTTGCCCGGACCGTAGAAGGGGGCCAGCGGGGAGGTGGGACGGATCGTGGTGCCTTGGGGTGTTGCAAAGCGCGAGCCCCCAACGTACGAACGAGAAAGGCCAGCCTGGTTTGGGTTGGCGGCTTGCCAAAGAGCCCAGAGACGATCGACGTTGGCGTAATGCAGCATGCTAGGCATTGCCTTGCGTTAGCTTGGATCCTCGGTTGGTTTCGGAACCGTTATTGAATCTCCCCTTGGACAGTCGATCAAGGCAGTCAAGACGGGCAAGATAGCCGGGGCAGACGGTCAACGTACAAGAGAGGATCATAAGCGGCATACGACGGAGACGAAAACTGCTGGCCGCAGGCGGCAGAGTTATGCACCAGATTGTGCGCTTGCTCCAAGCTGACTCCGCCCGTGCTCGTCGTAGAGAATTCCTCAAAGGTCTTGGAGTAGGTAAAGGCCGAGAACTATCCCGTCGTCGTTTCTTGTCAGCGCCCACTCGACAATCGGAGGAGAGTAGGCCGACACTTACAACCAGTTCCTTCAAATCGTTGGACGCCATCATCCGGTTGGCTGAGTTGGGGTATGAGTTGGGGGCCGGGCAACGTGCAATGGCCGCCCTTGGGCTCGGGCTGAATCGGCCAAACTGGCCGCGGACTGCTTGCTGAGGAAATGTGAATCCTGACAGAGGGTTTCTGACCTGCCTGCGGCCCTTGGGGGTATTGATGGTAACGGACCGCGGGACGGTTGAAGGGGGGACGTCGCTCGTCGTGGCCCAGTCCCAGTAGGGGGCTCTGAGCGCATCTGCGGCTTGCAAATACCGGTTCCGGGTTGCTCCTCGATATCCCGCGGCGATCTTCCTGGCGTTGTCAACCAAGACTTGCTGTCAAGCTGTCAGCCGTGGTCCCAACCCTACAACCCGACAACCCTATCCAGCTGGACTTGCCTCGAAGAGAGCCAAGTACGGTCGATGCCATGGCAAGAACAAAGCATCCTGGAATCAGAGGATTTATTTAGCACGGGCCTTGAATGACAACCGGCAGCAGCGCGTACACCGTGAGGGCAGTAGCCAGCCCGGCCGCTGCTGTTGCTGCGGCCAGTATTGTTCCATTCGAAGGGCGGGGAACCGTGAATGCCTAGGGCGAGTGCTGTGCGCATGAGCATGCATGCATGTCAACAGTCACCCGACGATGATATATGAGAGGCTATAAGAGTATATATCATATGTACCTTCGATTTGAAAGTAGGACAAGGGGTCCGACGGACTGGCTCCGATCATGGACGAGAGCGCCTGTATGTATAGGTCCCTGTGAAATGTAGGGGTTAGGGCCTCGGGGTATCGTGCGGTTCTAGGGTTATTGATATCTCATACCATTGCGGGCCGGCCTCGGCCTGAAGGTCGTTGATGTTGCGCCTTATCGGAACGCTGCCGGACCGGACCCGAGCGCCGGTGACCGCATAGGGGTCCGATGTGGTGGTCCGTTGGGCCAGTACGGTCGACCCGAGGAACAGGCAGGCGACGGTCTTGATCAACATGATGGGATATGGGCACGGCCAGGCTCCTGGCTGGCCCGGTTGTGAGGCGATTTGAGGCATATATAACTTGTCCCTACGCTGGCCGGCACTGAGCACACACACACAGTCGATCTAGGAGCATGTCGCAGATGCTGGCTGCGCTTCGGCAGAGACGATAATTCCACAAGGGGGCGACTGGTCAAGCTGCGGAGCTATCGCGGAAGTCGAACCGTGGAAGACATGCCTGGAATGTAGACGCGGCCGAGCCCCCCAGCCCGCCTCCGGTCACATTGCTCGCAAAATGCCTAAAGGAGCAGTGCCTGAAGAGGCCAGGCATGTTTCACTGGCCAAGACCCAGGCCCCATGTGTTTCAGGAACCGTGTATATCAGTCAAGGAGCTGTCGTTGAAATGGATTGCTCTCTTGCCCGTGCTGCGTATTCTTCGCCCGGTGGCGATTTCCTGCCCATCATGTCTTTGCTAGAGACAAGGAGAGACGCTGGGCACCAGCAGAGCTGAAAACCTCAGCTCGTCGAGGTCACGGGGGTCCCCAGTCGCCGACTGAGTCAGAGCTTAACCTGTATACCGTAGAATAAAGAGCCACCGCTTAACTAGGACAGTGAGGCCATTCATCGACTATTTGCTCCCAATCAGAGTCGTGGTGACAATCCACAAAGATGGGGCCCCAACTGAGATAATAGAAACGGCCTCTCTTGATAAAGTGTTACTTTCGGTTGCCACCACGCATATACCCATTGTATACAGCGTATATCGCTAAGCATTCATTCTATGAGCTGCCTTTGTTGGCAACCTGCCAAGGTGTAAGCTTCTTGACTGGGGTAGAGGGGAACAGCACGGAGAGCGACGAAACCCCGACGTATACGGCAACAAGGGGCCCGTGCAAGCTCGACGGGTATGTAGATGGCAGCCTTTGCAGTCCCTGTGCCCAAGTGAGAACTCCCGTAACATGATCAGCGTTTGCCTCTAGAGCCCTCGCAGTGGCAGAGGCGTAGCAGAGGCGTAGCCATCCAACCCACCTCACACTTGGTAGTGTAAGCGCTTTGCAGGCCACGGGCGAATGAGCATTCCACCCGGAGCCATGCCCTATTCGCCGAAAAGACATGTCCTCGGCTGAGCCAAGTTGACTTATTTACCTAGCATCTCTGAGGCTGGCGCTATCATCCAATCGCCGCGGTGCTGGACCGTTGGTTCGCCGCGTGAAGCACCGCCATGCTCGTATGCCACGACCGAGAGACGGATGCCCGGTGAGTTAGTAACAGAGGAGCATATGTGCTGGCTCACCGGAGAGAAACCGGCTTCGTCGACTGTAGATTGAGCCATGCGCCTCTGCTTTGGTAGCTGCATCACTACCATCTATCCTGGCTGCTTCTGACCGAGAAAGATGGCTCCTGACTTGAAAACAGCCTGGCTCTCAGCCTTGTGATACTTTCGTACCAGGGCATTCATGAAATCACGACGTCCACCCAGCTTACAGCAGTGCGAGACGTACTACCTATTGTGTAGCGAGACTTTCTTTTCCTTACTGGCTGGCGGCTGGGTTTTTCATTCCAGGTGCCGGCGGCTAACAGGTTTCGATATGCTGCTGCCCAACCTTCCCCCCCCCCGCCCCCTTTCCCTTTCGCTTTCGCCGCCCCCCCATATAGGCTTCCTACAAGTTCCGAATGGCCGTTTCCGAGCTCGACTTGGCGTCGCCGTGGTGCTGAAGAGGGGGGATTGTTCCGACGGGGCTCGGCCAGTCCAGGCAAACAACCACAGCGTCGCTGACCAGTCGCCTGCGGACTGAACCGGCTCGGGGTCAAAAAGCAACGCCCCCGGCTCATCACGGCGGCAGAGTGAGTGATTGATGGGTTGGTGGAGTGGGGGTGGACTGACGAGTCTCGGTGGCCACAGTAATTAGGTAGATAGGTAGTCTTAGATGGATGGGATGCAGAGGCCGGCGAAATAGACGGTCCGCGAATGCAGGCCTACCTAGTTGGGCTTGACCGGCGGCTTGACCGGCGAAATAGACGGCCCGGCAGACGCGGTACATCAAACTTTGTACAGTATCATTCCTACTGTACATCCGGATGTACCCGTGCCCGTACCTTGCATTAAGCTCCCGTAGCCGCAACGTCGAGCTGACCCGAATAGTCAGACGAGGCACGGCATCATGGACGTCGTCTCCATACATGCACGTCGAGCGGCGACCATTGCCGGCAGTTGCCCAGCAGTGCCGACTTGGACGCCAGGGGTCCTCGAGAGGTGGCGCAGGGGACAGGCAGCACGAGTAATGAGCTGCTGCTCACCGTGGATAAAAAAAAGTGGGAACCAGAGCAAATTATCCTCGAGCTCAACGGGCAGTCAACGTTTGGCCAGCTCATCCATCTTCTCGTGCCCGCAAGCATAGCATCTCGCCCGAAGCGTCTTCTTCATCCGCTGTCCTCTGCAAACGTCCAACCATGTCCAGCGCCTTTGTCCAGCGCCCCGCCCCGGGCTTCACCACCACGGCCGTCATGCCGGGCGGCGAGTTCAAGGAGGTCTCGCTGTCCGACTATCTGGGCCAATGGTCAGTCCAGTCCTCCCCGAAGCAACCAGGCGAGAGATATGGGGGGGGTGGGGGGGGGAGAGAGAGAGAGAGAGAGAGAGAGACAGAGAGAGAGAGAGAGAGAGAGAGAGAGACAGAGAGACAGAGAGAGAGAGACAGAGAGACAGAGAGAGCATGAGAGAGAGCATGAGCTAGCTGCTGACCAGCCCAGGGTCGTCCTCCTCTTCTACCCCCTCGACTTCACCTTTGTCTGCCCCACCGAGATCATCCAGTACAACGACGCGCTGCCGCGCTTCCGCGCCCTCAACACCACGGTCCTCGGCCTCTCGACCGACTCGCACTTTGCCCACCTCGCCTGGACCGCGCAGCCGCGCAAGCAGGGCGGCCTGGGCCCGGACCTGCAGCTGCCCCTGCTGGCCGACAAGTCGCTGCGCATCGCCCGCAGCTACGGCGTGCTGCTCGAGGACGCCGGCGTGGCCCTGCGCGGCCTCTTCATCGTCGACCCCAAGGGCGTGCTGCGCCAGGTCACCGTCAACGACCTGCCCGTCGGCCGCAACGTCGACGAGACGCTCCGCCTGATCGAGGCCCTGCAGTTCACCGACCAGCACGGCGAGGTGTGCCCGGCGGGCTGGCACAACGGCGCCAAGACCATCAAGGCCGACCCCAAGGGCAGCCTCGAGTACTTTGCCGCGGCCGGGGGGGACGCCGTCGTGGTGCAGAACGGCCACGCCAACGGCAACGGCGAGGTCAACAAGCGCGCACGCCTCGACTAGAGACGGGGCAGAGGACACAGATGGCATGTGCCCAGTTGTAGCTGTAGTAGGTAGAATCGCTGGAGGGATAGACAAAGATGCGAGGGCAACCCAACTTTTCTAAGCTGGCCAAGCCGTCTCTCGAGTCTCAAGCGCGTCCGTCACGTGGCGATGCAGATGCCGCCGGGCCGATGGTGGTGCAACAGTGTTCAGCCATCGGGTGGCATTGGCGTTGACATGTCTCTGGGCAGTGGGCGGGTGGGGAGATGAAGGGACCTGATATGTCTCGCTTGGCCCAGTAAACATATATATATCACCGTCTATTCTTCGTACTCCGTATCTGTGCATAACTTATAATAAGAGCAGGTGACGACGGGGCCAGAAGGTAGGGACGGTAGCACCAGTGCAACCTACTTCTTCTTCATACATGCACTTGCACTCGGGTAGCAAAGATGGAGGCTGTTGGCCAACAGGAACTCTTTTGCTGGGCATTGTCCATGGCAGACACACTCGGCACGCGTTGGTTGTCGGGGTCTGTCAGTCCAACGGCCAGCCACCCGCTTAGCGCATGTGAGTTGAGTGAGTGAGTTGGGTGAGTGAGTTGAGTGAGTTGAGTTGAGTTGAGCTGAGTAAGTGAGTTAAGTGAATTGAGTTGAGTTAAGTGAGTTAAGTGAGTTAAGTGAGTTAAGTGAGTTAAGTGAGTTAAGTGAGTTAAGTGAGTTAAGTGAGTTAAGTGAGTTAAGTGAGTTAAGTGAGTTAAGTGAGTTAAGTGAGTTAAGTGAGTTAAGTGAGTTAAGTGAGTTAAGTGAGTTAAGTGAGTTAAGTGAGCGAGTGTAGTTGTTGCTGCTGCGGCTTCAACATAGGGCTGCGATTTGCTTATTCATAATCAGTCGCTCTTTCCTACACTCTTCAGCTTGCTGCCCTCTCGAGCCAAGTCTGCCCCATCCCCCCCCCTCTCCATGTTGTGAGACCCGAGCCTCTCTCTCTCTCTCTTTCTCTCTCTCTCTCACTCTCTCGTCACCAAATCCCCCCCTCCCCCCTCCCCCTCCCCACACCCTCCAGTCTCCGACACCGACGCAGCAAAACCCCACCGTCTCCCTTCTCATGGTACCAGCAAAGCCATCGTCGTCGACGACCTCGTCCGCCCCATGTCGACGCCGCCCGCCCCCAAGACATGCTCCCCCGCGGCGACGGCCTCCTCCTCGTCCTCGCTGGGCCCGCCGCCCCCCGACGTCGATGTCTCGGGCCTCGACGGCCTCTCCCTGGCCGAGCGCAAGTGCGCCCTCGTCGACCGCGAGCCCGACGCCCAGGGTATGGGCCGCTACCGGTGGTACGTCTGGGGCCTCTGCAGCTTCGGCTACTTCCTCGCCCTGCTGTGGGCCCAGGCCTTTGGCCTCGTCCTCGGGCCGCTGCAGCAGGAGCTCGGCTTCAGCAACAGCCAGTCGGGCGCATGTCGAGCAGCTTCAACGCCGGCTTTTTCTGAGGCTTCATGGCCGACGTAGTGGGAACGGACCGGCCCCCTCCCCCCTGGCCATGCTCTCTCCCTGTCTCTCGCCTCTCTCGTCTCTCCCGTATATGCTTCATCGTCTGGCCTCGATCAAGGCCGTCGTCGGGTCTTTAACCTGACCTGCCTGCTGTCCTCCGTCTTTGGCCTGTGCCTCGGCGCCGCAAACAGCTATAGCGCCTTCCTCGTCCTCGCCGCCTTGTCGGTTTCGGCGTCGGCGGCAACATCCCCATCGACGGCGCCATCTTCCTCGAATTCATCCCCCAGGTCAGTCGGGCCCCTTCAGCCTAGACGCACGCACGCGACCCTCCAAAGCTGACTCCATCCAGCGCCGCCGCTTCCTCCTCGCCTGCCTGTCCGTCTTCCAGCCCGCCAGCGTCATCGTCTGCAGCGCCCTGGCCTTCGCCTTCATCCCCGGCAACTCGTGCGCGCCCAACTTCGCCGACACCGCGCCGCTGCCCTCGTGCCGCGCGCCGCCGCCGCCCCGGGGAGCCGTGCTGCCCGCGCGCCGACAACATGGGCTGGCGCTACCTGCTCTTCACCCTCGGCGGCCTGACCCTCGCCGTCTTCTTCATGCGCACCCTCGTCTTCACCTGCCAGGAGACGCCCAAGTTCCTCATCTACCGCTGCCGCGACGCAAAGGCCATCGAGACCATGGCCCACGTCGCAAAGACCAACAACACCCGGTGCCGCCTCACCCTCGACGTCTTTGACTTTGTGCAGCCCCAGCACGACTGCCACCAGGTCCGCTCCGAGCTGAGCCCCCTGTACACGGACAAGCGCAAGCTGTCGCCGACGAGCTGCACCAAGAGGCTGCGGCACGGCCTGGGCCGGCTCAAGATTCCTTCAACTCGACGCACATGACGGCCTTGACCATCCTGACCTGGTTGACCTAGATCCTCGACTTTGGCGGCTTCACTATTGCCGGCTCGTGGCCTTTGACTTTCCCGTCGTCCCACTCCTCCCCCCCCCCTTCTCCCCAAAATACCCGTACTGAGCAACCTATGCCATGGCTTCTCACCGCGCCTCAGTCCCGGGGCATCTGACGTGTCGTGTCTTGACTTACTTACACCGTGTCCCAGGCTTCTACCTCCCCGCATCCTGGCCTTCAAAACGGCGCAGCTTCCATCGGCCTCGAGCACACCTACGCCTCGTACATCTACTACTACGGCCCCGGCATCGTCGCCGTGCTACTCGGCGCCTTTGACTCGCGCGTGCCGGCCATTGGGCAAAAGTGGACCATGGTGGCCTCGGCGGCCTGCATGGGCGCCTCCATCTTCCTGCTCTCCCAGGTCGACACCCCCGCCAAGAGCGAGGGCTTTTTCGTCCTCGAGTACTTCTTCCAGTCCATGTTCAACGCCGTCCTCTACGCCTGGACCTCGCGGGCCGCCTGTTTGGCATCGTCAGCCCCCTCATCGCCCAGTCCTTGTACGGCCGCTCCGAGGCCGGCGTCAACGCCGTGCTGTACCTGGCCGGCAGCGTGAGGCTGGGCTGCGTCTTGACCACGGCGCTGTTGCCCACGCGTATCGTGGAGGATTACTCGGACAGGGGCTCCAAGGCCCACAAGGTCGTCCCGGCACAGCCTTGATGGCTGCTTTTCACGATTCCAAGATGCTCTTTCAAGGGAAGATGCTATACGAGCGGCCATGGATGGGGCATGGAGCATGGGGCTTGAATATGCAAGGAGGTATATATATATATGCCCGGGGTGGGAGGGTATCGCCGGTCGGAACGGTCATGGCTATTTCCAGATTCACACTCACAAACAATCGCGAGAGAGATTCCTCCCCCCATATGTCGGGGAAGCAAGTGTTACTTAGCGCTCGATACCTTGCATGTAGACGACTTTTCTTTGATGAATAGTAGAAATCGACGGAAACATGTTGGACTAGCTCAAGGAAATATTAGGGACAGGCTACTTCTTATCGAGCGCGACAACTAGACACGCATATCGCCATCACGACGCCGCCTCTCGACCATCTCTTCTCCAGCACTCCGGTGATGCGCTGGCCATCGAGAAACAAGCGGAACCTGTCTAGCCGAAAACCTTCGTGTTCCTGCATATCCATTTCCACATGGCCAACATCCTCTTCCGATCCAGCGGCTTAATGCCGTCTATTGTCGCCGAAACCCGCCTCGTCAGGCCAGTTTCAAACACGAGCACCGGCTGCGCCTGATTGTCGCCAACATCACCCGTCTTCCGGTGGGTCAACTCGCTCTTGAAGAGCGGAAACAGGGGCAAGTACGGGTGCCACATGCCTGACGCTGTGAAGGCGCCCTCGAGGCGGTTGAACCACTCTTCGGTCGGCATCAGGTCAAGAGGACGGCCCTCGGCCTGTTCTGCTTCCGCGATCCACTGCATCCATTGGTCCCATGTCGGCGTGGTATGCGGGTTCAAGACGTGATACACGGCCGTTCCCACCTCGGCCTGCCTTGCGCTGCCGTCCTCGCTCTCCCTGCCGGGGGCCATGTTTTCGTCCGGCAGGGCAATCTCCAGTATGGCCTGCGCTGCAAGCTCTACCGGCATCCAGTCCGCAATCACATCAGGTGCCCCCGGCAGGCACCCCATGATGCGTCCCAAGCCAAGTCCGAGCGGGTATATCTCCGTAGCGTTCCAGGCACCCATCTCGTCGCCGCAGAGCTGGCCACCGCGGATAACGGACACGGAGCAACGGCGAGGACCCTGCACACTGCTCCCGTCGATGCCGCCGCCGCCAGCAAGGTGCCTGCAGGCTGCCGCGCAGACCCGCTCAGCGACCCATTTTGATCCAGAGTAGCCTATCGGCAAGGCGTCCGAGGCGTCTTCGGATAGCCTCTCCGCCGCCGTCGGGGTGCCCACGCGCAGCATGGCCGTAAAGGAGCTGATGAAGAAGAAGCGCGCACCGCTCTCCATCGCCAGGCCGATCAAGTTGCGCGTCCCCGCAATCTGGTCCTCAAAAGAGTCGAGGCGGAGTCTAAAGTTGACTGTCCAGGCCGCGTGGACCACGACAGTGGCTTCTTCCACTATGCGCCGCCACTCTCTCTCCGCCAAGCCCAGATGTGCGTCGACCAGGCCGCACGGGAGGCACGCCACTTTTCTGCTGCCGCGGCATCCCCTCTCGAAACTGCCTTCGGGCTGCTCTAGGTCGGGCATGCCGCGATCCGCCAGCGCCGCCGAGACGCGCGCGCGAGCCGCGTGCGGGGACCGCGCCCTGACGAGGCAATATACTGCTTTGACGCGCGCGTCCTGCCGGAGCCGATGCAGCACGTACACGCCCAGAAACCCCGTTGCGCCTGTGAGCACCACGACGGTGCCGTCCTTGACCCGCGGCGCCGCGCCGAAGCTTCCTCCAAAGTCGCTGTATTTCTCAGCGAGGTCGTACATGGCCTTGAGCCGCGCCTTGTCGTCATCTCCCTCGTCTGCATCGTTTCCAGCAGGTCGGCTGGCGTTGCGGACTCGACGCAGGTACGCCGTCAGTTCCTCGACGGTTCCCCAGTCGTAGACGACGTTTGAGGGCAGGCGTTGTTTCCCGAGTGGCGACAAACACGTCGCCTCGATCAGGTTCCGCACCTGGATGCAGGCCATGGAGTCCACGCCCTGCTTGAAGAGATCTTGATGAGCGTCGACCTGGCGCCCGAGAACCCGACGAAAGCAGTCCAGCACGGCCGAGAGCAGATCCTCGTCTTTGACCGGCGTGGAACCAGGTGACATGGCCATTGGCCTCTGGTACGCGGCCTCTATCACATCTACGTATCTCTCCTCGGCCTGGCGGCGCAGAATCGTTCCCTTGCTGCGCTTGTCAAGAGACCTCTCTCCCCCTTGCGCAGACACGGACACGACGAGCAACATTGACCTCGGAATCCGGGCGTGGCTCTGCGTTGCCGAATTTACCCTGTCTACCACAGACCATGCTGCATCGACGAGCTCCTCGGGAGGGAGCTCGCCACTGGCTGGGAACAAGAGGATGCCGGCATAGTCCCTGCCACTCCCAAAGATTTGCACATCTTGAAACAGCTTTGTCGAAGCCAAGATGTCTGCCTCCATTGGCGAAGGATCGAACTTCTTTCCATTGACGAGCATGATCTGGGCGTCGGCTCGGCTGTGATGGCGCCACGCGTTTGGCCTTGAGGGGTGTGCCTCAAACAAGTCCGAGGTGGCGTAGGAGCCGTCAGCGCGGTTCGTCTTGGCCATGCACGGCCAGCCCGGCTTCACGACCAGCTCGCACAAGTCATCCTCGCGAGGCTCAAACTCAAGGAGGCTCGCGTCATCGACGGGCCGCAAATACTGCCACTCGGCGTCGGCCGAGTAGTCTCGGTGGGACGACATGAGAAAGCCGCACTCGGCACTGCCCATGCGCGACAGGAGCTTGACGCCAGCGCGGACTAGCTTGTCACCCACGGGAGCCGCCAGGGGCGCACCGCCCACGCCAACCAGGTCCATGGTCCGCAGGAGCTCGACGCCGCGGTCCTCCTCGGCGAGCCACTGGAGGACAGAGGGCATCGACGAAAGGTACTTGACCGGGACGCGGCTTGCGGCGCGAGCAAAGGCGATGGCGCTCACGAGGTTGGCCGTGGTGATTGGTGCATGGCCCTCGGGGAAGCACCAAATCATGGCGCCGCTGGTCCAGGCCCGGAGGCAGTCTGCGAGGCCTCCGTGATACAAGGGCGTGGCCGAGAAGGTGGCGGCATTCTCTCCGTCGGCAAAGCGCGGGAGAGCCCCGACCACGCCAGCATGGCTCTGGGCGATGGGCTTTTGCAGACCAGACGACGTGCCTGACGTGTGGAGCCAGTATGCGACATCGGGCACCTGGCGGCATTCTCCGGGCCACGTCTCGTGATGCTCGCGATAGGGGGGGATGTCGAGGACTCTGATGCCGCCGTCAATGCACTGGCCCTGTTCCCGATGACGGCCATCGACGAAGATGGCTTGGACCTTCAAAACAGCGCAAAGGTGCTCAATCGCCGGCGGCTGCAACCGAGGACTGCGGGCACCATCCAGTCAGACAGACGCTCGACCAGACCGACAGACATGGCCGGTGTCGGCAACTTACGCCAGTAGCAGCGTCGACCACCCCAGGCGCATGAGCCCGAGCAGCGTCGAGACAAAGTCGGCGCTGCTCGTGCTCAGCAGTCCGACGGTGGGCGCCGCTCCGTCGCCGCCGGGCGGCGGCCCTATCAAGCCGGACAAGGCTTGCGCCGCAGACAGCGACAAGTCGCGGAGCCCTTGGAACGAGATGATTGTGTCGTCGGCTGTGTATACGTCAGCCTCGACGCTGCAACAACAGTGCCGCTGTTCGAGGACGGAGAGGAGGCAGCCCACGCGTCTTGCCTGTCAAGGGCGCAAAGCCGAGGGCCGGGCGCTGGGGAAAGAGTCTGGCCTGCTCGTCAACCAGCTCGACGACTGTCCTGGCCGAGTGCACGCCATCGAGGCCTTGTTGCTTGCGCTGGGCGGCCTGTCCAAGCGTGCAAGTAAAGTAGTTTGCGTCGGCCATGGTTGCGGGAGCGTTGATGGAAGCCGCCGGGATCCTTCTCGACTACTTTTAAATAGTGCCGCCACAGAGCAACTCCCGGCCATGGTGATATGATGAGTCGCCATGGGTCGGAATCGGTCCACGTCATCGACGTCACCACGCAATGCATTCTGATCGACCGATGCCAAGAGCCATGGCGAGGCAAACCGAGCACACGTGTCTACGTCCTGGCGCTGCATGCAACGCCTCCGATTCTGGTTGCCGGCCAGACAGCGCCATGACAAGTGTCCTGCAGCGACGGCTTGCGGCCGTGGTTGGGAGAGCCGCACAGTCAACTACGTCCACCTACCGAGAGCATTGCGAGCCGCCTTTGATTGCTCGAGGTGCATGTCGGAAGGTGAAATGCCGCTGAGGGTCACATTGGCATGAGCCACCGTTGATGTACGGCTTAGAGATCGACTCATTCGTCGGGTGCAAGCAACATCAAGCCAACAGAAATTCACTCCTGTTGGTGAGTTACACCGCCGAGGCCGCATCTTTGCTGCTGTTCATTAATAACTCATGTCAGCACATCTACCCTGCTGGTAAGTCACATCCTGCCGACACGCCACGGCGGGAGAGGTCAGGTGGCCCGCTTGGAGACGCTGATGGCACCCGCGCCTCCGAGCGTGGAGTCAATGTCGGCCAAGAGCCGCTCAATCTCGTCGCCTACCTGGTGGGGCTGAGCCTTGTGCTCTGATGAAGTAGTCGAGGGTTCGTCGAGTGAAGCTGGGCGGTGCTCCAAGGTATGAGGCGACTTTTCTGCGAGCCCAGTTCTCGTTGATCATGGCCAAGTCCCGAAGCTGCTGGCGCTTCCTGTCATTCTCGTGCTCCAGGGTTGACGCGGCAGTGGCAATGACGACTTGGATCAGCTCCTTGGCCCTGTTGACTCTGCCGGCGAGGGAGGGGGTGACGGGGCAGTGAAGGGACTCGCCGAGATGGTCGGCAGCGGCCCTCGAGCGAGAGACCTGTCCACGGCCTTCCTTGACGGATCCCTTGCCGTGGAGGGCGATAGAGGCGCCGGACTTCGTGTTGAGGGTTCTGAGGCTGCTGCCGCGAGGGTCGAGGATCTGGCCAATGAAGTTAACACCCGGGTAGTCGTTGACAGGCACGTAGACCTTTATGCTGAATGAGGTCGGGCGGCGGTAGCCTGGTAGTGGTTGGTATTTTGGAATCGTCTTGATGGCCGTCTGGACCAGGCATGTCTCTCGTCTTGGAGGGATCTGCGATGACGCTGCAGACGGGTGTTTGTGCGCCTGCCCGACTGGTCGTATTCGGGCTCTGGCGAGGGCTATTTGCTCCGCTTAGCAGGCACAAGGTCATGCGATTGCAGTCTCTAGGTGATTTCCTGGATGCGAAAGACGGTCATGTAAGCGTCGAGCTGCTCGGTCGTCATGGCAGACGTGATGGCAGTGGGGAGGAGGCACTTGGGTCCAATCAACGAGACAGTGTCGGGGACAGGCGGCTGCTTGCGGTCATTAGGATCAAGCTTCATTGTTGGATCGCCTTTGGTTCGTTTGTGGTCACGTTTGGATATCACAACGACAGTGGACAAGTGAAGTTGAACGAGAGAGAGCGGGAGGAGAGGGAAGAGGGGCTTTTATGAATTCACTTGCGTCGCTAACAAACTTTGACCAGACGTGGGTGGAGGTAAGTTATGCTGGGGCTGCAATTACTCTGAGCCTGGTCACGTGCAGCTCTCGAGCAAGTAACCACGGTGTAAAATTACTCGACCGTCGACTTCGCCTTCAACAACAGCTGGCGAGACGACTGCACAGTAGTGGTAGAACTAGCTCTACAGTACCAGTTGCAAGATGATGGTGGGGGCCTACAACTACCTTATCAGACCGAAGTAGGCGAGAAAGCGAACAACCCCGACAGGTGGGGAAAGGAAGAGCATAGAAATGGCTAAGGTGGATGACGATGCGGAATTCAATCAAGTTGGATTGCAAAAGAGAATCGTGCCAGAAGCATTACATAAACTAGCTAAACTAACCGACTTCATGACTTTGGAGTCTTTGCTGCTAGTGCTCGTCATGTGTTGCCTGTCGCCATGCTCCGTGCCCTCTACGCAATATTCTCCCATCAAGCACTTCCCGCATACCCAAATCACGCCTTATATTCTCCCCCTCCAAGTTACCCTCTCCAATCCTCCCCTCCTCCCCCCTCACATAATTCGCAACCTCTGCTATCGCGGCCTGCCCGCTCCTTGATGCCCCCTCTCGCAACGCACGTCCGGACCACCCTCCGCATCGCCGCAAGCCTCGCCCGCCGGCTTCCCCGCTCCTCGGCAACGCAGCCCCTCGCCACCGCTCTGGGCTCCCGGCTCCCCCGGTCCCGCGCCATGGCCTCCGCCGCCGAGAAGCGCCTCGCCGGCAAGACAGTCCTCGTCACCGGCGCCTCGTCCGGCATCGGCCGCTCCACCGCCCTAGAGTTTGCCCGCACCAGCCCCCGCGACCTGCGCCTCATCCTGGCCGCCCGTCGCGTCGACTCTCTCCGCCAGCTCGCTTCGCAGATTGCCGACGAGGTGGGCCACGGCGTCAAGGTTCTTCCCGTTCAGCTTGACGTGAGCAAGCCGGATGAGGTTCGCGGCTTTGTCGGCAACCTCCCCGAGGATTGGAGGGATATTCATGTTCTCGTCAACAATGCGTGAGTCTGCGTGCGTTGTGAACACCACTCAAAGTGTCGTTGTGAGCTGATACCGTTTCCCAGCGGCCTCGTCAAGGGGGTAGCCCGGGCCCCCGACATCGACGAGCAGGACACCGACATCGTCTTCTCGACCAACGTCACCGGCCTCATCAACATGACCCAGGCCATCCTGCCCATCTTCCAGAAGCGCCCAGACGGCGGCCGTGGTGACATCATCAACGTCGGCTCCATTGCCGGTACGTTTTCCCAAGCCGACGCCGCACGACAAGCTTGATCTGAATTCTGACAATGCATCATGTCCACAGGCCGAGAAGCGTATCCCGGCGGCTCCATCTACTGTGCAAGCAAGGCCGCTGTGCGCAGCTTCACCGAGAGCTTGCGCAAGGAGCTCGTTGCCACTAGGATCAGGGTCATCGAGGTCGACCCGGGCCAAGTCGAGACGGTAAGTCGACTCGGACGCTGGTAAAACTCGGCTTGCATCCACGCTAACCTGGTCCGCTTTGTCAGGACTTCTCTCTTGTCAGATTCTATGGCGACAAGGCCAAGGCCGATGCCGTGTACGCGTAAGTCGAGTCTTTCATCCCCTGGCCACCATGTGGTGCAGCTGCTGATGACAGGCTGTGTATTTCCAGGGGCTGCGAGCCCCTGACCCCGGACGACGTTGCCGAGGTCGTCGTCTTCGCCGCTACCCGTCGCGAGAATGTGGTTGTTGCCGATACTCTCATCTATCCCAGCCACCAGGTGAGGAGTAGACAAGCACATCCAGCTTGTGAACCGGACCCAGCTAATTCGGCCTTGCTGCAGGCATCGGCGCTCATCATGCACCGCAAAAACACATAGAGAAAGGCTAAGGCGGATGCCAGAGGGAAGTATATTTATCAAGTAGAGATTTGCCCAAGGGCCACCTCCGTTTCGATCCTGACTTATTCATCACCCCACTGCTTTCTTGCGCATCGTCTCCAGGACATCAGCGATGAGCCAGGCCGTCGCATGCTCATTCATCATACATCAACCCCGTGCCTCGCCACCATGTCGGCTTGTTCGAAAAGTTCTCTTGCCTCTCACTCACTTGCCAGAGGCAGTGACCACGACGGATCTAAGTGAGAGGCCTTCTAAGATCGATGGAATTTTCTCTACCGGCGTTCCGTTAAGGATCCATTCTGGGTTGAATCAGATCCTTGCCATCATAAATGATAGCACCGCCGGTGTTCAAAGATAACAAGAAAAGAGGAACACAGCAGACAACAGTCACAGGCGGCGTTGCCAGGTGCGTGCCCGTAGCAGAGGTCACGGCGAACTCCACGGGCCAAAATGAAGAGTCGCTTGATGATGACTGCCACCTACTATCTTGACAAGTTGCAGGCGTCTTCTTCCCACCGTGACTTTCCCAAGGAGTTAACCGAGACGCCGCGCTCGCATGGAGGAGAAAATGGATAAGGAGTTCTGGAGAGTAAGGACACTGGGAACGAACCGCGGAAGCAGAAACAGCATCAGTTCTTCGCAGGATATGACCATGGTCGAGAGCACTAGCCCCGGTGCGAATTGATCCCTGGCAGGCGTGGAATGGGCTCAGTCTCCGGTGTGCTGAAACAGAGGCGAGATGGACTCGCCATAGTGGTTGCGGCGAATCGCTTCGGCCAGCAGGGACGACAGATCAAGAATGACCAGCTTGTTGGTATTCGTCGCCCTCTCTTGGTTGATGGGGAAGCTGTTTGTAACCACGATGGTATCGATGCACTCGCACGCCTGTAGTTGCTCCAAGCAATCCCCCCCAAAGACGCCATGCGTGGCGATGCAGTACACCTTCTTGGCAAATCCCCTTTTGACGACTGCCTCGGCTGCAGCAATCCATGATCCTGGTTTGTCAATCATGTCATCGACAATGAAGACGGTCCGGTTCTTCACGTCACCGACAAGAGTAATCATGTGCTCGGCCTTTGGGTTCTGAAGCGCGTTGTCTTCCTCGTCGGAACTGGCAGCCACCGGATCGCCGCCACCCCCAAGGGACTGTCCCTCGGGCGCCAAGAAGGAGGCATGAGACGCGGCCATTGGGTCTTCGTCGACGCTTTGTTCGGTTGCCGACATGGCGGGGGAAGGGAAATCATCCTCGACGATGTGGCCCTTGACCAGGCGACCATGAATCACCTCTTGAGCACGCCGATCATCGAAGCCTTGTTGATCCCCGGCCGAGGAAAGCCGATGAGTCCGGCGCGGTGGCGTTTTGGTGGAGACGGCGGCAGCCGACGGACCACCGTCCGAAGCCCCGGGAGAGCTTTCGCCACGGCGAGTAGGTGAACCCCTTGCATTTGCAATCGTTCTAGAGCTCCCTGACGGGGCTCTTCCGGAGATTGATTGCCGCTCATGCTCGACATTCGGGGTGTGGGAGGTGGTGGAGCACGCCTCGGCACGGTTCAAAACCATGCTTGCCGTCATGCTTGTGCCACGCTTCCTATCCGTCGTCACCATGCCAAAGTTGAGCTTCAGAGCATCGGCAAGCGACGTGACTCGCTTGGTGCCACCAGCGTTCTTGGAAACAACAACAGCTTCCCGCCAGTTGGGGACATTGCGACGAACCCACTTGGCAATGATGGGCTCGGCATGCAAGTTGTCCACGGGGCACTTGAAGAACCCTTGCATCTGCGAGGCATGGAGGTCGACGGTGATGATGTGCTTGACACCAGCGACTCCAAGCAGATTGGCAAGCATGCGTGCGGTGATGGCACCTCGGTGGGACTTCTTCTTGGACTGGCGGCTGTAGGGAAAGTAGGGGAGAACGGCTGCGAGCGATGAGTATGATGGCAGCGGGGGTAACGCCAGGACTGCAGCAGAGCCGTGTACGAACCTGTGATCTTGTTGGCCGATCCGCCCTTGCATGCGGATATCATGATGAGAAGCTCCATGATGGAGTCATTGATCCTAGGGCTGCCGGACTGGACAACGAAGACGTCCTTTTCGCGGACACTGGTCAAGATCCTCACGCTGGTCTCGCCCTTTTGCCCAGGTGGTCAGCCCAGAAGCCCAACGGTCAGGCGGGCAGACGAGAGGACCAGGAGCTGCGGGGAGCTCACATTGGAGAACTGTGTCAGCTCCGCGTCCGCAGGCGACATTCCCAGATTCTCACATATTTGTCCAGTGAGAGCCGGGCAGGAGTTGCCGGCGAAGATGAGGGTGTTGCGCATCGTGGCGGATGCACGCACGGCGCGAGAGTGAAGGAGGAGGAAGACAGGTTGGTGGAGGTGAGAAATGACCTCGGGAAGTTTTTAACCCCTGCCTGATGATTTTTTGCCTTTGGCTGTGTTCCAAAGTGGGTTACCGTGCGATTCGCGGAGGTATACTGTACGTTGGGTATCCGTATGTTGAGTATCCGTACTCCGTACGTTGAGTGTCCGTACTCCGTACAGCAAGGTCCCGGCTGCGCCCCCTTGGTCCCTTATTGGCCGACCGCCAACAGACGTCCTCTAGCCGGTGCTCGACAGTGTCCCGAGAAAGAAATACAGTACCCAGCACTGTATCACCGCCGACCAGAACCTTGGCCACGAGTCCCACCACAACTGCCCTTGTCACCACCACGTCGGCGTTCTCCGCCTTCTGCTGCATCGCTGCGAATCGACCACCGCGAGTGCCGACAAACGGGGTAAAAACGCAGCTCTCCCGACTGTCTACCTCGGCCGCCATGGGCATCCCGCGACTCACGACTACCCTACAGCCCTATGCCGATCTTTGTGTTCTGCAGGACGAAGCTGTCGTTATTGACGGGCCGGCTTTGGCATACCACATCATCCATGTCTGCAGAATAAATGGTGTCGTTCAACCGTCATATCGACTCGTCGGCGAGACCACCCTGGCCTGGTTGGATGAGCTATCAAGCCATCAAGTGGTCGTGTAAGCAAATTTCTTGGGTCTACGGAAAGTCTCATGGGGCTCGACTAACGCACCGTGAGTCGTTGGGCCCCTGCAGCCAGGCCATTTACTTTGATGGATATCTCCCGACGTCTAAACGGGAGATTCGCATGGGGCGACTGATGAGGAATTCCGCTCAGATCGGCAGGCTCTTCTCCGACAACCCTCTCGGATGCCCACGGAGCCAAATAGCAGCTGTCGGTGGCCAGAACCATGGCCTGAATCGCTTCAAGAGCGTCTGCTTAGATGTCTTTAAGGCCGGCGATCCGGGCACCAAGCCCTTTGCGGACCCAAGCTTCTTCGTACCAGCCGTCGTCGACGCTTTAAGATCCAGCGATCGATACCGGAAGCTGGTCCGGCTCGTGCCCGGCGAGGCGGATGCCGTCTGTGCCAGACATGTGGCGGAACACGGTGGCCTGGTGCTCACGTCGGACTCTGATCTTCTCGTCTACGACTTGGAAGCTGGCAAGGTCGCTTTTTTCCGGGACCTACACAGGGGCGCCGACTCGGCAATCCTGTGCTCCAGCTTCACACCCCGCTCGATATGCGGACAACTCGGCCTATTGCCCTCGACTGGCATCCTTCGAGTGGCGTACGAGCTGAAGCATGCACCCCAGGCGACGCTTCCGCAGTTATCTCGAGCTTGCGAACAGCCAGCGGCAGACCTGTTGGACTTCCTCGAGTTCTACAAACAATACCAGCATGACAAAGAAGACGAAGACTTCCGCAATCTGGGCCACGAATTCTTGCCGCGACTCACGGCTCTTGACCCACGGCTGTCAGAGCTCGTCGTCCAGCTCTACAGCCCCTCGATTAAGTGGCATTCCAACAGCGCCGCCAGAGTTTTCCTTCCTGTCCTGATTGAAAACCTCGACCGGGGCAGTGCGTGGCAGCAGAGCACCCCCATTCGCCGATTGGCCTACACCTTGCTCAAGATGGGCTCTGTCAGACCAAGCATGCCGATACTGGAACACAGACGCGTTCAAAACGTGGCACAGAAAGGACGGCTGGTTGAAACCGCACCCGCGGCTGAGGCCCAACAGTACATCGACGAGGTCTTGAATGTCATCGAGCGCTTGAAAGACTTGACTTGCGTGGCAGGCAGATACTATTGGCCTCTGGTTGGCCTCGCTCTTGACATGGGTGAATGCCAGAGGCAGGGCAAACAGTCACACGCCTGGCACATGTTCCAACAGCGGTACAAGCAGTCGCTGGCGTGGGCCAGCAAAATCAGCTGGGATATCGTCCATTTCTTTGCCCAAGTTCAAGCTGCGTTGTACTCGCTTCGTATGCTGCGTCAAGTGCTGTCTATTGTTCGCGAGGGTGCGACCAAGTACCATCTTCCATCCAACGCCAAGCAGCTATGGTCGGCAATGCTTCACTTCCCTTCACTGTCCAGTTTTCCCGACATTGATGACATCCTGAACCTTCTCCTCGGATCAAGACAAGTGGGATTTGTGCGAGAGTTTGGCGAGCTGATGCGCTTGCATGTGCCGTCAACATCCGAGCTTGGCGGCAGTGTCAAAGTTGCAGCGGGCAGTGGCATGGATGAGGACATCCGGAAGCTGGCCGCCAAGCCCATCTCGAACAAAGCCAACATGTTCGGCCCATTGTCTATAGACTAATGATAGATGGGTCATCTTTGAGTGATGTCCATTATTAGGTATCTTCGCAATCAACAGTGGACACGGCCAACACAGCGTTGTGCTGCCCCTTCAGGACACTCCAGGGACATCCTTCGTCACTCAAGATCTTCGCCCACCGCATCTCACAAGAACGACCGCTTTCCCTTATGCCATAGCTCCCCAAGTCCCCTCTGAGCCATGAATTTCATCCAACAATTGGAGGAATGGATTCGACCTTTCCTGCAAATTCTTGACATCCTGTAGCAAGTCTTCCTGCGCGGCAGAGCTCCCTGCTACGCGGATAATCCGCCAAGCGCGGCGAAACTCATCACGTATCGACACGATGCCGTTGTGCGTGACTGTTCGGGCGACGTTATGATCCAGCTCGAAAGGATCCTCGATGGCGAAAAGGTAGCGGTGACGTATCTCCTTGACCTCCCCGCCCTTCTTCGGTGGATGTGCCTGTTGGCCTTTGTTGGCATGGCCGGCTGCGCCTGATCCCATGGCCTGCTCGGCCTGGGGGTTGGCCGCGCTCTGAACTTCAAAGACCGTCTTCGCCCCGGTCCAGCCCTTTTCCTGCTTGGTGAGCAATCCGCCTTGCGCCCGTAGGCTCAGGACGTCTCTTCCCCAGTCGAAGCCCTTGCCAACGCCGCTGCTCAAGATACCGGTGTGCGCAAAGTACTCGAAGAAGCCGCGCAAGAGGTTTCCGAGACTCTCGGCGTTGTGGTTGAGCTGTTTGGTGCCTGCGAGGTGCAGTATTTCGCGCTCGTTGCGCCAGAACTGGATGTTGCGGCCGCGGCACCAAAGTGTCGTTTCAATCTCGACCGGTGATGGATTTGAGCTGGGCCCGGGTGCAAGGTGCTGCAAGTTGGGACACACAAACGGTTGGACGACGTTGACGAGGTAATGCAACACCATCAGTACATAGCCATAGCTGCTTAGGGTGCCGCGGTAGCCAGAGTTTATCCCCCGCGCCTTTGCCCAGTGCTTCACAAAAAGCACCATTGGCCGCACTCTGGGATCTGTGTGGGAGTAGCAGCGCAGGAGCGCAGTGTTGTGGAGAGCGAGATGGGCGGAGAAGTTGATGTCGCACTGGACGCCGGCTCCAGACGTGGGAAACTCCAGGTCGTCTCGATATTTGTCCCTTGGCTGGCTCGAAGCCATGTTGTGTATGTCATGTAGGTCTCGGATCCTCAGGATAAGCAGGATTGATTCGGGCGGCACGGGAATGACAAGCTTGTAGTCCACCGGCCCTGTATAGGCTCGGCGAGGCGGCGACCGGAGCAGCGCAATGTAGTCTGCAATGTCCCTCGTCTGGCCCGCATCGAAAGTGCCCTTGTCAAGAGCGCTTTCAAGTTGTCGAGAAAGATGGAAAGTCTTATGCCCAAGGCCCACCGCCTCGAAGTCGACCTCGCCGTTTGAATGGCCGACTACCTCCTTGAGGAAGACGCGCACGTCATTCTGCGTGACGCCCGAGATGTATCGATTGGCGACTTCCAGCCGCGTTGCGTCGGAAACTTCCCGCGAGCCATAACGCAGGCCATTCAGGAAACCTTTGGTCCTCGCAAAGTATTGTGAAGGTGTTTCCTGCTGACCCTGCTCCAGGAGAATCAGTTGGACAGACGGTATTCTTTTGATCCTATCAAGAGCCATTTGCAGATCTTTGGTGTATTGAACGGGGTCAACGCCATAATTTCTCCTCCATTGGACGTCCTTCCAGGCAGACAAGGCCTGCTCGGCCTGTGGCTGGGCGTCATAAAGTTCGTCCCTGGCCGGCCAAGTTTCCCAGATCTGCAATGCCTGTTCTCCTTCCATCTGCGTGAAGACGCCAAGGAGAGACCGATCATTTGGCATGTTGTATAGCGGCTGAAAGGATAGAGAAGGGTATCTCGCCACTCGCTCCTGGAGCAAAGGGTCAGAGAGCCCTTGGATAAAAGCTTGGCAGACGCGGTTCAAGATTGCCCAGTCGGTAGCAGTGAATTCGCGTTGATTTGAAATGGTAACATCTCGTCCGCCTGCTCGACGCAACAGCCTCTTAGCTAGACCATAGTACGCTGCGAGCGTAAGGTTTGGACCCTGCCAAAGGCGAAAGCGTCTCGGCCCTCCGCCATCGCCGCACGAAATCTCAAACTCCGTGAATGGCACATTAGCATCCTTCTTCTGTGACTTGGGGCTCGCGACGCCATCGCACGGGGAGACTATTTCGTGTTCAAATTCTTCGTCGGCCGCGGCCTCTGGCGCCTCGTTCTCGACGCCGTTTTCCCACTTCTCACGCTCAGCCAAGAGTGCCTGGCGGAGGGATTCGGGAGGCTCTTCGCAAAGCTTGATGATGGGAACTCTCGTGCGGCTGAGTAGCCTTGCACCCAAGCCAGCATCGAGAAAGGCCTTTTCGAGCAGCCGCGGGATGGGCGATTCCGTTGCGTCAGGGGGGATCTTGGACATGGGCGAGAGCAATCCCAGGTCCATATCCGATGCCTTTGTTGCAAATCCAGATGACAAGCTCCCGAAGCATTTCAGGTCCACAGATGAAGGGTGAAAGTCGGATGCCTTATTTTCGAGTTGTTCATGGCGAGAGATTACGTTGCGACATATGAGTTCGATTCGTTGGCGGAAGTTTTCTTTCTGGGCGATTTCCGACAGTTGGATTTCCGACCTGGGAATGACTTGCTGGCAGAGCCTTTCCAGGAGCTCTACTTGCGAGGCAGCATCTTCTGGGTTGAAATAGGTCCGACGCTGATAGTGTGGGGGCCCAGGGGCATATCGAGATCTTTGTGTCGAAGATGGATCTTGTTGGAAGGCAGGGGGGGGGATCTGTTGACCATATGGCACCATGTTTGCGTTCCAAGAAGGATAGGCAGAGTGGTTTCGGGGAGAGACGTTCCAAGGTGAGTTTCCATAGAAGGCATCTGCATGTCCAACCGGGGGAATTGCAGTCGAGTGACCGGCAGCCTGTAAGTGTCGTTGGTCAGAGCGCGGACCAAAGGCTCGCCCCGGAGGCCCCACGCCAGGGTTGGCTTGACGTGAAAGTTGCTGAGCTCGTGAGTCTATGGGGATGGACGCGTGGGAGCTCATCTGCCGGCGCTGAGCCTGGTTCGGACGTCTCCTGCTAGCTTTGGACGGGGGCTCCGGGGGTGTCGCGAAATGTGCTGATGTCTCACGGCCAGTCGAAACATGAGGCACAGGTCTTGGAGGCTGCGTATCCTGCAGGCCAGGCTCGTCGCCCGGCGAGGCGCTGGCGAGGGCGAGGCTGCGCAGACGACTGTCCAAATTAGCAGTCGGGCCTTGGCCGCCTGGCTCAAACGAGCTCGGGTGTTCTGATGCCATGGTGGCCCGTGACGATGCCGAAGGAAAAGACAAGAGGTCGCGAGGGAGATGCAGCGCGTCCTCAGTTTATGGTCCCAAGTAGGGTCTTCGCGATGCAGTGAGCCGGACACTCTCCATGCATGCTCTACCAGGTCACTGCAATGTGGAAAGCCGACATTTGCAGGGACCTGAGGGGCAGCGAAGTTGCGAGAGGAGAAGAGGCGGGCTTGAGTGTTGTTTGTGACTGGATACACCATTCAGAGAAGGCTTGTTGACCGGGTGTGACGAATCTCAGGTGCTATGGGATATGTTCTTTGGCGAAGTTACCGTCGTACAACCAGGTCCAAGGGCGTTTTGTAGGGGTTCTCGACGTTCGGGCTGGTGGCTTGCGACTGGTCAGGGCCCCCGTAGTTCTCGGTGTGAAGAATGGCTCAAGGGTGGCGAGAGAGGATGAAGGAGGCCATGCGGAAAAGAGAGAAAACTAGAGCCCGTCCAGGCCCGGCCCACAATGATGACAATGCCTTTACACCCGGGCTTTGCGCTAATGGCTGTATGAGCTGAGCTGCATAAAGCATCAAGTTGAGGTCATGGGTAAGGTTTCCGTCTCAACTTTCGCGGCTGCTTTCGAGCCCGCATCGCTCCAGGACGAGGTGGAGGTTGCTGGCAGCCTCGCCGAACGGGGCACCTTATGTAATCGATGCATGGAAGCCCAAGGTAAGGTAACGTAATCCACCCCCTTCCCGGTCAGACCCCCTACTCGGTCAGAAAAAGTCTCCACGCGGCGACCCACACTTATGGCAAGACAAACCGAGCACTATGACGGCAACGGGAGACCAATCGGTTCCACGCGAAGAACGGGTCCTGCTCGCCGTCAGGGCCTATCAGCAGGGCCAATTCAAAAGTACCCGCAAGGCTGCGGCCGCATACGACGTCCTCAATCGACAGTATCTGATCGACTGCGCGGTGTCATTCGCCGACGCGACGCTCAGATGAACAACCTGAAGTTGACGGCGACGGAAGAGACTGCCCTGGTACAATGGATCTTGTCGATGGACGAGCGAGGAATGCCGCCGACAGTGGCTTACACTCGTCGGATGGCCAACTTATTGCTTTCCGAGCGAGGCAAAGATCCTGTCGGGGAAAACTGGGTGCGGAAGTTTGTTGGCCGCCACGGCGAAATCAAGGCAAAGTACTCGCCGATACGACTACCAACGAGCCAAATGCGAAGACCCCAAAAGATCCAAGGATGGTACGATCGAGTCGCGGCGACGAAACAGAAATGGGGATTCTTGACGAGGATGTCTATAACTTTGATGAGACGGGGTTTCAAATGGGAGTCGCTGCAACGGCGAGAGTCCTTACCCGGTCTGACCGGCGAGGTCGGGCAGTACTCACGCAGCCTGGAAATCGAGAATGGGTTACTGTGATCGAGTCTATCAACTGCCAAGGTTGGGCTTTACCGGCGAAGGTTATCTTCCAGGGCAAGTTACACCAAGCAAGCTGGTACGAATCAGGAGTGCCCGATGACTGGCATATCGCCGTTAGTGAGAATGGCTGGACTTCCGACGACCTTGCTTTGAATTGGTTAAAGGAAGTCTTTGATCCGAATACACGGCGCCGTACGGTTGGTACGCATCGACTTCTTATTCTCGACGGGCACGGCAGTCACGTCACGCCGGAATTTGACAAGTACTGTACGGCCAATTCCATCGTAGTACTCCAAATGCCTGCACATTCCTCACATCTCTTGCAGCCTCTTGATGTCGGGTGCTTTTCGCCGTTGAAAACCATATACGGCCGAAAGGTTCAAGAGAAAATGCTCGCTGGGATCCATCATATCGACAAGCAGGACTTCCTTCCCATGTACTTAGACGCTCGCCGACAAGCACTTTCGCCGTCGAATATCCGAAGCGGATTTATGGCAACAGGCCTTTTTCCGTTTGACCCAAACAGAGTATTATCGCGGTTACAAGTTCAGGTTGACAAAGTCGGTAACGATCACGGCGACAAGAATACTCCAAGTCCCAACAAGAGCCTGGAAGCAGCCAAGACTCCGCATAACGTCAACCAGCTTACCACTCACGCCGAAAGGCTTCTTCAACGCCGGCCACAAAATACAGACTCGCCAGTTTCACAAGCTATCAACCAGCTTATCAAAGGATGTCAAATGGCCATGCACAGCGCCGCCCTCCTTGCCGACGAAAACCGGCAACTTCGGTCAGAAAACCAGCGGCGAAAGCAGAGAAAGAACAGCGCCGTGAATACATTGGCGACGGCGGTACTCTATCGGTTGCAGAGGGCACGGTTAGGATAAAGCAACGGAGAGAAGAAGAAGAAGAGCGGGTTAAGCGACGGAGAGTGGAAGAAGAGGAGAGGACTAAGCGCCGGCGAGAGAAGGACGAGGAGGGCCAAGCGACGACAAGAAGGAGAAGAGCGGGCCGAGCGACGGCGACAAGAGAACGAGGAATGGTTCAAGCTACGGCGAGAAAAGGAAGAGGAGCGGGTCAAGAAACAGAGAGCAAAGGAAGATGAGCGGGCCAAGCGACGGCGGGAAGAAGGGAGCGGGACCAACGACTTATAGAAGAGCTGAGTGTCCCAAGACAGCGTGCACCACCACGGTGTAGTAAGTGCAGGTCTTTTGAACACACTGCCCGTACGTGTAATAGATAGTCCTAATCGAGTTACTTGTCTCTTGGAGTAAATATGTCGTGGTATTGTGCTCCGTTTGTCTCGCGTAAGGTGCGGGTCTAGTCGGTGGGGAATTTTTGACCGAGTAGGGGGTCTGACCGGGAAGGGGGTGGATTACGTTACTGCAGCCCGCTACCTGGGGAGCCAATAGAGGCGCGGGGGTCCGCGCCTTTAAAGTCGGCGCGGACGTCCGCGCCTGTTTTGTAAGCCCAGCCGGAAGATAGTCGGGCCCGCCTCCGGCCCCGACCTGTCCTCTCCTTTCTCTCGCCCTCCGTACTGTGGCAAGCATATCACGACCATATCCACGGAGGGTCAGCGCGCCGCCATTGCGGCCCAATTTATCCGCCGCCCTTACGCAGAGTAGGCCAATATGGAGCTTACTGAATTCCCTGACGATTGCCTTCCTCCTGAGGGTCAATTCGACTCGCGAGAGTCCCTTCTTGTCTCAATTAATGCGTGGGCAGCTCCAAGAGGCTATGCCTTCACCACAGGCAAGTCCACGAGAGACCCGCGGTCCGGAAGACGCACAGTCACATTTGCCTGTGATCGTGGAGGTAGACCAGGGGCTCATACAAGCAAGGACCAGAAGCCAGCTGAACGGCAACGGTCTACAAGCTCCCGTATCACTGGATGCCAGTTTTCCATCAATGCGAAAGAGAGCCTTGATAAGTCGTACTGGTATATCAGGCATCGCCCAGGCGAGGAGAAGTCGGTCCACAACCATGAGCCCAGTCTGCACATTACAGCACATCCAGCTCATCGTGCCCTCTCCTCAACTGACCAGTCAGCTATTGGGAACCTCGCAAGCGCCGGCATAGCACCAAAGGATATCCGGACATATATGCGCCAGAGCTCTCAGACTGCTCAAGGAGCGACACAGCAAGACATATATAACTGTATCGCACAGCGCAGACGAGAGCTTCTTGCTGGGCAGAGCACAATGCATGCCCTTGCCAATGAGCTTGACAACGAGGGGTTCCAAACCCGCATACAGCTTGACCATGACGGCCGAGTCACAGCGGTCTTATTCGCACACCCGGCGTCACTAGAATACCTCAACGCATACCCAGAATTACTACTTCTAGACTGCACATACAAGACGAACAAATATAAGATGCCACTGCTCGATATGATCGGCGTTGATGCCTGCCAACGGTCATTCTGTATTGCCTTTGCCTTTCTCAGTGGTGAAGATGAAGATGACTACATCTGGGCACTGGACCAACTCCAATCGATATACGAGTTATATGACATTCGCCAGCCATCCGTTATCCTTACAGATCGTTGCCTTGCCTGCATGAACGCAATTTCCCGGTGCTTTCCTGCGTCAAGGTCTCTGCTCTGCATCTGGCATGCGAACAAGGCGGTGCTTAGCTATTGCAAACCAGCATTCGACCGTGAGGATGAGAACTCTAACAGTGATGAGAAATGGGTTGAGTTCTTTGGGTATTGGCACTCAATCGTGAGCTCGAGAGATGAGGAGACATTCGATCAACAAGTTGAAGAGCTGGAGAAGCGCTTTGTACCACGATACGTCAAGGAGGTTAGCTACATACGGAAACCTGGTTGGACCCGTATAAGAAAAGCTCGTCAAGGCCTGGGTTGATCAATATGCTCATTTCGGCAATGTGGCTACTTCCCGGGTGGAAGGCATCCACGCATTATTGAAGAGCCACCTTAAGAAGTCAACACTAGACCTCTTCGAAGCAACGAGGGCAATCAAGCAAGCTCTTCTCAACCAACTGGCCGAGCTACAAGCCAACCAAGCCAGGCAGCATATACGGATGCCAATTGAGCTCTCTGGAACCGTATATAGCACGGTACGTGGCTGGGTATCACACGAAGCCTTGCGACAGGTTGCAAAGCAACACAAGCGCCTCAACGAGAAAGACATCCCTGCTTGCACAGGCAGCTTCACCAAGTCTCACGGTCTCCCTTGTGCGCACACATTACAGCCGCTCATAGAGGAAGATCTGCCACTCCGGCCACAACATTTTCATACGCATTGGCGCCTTCGACGGGATACCAAAGAGATTGGTCAGGTCCTCATAGAGCCTCGTCGGCGATTGGACCAACTTGTCGCCACATCGAGGATAACACAGTCATCCACACAGCGCGAGCCAAGTGCATTTGAAGCCATAGAGCCAGTTCTACGGCCAAAGGCGCCACCTACATGCAGCAAATGCCACCAGAAAGGGCACATCATGACATCTCGCAATTGTCCTTTACGCTATAGCGACATACTGCAGCGGGCAGAGGCACGGGCGGCAGAGACTGCAGAGACGGCAGCAATTGCAGCGACTGCACAGACTGCACAGACTGCACAAGCAGTAGCAATTTCAGAGACTGCACAGACTGCAGCAGTCATGGAGACAATCACGGTTGCAGTCACTACAGTCTCTACGGTGTCTACAATTGCTGCAGTCTCGACAGGAATTGCAGAAGCTACAGAGACTACGGAGAATCTACGATATGATGACCCACGAGCCATCTATCAGAGGTATGTCAGGGCAAGAGACTCTTGGTATAGAGCACAGCCTCGCGGCAATCTCAAGACCAACCAGGCATACCGAAAGGCAATGGGCTTGCCATTGCGCTACAGCAAGACTGAATATGACTGGTGCCTCGACTGGAAGCAAATGTCAAGGAGCTGCGGCTCGAGGAAATGGACCAAGGAAGAGATGATGGCATACCTTGATTGGGATAAGGCAGAAGAAGAGCGGTTAGATGCCCGGGTGGCCGAGGAAATGCAAGCGCAGCCTTTCTCACGAGAAAGAGGTACTGCAGGTATATGGGCTGACTGCGAGAGAGACTCGGAGGAACAGCAGGCAAACTATTCCCGCATATAAGTCGTCTGCTAGGACCGGTCTGTATAAGTGCGCCACAGTTGGAAACCACAGCAATTCTAGATTAAAAAAAATTTGAGTCGATTGACACTCAAATTGACGCTGTGGCCGTTGAGTACTTTTGCCGATGTGCGGGAGATATGTGCAGTAAAACTGGCGCGCCAGCGCGGTCGCGGCGGGCGCTGTTCGCGGCGCCCACAATGGCCAGCCGGGCTTACATAACAGGCGCGGACGTCCGCGCCGACTTTAAAGGCGCGGACCCCCGCGCCTCTATTGGCTCCCCCGCTACCTGGGCATGCTTACCTTAGGTATGTACGAATACTTCGTAAGTTACCTCTCTGTACCAGGTCAGGAAGAGATGTGAAGCAGCAGACCCATCACTTGGCCACGCGGGTTGTCCTGGGGTATTGTTGCCCATGAATTGCCATTCAAGTCGTGGTTTTTTTTTGAGCCGCTGGTGAATGGATGCTAAAGGGTATTGCTATTTGCCCAAGACCAGGCGGCAGTCATTCGAGCAGCTATTATAGTTAGGTAGTAGTCGAAACAGCCATTCGAACATATTATTACTAATCGGGCAGCCGGGCGAGTAGGTACTGTACCTACCTACCTAGCCGCTCGACGCTGAAAGAGACCTGCCGCCAGGCTGCCAGCTGCCAGCTGCTCGAGGTACCCAGTACCTGGTCCTGATGGCAGGCCCCACCCCCCCTCTGCTAGTCTGCTTCTTCCGAGCCTTGTCACCGACCACTTCACTCCGTTCTTTGTGTTTGCTCTCATCATTCTCCTTCACACTACCAATACCAACTAAATCGGCGAGCCCGCTTTCGACGAACCCTTCTTCTTCGACTGCAGGCGTCAGCTCTCCGACTCTGAAAACCACCGCTGTCGACTCGACCTTGCCTGCGAGCCACGATCGAACACCAGCTGCAACGCAATCATTCGGCGCCCGTTTCCCAACTTTCACATTCGTCCGCCAACGGTCTGTTTTCTTCACCACGCACACTTCTCCTTGCCGCGGCTCGCGTGTGTCCAGCGGCACACACACACGTCCATTGACGGCTCCTCGTCGCCGCCGCCATGAGTGCTCCTCCGCGGGGGGGCCAGAATGGCGTTCCGAGAAATACCAGGAAGCCGAATCCCCTGCGGCCCATGCGGAAGGCACCCCGGCCCGCGAACCCCCTCGTCGCACCCTCGCGAAAGCCTGCGGCCAAGCCTAGCTCGAAACCAGCTCCCAATGCCTCCCGAAACGCTGCCAAGGGTCCTGCCCTCGAAGAACTGCGCAGCATGTATGGTGGCTGGTCCGAACCTCCCCCACAGTTCCCCTACACCGACATCCCCATCATGACGACAAAGAAGGCTCTCATCGATGGAGCCCGCTTCCATGTCATGAGGTTCTTCCAGCCCAGGCTCAACGACAAGCCCGTCGACCCCACCGATCAAGACGCATTTGCTCGTCCTGTTACTCTGCACAGACGAGATGCCCGCCAGCCTCCGCCAGGGAGAGCCGTCAAGGCAGAAGACCCCGAGCCGCCGCAGACCGACGAGCTTGAGGCGGAGAGACTTGCGCAGATCAGGGCCGAACGAGAGGCCCAGCGTGCTATGGACCAAGCCAAGATCGCGCCCGTCGCCAAGGAGACCAACCCAAAGAGGCCAAAGAAGCAAAAGGAAGAAAAGACGTCATTCAACCGAGCTCCAAAGTCGGAGGCTGCCAAGAAAGAATCGGACCTCCGCTACGAGGAAGCGCTCCCTTGGCACCTGGAAGACGCTGACGGAAAGAATGTGTGGGTTGGTAACTACGTCGCGGCTCTCTCCAAATCCAGTGTCGCCTTCATGATCGACAAGTCTGTCTTCCGCATGGTGCCCCTCGAGAAGTGGTACAAGTTCACATCCAAGCCTCCGTTCCAGCCCTTCAACATCGACCAGGCCGAAGCGCTCATGAATAAAAAGATGGACGTGAGCCGATGGGTGATGAAGGATGAGGAGCGAAAGTTGGGCCAGAGCGACTTGGAAGCGACACGTCGACTCTTTTATGGCCGTGGCCCCATGGTCAAAACCGAGAGCGACACGTTCAAGGCTGCCTCAAGGTTGGAGAAGCTCGAGCACGATGAGCTAGACATGTCTGGAGACGAATTCCAGGATGACGATGAAGCGCCTCACTTTGAGCGCAACGATGACGAGGACACCAAGGACTCCAAAGACCGGATTCGCCGTGAGCAGCTTGGGGCGAACCTGTTTGGGGATGGAGACGAACAAGAAGTCGACAAGGAGCTGCAGGAGCAGCTGAGAGAGGAGCTTGAGCGACAAAAGTACGGCAAGACGACCAAGAAGGCTCTCATCAAGAGAGACCGAGAAGACATCTACGAAAGCGACAACTCCGAGGACAACCCTTGGAGCAGCTCCGTACGTACCTCATCCCTTTGCCGCAGTGAATGAAACTAACCGGCTTCATAGTCTGACGATGACTCGAGCGACGAAGATGAAGAGGGGAACAAGGAAGAGGACAAGAAGGACGCCGACAAGAAGGACGCCGACAAAAAGGACGCCGAAGGCAAAGATGGCCAGACTGAGGCAAAGGACAAGGCCAAGGCGGCAGGATCCAAGGGCACGACCACCCCGCAAGGCAAACAGAAGCAAGGCGACCTGCTGAAAAAGAGCAAGTCCCTGAAGCGTGCGGGCTCGCCGACTCTGTCCGAGTCTAGCGGCAACGAGTCGTCGCGGAAGAAACTGAAGAAGTCGGCTGGCCCTGCTGCCGGCAGCCGATCTGACACGCCACTTCCACAGACGAACGCGCCGCGCCGCAGCAAGCTTGGTGGCGCAGGACCCGGCAGCGATGGCGAAGTGACTGCTGGCGAGCTTTCCGACGGGGCTGGTCCACGGAAGAAATCCAAGCTTGTTGACAGCAGCAGGAAGGGAACGCCGGCAGCGTCGAGAGCGGGCAGCCCGAACCCAGCGCAAGGCGGTGAGTTCCTGCGTCCAACTTTCATCGCGGTCCAGTCCGGCGCATTCATGCTGGCAGGCGTCTGTCTTCTACTCCTTTGTCGTGCCCGCTAACAAGAAATCGGCTGCAGGTGCGTCTCCAGGTTCTCAGACTGGTTCGGGGATTGAGCCGTGGGAGATTCTTGAAAAGATCCCATCCGAGGGTATTGCCATCGGAGATCTCATCAAGCCTTTCCAGGGTCGCGTCGGTGACCGGCCCGGGCAGATGCCCAAGGGCGAATGGATCAAGCTCGTCAAGCAGCTGTGCGACTATGGACCGGACAAGCGCTTGCGACGACGGAAGTGAGCTGGTTTACATGCCAGCGCACAAGTGATGTGGAGGCAGGGACTTGGGGTTTGGGGTACACGGGCAAGAGGAGCAGTCTCTACTGAGACGCCTTGTCACGGCTATGAGTGATTTTTCTCAACGACGAGAGACGCTTGGCGACGAGAACATGGTGGCACAGAACAGCGATGACGGTTAGACAGTAGTTAGCAGAGCTGAGCTTTAACAACAGTCAGATCGCGAACGAATGGCATCGTAGACGCGGTTGTTTCTGTTTCAATGGTGTCTTCTTTTCGACTTCTTCTTTATGAAAGAAAAACGGGTATCTCGTGTTGTGCTAGACCTATTCGTCCATTTGCCAGGAGTACTCTAATCCCTTGTTCCTCTCCCGCCGATTTATTGCCTTGAAGCGCTCCGCCTCGGAGCCATTGCCACGGTCCACGCCGTCCCATCGATATCCGGGTTTGATCCCGTACCGATTTGGAGGGGCGGCGCCAGCATAAACAGGCCGCCGTTTGGACGCCTTTCCCTTGCCCGCCGTGGCCTTTTTCTCGCTCATAAACTGAGTCATGGGGTCATTCCACCGGTCTTGTTCTTTGAGCTCCCGGTTCATTTGCTCGTCATTAACGTTCCTCGCAAAGGGCATGAGCTTCGCATCTCGCAACTGCTCTTTTCGTTCCCGGGCTTCCTCCAGCTGTACCTCGCCCCTGAGGGCTTCTTTGGCCTGGAGCTCCTTCTGCTGGGCCTCGGCGGCGACTCTTCGCGCTTCCGCTCTCTTCATGGAGATGTCGATTCTTCGTCCAGTGGCGTCGCGGTAGACAGTCTCCTCCTCCTTGGCGCTTTTGCGGTGTCTCTCAAACTCGTATTGTTCCTCGCGTTGCCGTCGTTTCAGTTGGGCTGAAACTGCCGCTGCCGTCTGCAAACCAGCATGTGTCCCGTCGCTCATTTTCACGGCGCCGGCAACATCTTCGATGACCGGGCCCTCGTCCTCTCCGGCCCGGGCGGCCTCGGCATCCGCAGCTGCCGCCGCGAGGATGGCATCTGCCGCGGCCTTGTCGTCGTTGGCTGAAGCCGCAGCATCCCCGACCCTCTTCCAGTTGCTCTTCTTGGTCTTTCGAAACTCGGCCGTCGTGCCAGACACTGTCATCGGGCTGCCGTCGTCTTCATCGTCTGGCTGCGTGCTGGCGCGAGCCCACGTCGAGTCGTCATCGTCGGTGATGAGAAGCCCCGCCGCAGCGGGGTGCTTGCGCTTCCGCTTTTTGGTAGGTGGTTTGGGATCTGCGACAAGATAGCGAGAGGCAAGGTAGTCTCCTAGATCTGACGGCATGCCGACGGCGTTGTTCTGAAGCTTCTGTTTGGCATGGCCCGATGTGGCGGCAGTGGTGGAGGCGCTCGCTGCTCAGAGGTACAAGAGTATGCGGTTAACGAGGCGCCTCATGTACCTAGGTACCCGATATCTAGCTCCGCCACGTAACTTAAATGTGCAGCAGGGATGCCTGCCTGGCTTACCTAACGCACACCAGCGGGGCCCACCTACTCACCTGCGGTCGTCCTTGGACGGCGCCGGTGGTGATGACAAGACAGACGGACAGACGGGTCGGGGCATGAAGATTGCGACGCAGAACTTCGCACCATCTGTGCAGCCCTTCTGATGCGGAACATGCACAGGCACGCTAGTCGTTCAAGCGCCTGACCTCTCACCCAGCAACCATCGCCCACTCGCGCCACATGAATCCACCGAGACCGACACGTCTCTCTGCGTCGCCCAACGACCACGCCCACCAGCCGCCTTCATGCCGCTGCCCGTCCAGGATGAGTCGCCAACGGAACCGATACAGGCGCTGCCCGCTGTCGCCGCTGCCTTGAAGCCCTCCAAGTCGAGGCACTCGACTCCGGCGGTTGAGTCGCTCCTCATGTCACAGTCCGAACCGAATCTTACCTTCCGAAGATCGAACCCGTCTGCCGCGTCCTTGTATGCATCGACGCTCTCTCCGCCTGGCTCGAGGCCCATGTCGCCTGCTGGTAGAGGCTTGCCTCCTCGAGTCTTTTCCGGAGGTGTCTTCGATGCGTCGCCCAACCATGCATCATCAAGCAGCAGCGTCGGCAGCCCAGGCGAGCCCGCCAACTTACTCCTCCACTCCTTCGTCCCCCATGTATCGATATTCGCTTCCGAAGACACCGAGTCCCTCATGGGCGAAAAGGGGTTCCGGAATGGCTTGTGGGAACTGCTACGGCCATTCGGCGAGGATATCTCAGGCAAAGTGACGGTCCGAGACAGCAACGGGGTTGGCCGGACCTTTGAAGATTTTTCGATCCGCTTCACCAGGTTTGGAGAGAACATCGGGCATCCTGATCCGGCCGTCTCGGGAGCGAACCCGCCACAGACGCCAACGAGCCAGAACGGCGCGCAGGAGAGTGCGACCAGGGATCGGAAGCTATTGGCAGATGTGGAAGCCGTTGTTGAGCTTCACCTGTCGTACGCTGAGCGGTCATTTGTAGGGCTGCCGCACCAACGCGGCTCTCTACGACAGGCCCAAGACTCTGAAACGGCGTCCCCTTATTACACATTGTACCTTCGGCGTCTGCTTTCAGGGTTTTCCATGACCCCCCACGAGACCTTTGCGCACCCCGTGGCTTGCATCATAGCCATCAGCTCAAGAAACGAAACTCCGATCGAAGAGCTGAGGAGGTTATACACTGAGACCAACCAGGGCCAAAGCAAGCTGCCGCCATGGGTGGACAGCGAATACCTCCGATACTATGTATTGGTGCACGATGAGGAGAACGACGACATTACCAGGTCAATGGCCTTGTTTGAGCAAATGAAGCGCCATCTTGGATTGCACTGCCATCTGCTCCGTCTCCGCTGCAGCCAGAGTGCGGAGACGGACGACGACAGCATACCCCTGCCGCGAAGCAACTGGATGTCGGCTGCCGAGGAGTTGACAGAGATTCGCAGGAGCGACAGTATGGACGAGTTTGAAGACCCAACACGCTACATCTTCGAGTCTGATGCCACGGCGATTCGTACGTTTGTAAGGGAGATGATTACGCAGTCCATCGTGCCCACCATGGAGCGGCATGTATCCGTCTGGAACGACCAAGTGGCTTCTCGGCGCCGAGGAATTACTGGTCGCTTTATGAATCTATCCAGGAAGTGGGCCGGCTTCGGCGGCAGTTCGCGATCGTCGTCCGGCGGCAATGCCAACTCGAGAGATAGCTACGATGCGTCAGGCTTCTACCGCGCCGACTCGGCTGAAGCCATCATGAGGAAGCTCGCCGACTACGCATTCATGCTGCGGGACTGGAAGCTGGCGCAGTCGACGTACGATTTGCTGCGATCCGACTTTAGCGAGTCCAAGGCGTGGAAATACCATGCCGCAGCCAACGAGATGGCTGCCATCAGTCTGCTGTTGGTGCCACAGAGCGTGATGTCCAAGAGCCGAGCCGAGACAATCGACCAAATGCTCGAGTCAGCCTTTTACTCGTACGGCACGCGCTGCAGCGCTCCATATGGCGCATTGCGAAGCCTGACGCTCGGGCATGAGCTTCTCCGGCTACGTGGGGGATCCAACATCGACGATGCTGGCAGATGGGGACTTCGGCTCCTCGAATCGAAGATGCTGGGCAGAGTGGGGGATGCGCTTCTCAAAGAGCGGCTTGCGGTTTGCTACGCCTCCAAAGGTGGCATTGGAAACCTGGGCCTGGGAAACCGCCACCGCAAGTCAGCGGCTTGGAGTGTTCTCGCCGCAGACTCGTGGTGCCGGCAAGCCAAGTACATTCCAGCCCAGCGATGCCTCGAGGAAGCGCAGAGGGAATACTCTTCTCTACCACACGAACAAGGCGTTGCGGGGTTTGCGAGCGCAGGGTCCTACATCAAGTCGCTGCAACAAGAGCTTGAGGTGAAGCTCCATCAAACGGAGGATGATGCGAAAGATGAAGCCGATGATGAAGTGGAAGGCGTCACCGACGAAGAGAGCGAGGCGTTGATGGACACGCGGGCAAGGAGGATCAGCGTCGGTGCAGGGGCTGCGATGTTGGAGACGGCGCCGCTTCATGGAAGTGAGCCGGACAAGGAGGCCGGGGCGGCCCCGACCGGCCAGGCCCAGGAGGGCTTCGACTGACGAGCCAGTGCACAAAGACTGGGAAGCAACGCCTTTCAAGTGTTTCCAAGGCACAGCAAACAAGCAGATTTGGAAGAAGTAGATGACATGACGCCATTGACTGAGTCTCCGTTTGGGCTGGCGCTCTCAGATTGGAAACGACCATGATTCATGACGAGGGCTAGAAGCAATCAATTTTTCGCACAGGCACTTGGACTCAGTTCAACTGTCTGCTTTCACGTTGGCTCGAGGCAACTACACTGCTGCTCGTCGCTGATGAATCAGTCAGTACCCAGAGGAGCTGCAGGTCTCCCAAGCATCGCAGAGTCGCACCTCCAAGTTATTTATTTCACGGGCGGTGGATGCATTGAATGCTTGGTGCCCCCCTTCTCCGTTCCGGGTCGTTATTGAATTACCGGGACAGTACAAGCTTCCCGCTAGCCAAGGCTCCCCCGTCTCCACCTAACTTCTCACCCGAGTTATTACCGCATCAACGCAGATGTTGGCATCAGCATACAGTAAACACCGCCTGCGACGCCATCGCGTCCAACGTCGCTCGTGCCGAGAACACTTTGCCTCGTGCCTCCCCAGAATTGCGCGCGCAGAAGATGGGCGAACTTGCCGACTATTTGATCCAACACGACGCCAACTTTCGCAAGTATGACGCCCCCTCCACGCTCGGCTTGACCTCGTCGTGCCGCGCCAAGCTAACCCAAAGCCTCGTCGCATCGCCAGGGCGAGGTTACCTGCGCTTTACTCGGACTTTAGGCCCCAAAAGTCGCTGAACCCCGATGGCTACCAGGCCAACGTGTCTGCCTGGCGCGGCGCCCTATCCCTCCTGGCCTCGCGCGGCCTCCTGTCCCGGCAAGGTTCTGGCTCGAGCCTCCTAGTCCTCGACCTCGATGCTTCGCTACCACGGTCGCTGGAAAGTCGACAGTTCGGCCAGCCGCTGGCCCTCGGCACCGTCATCCGCGAGGCCACTGCTGGGAGGGACCTCCTGCCGCTGCACGACTTCCTCCACTCGCCACAGATTATATACGAGCGGAGCTGGTCGGACCTACCCTGGAATGCCATGTACTGGGCACTGCGACAGGTTGGGATTCTGGGCGCTGTGCGCGGAGACGACAAGCTCCCCAAAGGGCGGTTTGTCATAGTGCAAAACGTCGAGGCTGCGAGCAAGGCGCTGGCCCAGAAGACGGCCGAGAGCACGTCCCGGTTCGGTCGCGTCTTCACCAAGTCGCAACTCCGGACCGAGCTTCTTGCGAACCTGGTTGCCGATCAGCAGCTCTCGGACACAGACGTGGACGTGTTGCTCAAGTTCTTGTCGCGAGACAAAGACATGATAGAGTACGATGGGCAAACGATACGCTTCAGGGAGACTGGTGAACCAAGGGGCATCACGGAAGAGGACGCCGCAATCGCGTCCATCAAAGAGCTGACTGCGAGTCTCAAACACCAAGCCAGCCTCTTGGACGCTCGAATAAACCAACTCAACCAAGAAGCCAAGGATGCCGTCATCCGCAAGAATCGCATCACGGCCCTGGCCGCGCTCAAGTCCAAGAAACTGGCCGAGTCGTCTCTGTCCAAACGATACGCTACTCTGAACCAGCTGGAGGAGGTGGCGGCAAAGATCGAGCAAGCATCGGATCAGGTTCAACTCGTCAACATCATGGAGTCATCCGCAGGCGCGCTCCGAAACCTCAACGCAAAGGTCGGCGGCGCAGACAGGGTCGACAGCGTCATGGACCGGCTCAGGGAACAGATGAATGACACGGACGAGGTGACGGCCATTCTGGCCGAGTCCATGGGTGCCCCCGTCGACGAGAGCGAGATCGACGAGGAGCTCGAGGCATTGGAGAGGCAAGAAGCGCTCAAGCACCAAGAGGCGCAGCGGCGGGAGAAGGAGAAGGAAGCCGAGGCCGAGGCGGCCAAGGCGCAGAAGGAGCTGGATTGTTTGCCCTCTGTTCCGATCGATCGCGTCGAGGTGCGGACACCCACCTCGGAGACTGGAATCGCGCGTCTTTCCTTAGACCAGCCCCAGGAGGAGACCGCGGAAGAGGCATTGTGATTTGCATGGGACGCAACGGCGTTGTGGTAGATCATCTACGGCATGGATAAACGGGGCGTCCAGGGGCGTCATTTATTGGACTTGTACATCTGGGCACCTGTACTGGTCACGAACCGGAGTCTGAGGATTTTGAAGAAACACGAGCGTGCTACCGTCTGCGAGATGAAGCGGTAAAGTTGACGGCCGGAGCCTAAATGACATGGGCATTGGCTGGACGTCGGCCGCGCTATGAATACATCACGTCTTACGTGTATATACATGCCTGTCTCGGGCCTGATGCCTCTTCGCGTTTGGGGTGAAGCGTGGACGCTCCACTGACTGACGCTGGCAATGACCAAGGGGTGCGGCGTCGCTCGAGGGCGAAGAACGAATCTGAGCCACCGAGAGCCATCGCTCGTGCCGTGTCGCCCCTCCAGGTAACCGCCCAAACAGCTCCGCCGGAAGCTGCCTGCCTCTGCGCCTGGCCTTGCCCGCCGATGCGAGTCCGAGACGCCGACAGCGGCTCAAATGCCGAAACTCGTGGACGCGTGAAAGTCTTGAGTGGGACCGCGGCCTCATCGTCCCTGCTAGCCCGCAGCATCCTGGGCTCCGGGTCTTGCATCGTCAGGGTACGGGGAGGGCATCGTGCCAGCAAGAACTGTAGGCATCGTTTTCGTGGCGCCGCCCAAGGCTGCTGCCCGCGTCATGTCCGGGCGCGGCAGCGGCTGCGTCGTCTCACCCGGTCGGCCATCATTCCGCATGCTAGTGTCGTCCTTCGGCGGTGACGATGGACTGGCATCTCTCGAGTCTGCAATAATCGCGCTCGTATCCGGCTGCCCATCGAGGGCCGGTCTTTCGTCCGTATTCTCTGCCCTTGTTTTCGCGTCCGTTTTGCTCTTCCTCGCGCTGGCAATCAAGTCTTTGAAAGAAGTATCGTGCTTGACGGCCCAGGCAGCACTGTCAAAGTCTTTATCCTTGATGGCGGCGGCCGTTTGAAAAGTCCTTCCCGTCGTCGGTGCCCGTCCACCCTGCGTCCGTTCCCAGACCTCGAGATCATGTAGCAGGTCGGAACGCTTCTTTGGTTGTGCGGCATCGCAGTTGGCGTTCCACAGGGTCAGCCACTCCTTGTGGCGCCGTTCCAGCAATAACCGAGGTCCTTGACCAGACAATCCAAGTTCCGTCATCTTCTTGCGCAGGGCCTGCTCCTTGAGCATGGAGTAGTTCAGCGCGGGCAGGCGCTCGTGCGATCGAAGTTGACGCTGTTGAGCTTGATACGAGGAAGACACCGGGCTGTCGATGCTTCTGCCCCCTCGCTGAGCCGAAGGACCGGGGCAGGTTTCGAGATGCTGGAATACCTGCCAAGCCTTCATTCTTCTCTGGCAAACCGGGCACGGGACGGTACCGTCGGCTGTTGTCGCGCATTAGCATGGGCTTGCCAGTCGCAAGGAAGAGCGGGGAAACTTGCGGTCGTCGGGAACATATTCCTCATCTTCTGGACTCTCCATGGCCTCTTCATGCGCCTCGGCAGCTGAAGATGTAATGGCAGCCCCGGCGCGCGTCTTGCTAAGTCGTGCCGAGGTTCGTAGCCGCTTGGGATTGGTTTCAGGGGGCTCGCAAACTTCGGCTTTTCTCTTTCCAGAGGGGCTCGCAGAACGCGCATCCCTCGCCAGAGCCAATGCATGTGGCCGCGCCCTAGAGAATGCTTGCACCGCCTCCTCCACCGACCAGTTGCTTCGCAGCTTCAGCTCCTGCTCTGGCGCCCGGCATAGCGGACATTTGCCATCATTGGACAGCGCTCTCCGGATGCACAGAGAGCAAAAGGTATGCGAACACGACGTGATCATGGGAGTCTTGTAGAAGTCTTTACAGACCTGGCAACGCAGGGCCGCCTCGACGACCGCAAGTCCAGGCAAAGGCGTCGCCAGCCAATCTGTCGAGTCTGGGACTTCGTCGACGGGCATTTGGAGTTGAGGAGCGGTCTGGAGAGGAAGTGGCTCGAGGTCGACGGGCGCATTGAGGCAGTCGTCGATGGTTTCGTCGGGGGCAAAGCGTCGTTGGGGTTGCGCGTGCGGCCGCGTCTGGGGATCGCAGATGGAACTGCGCCGCTCAGCCAACACTCGACGGCCACGGCTTTGTTTCCGTGACTCGACTGGGGAACTCTAGATCGGTCGCGAGGACGCGTAGAGTTCGGCAGCGATTAGGCAACAGGGGTTCTTGCCAAGAGAAATTGCTACGTGCATATTCTGCCTATTACAATTGGTTGCCGCTCTTATGTACATAAGAGAGTGATTATTTGCTTATAACGGGATATCATCACCATGCTGCACGTGATCTCGCGTCGGCCGCGGACGCGTTAGCCCCACCACCTAAAGCACGGCGTACCTACCTCGACTGGGTCTTGCGATCTCCGCAACGCAACCAGCTTTGCAACGGCACAACCAACTTGGATCCAACGTCAATCTGAAGAGAGTGACTGTCACTGTGTTTGCTCCACGCCATGCGCTCGCTTCACGACAATGGATGAGCACAAGAAATTCCTAGCAGACCGCCTGCTGAGTGAAGAGCGGCCGGTGAGTGGCTCAGCGAGTGTCGCAGAGTTGATGAAGCTGAATCGTGCTCAGATCACTTACCGCCTGCTGAGCAGAGCTCTCGACGTCCACGTCAACACTGCCAAACGGTGAGCAGAGCGATCGGCTCCTTCGTCACTGCCTGCACTCTGACATCGTCCTACCAGCATGCTCTACGACTTCCACCAGTACCAAAACTCGTTGCGCGCAGAGTCAATACATGCCACGTACCTTCTCTACGGCATTAAATCAGCCAGAAGTGGGCATGAAAACGGCGACGTTGGGATGAGTAGCTCGATGCCAGAGCCCGAGCCCCGCTCCGAGTCGGTATCGACCCAGACTCTCACCCTCGTCCGCGAGGAGAACTTGGAAGGTGAGCGGTTGTATTCTTGCGGCACTACCATACACCTGTATTGACGGATGCCTCAGCCCTTCTACGCGAATATCAAGAGGTCACTTCCATCCACATATACAGCTTGGCTCCACGGGCCCAAACCGATGTCGCATTGCTTGCGGATGTCGCGAACTCGATATCTGAGACCTACAAACAAGACGGGTCTCCCCTGGCTACCAGCAAGTACGGCGTTATTCCCAATCCTTCAGTACGCCGGCGCGATCCCGCAGGCCGCCTCGCCCCCCCTACTGTCAGCGCATCCAAGCCTGTCAAGCAAGAAAAGGCCCCGGAAAAGCCAGCACCGGCCGCAAAAGCGAAGCACGAACCGGCCGAAAAGTCATCGGCGAATGCTACACCTTCGTCCAGCTCAGGCAAAGGCGCCGCCCCCTCGACGAAGCGAGGTAGTGCCGGAGGTATTATGCAGTCTTTCGCAAAGGCAGCCTCCAAACCTCCTTCCAAGCCCAAACAGGCGACCAAGGAGGAAGCCAGCGCCGCGGCTTTATCGGACGATGGCGAGGCCGACGACTCCGACATGCCATCGTCTAAGAAGGCATCTACGGCTCCAGGTGCCACGAGGGAAAGCAGAAAGGAGCGTGAAGAAAACCTGAGACGCATGATGGACGACGACGATGGCGAAGATGTTGACGACAAGGACGACGAACCAGATGATGAGGAGATGGATGATGCCCCTGAGCCCGAAGCCGAGCCCGAGCAGATGGAGCCTGAGACGAAGCCCAAAGAGGAGCCTGCAGAGGTCATTTCGAGCAGTGGAAATGGCCGGCGGAGAGGTAAGCGTCGCATTATGAAAAAGAAGCGTATTCTGGACGACCAGGGGTACATGGGTAAGTCCTCCCGTGTCCGACTCCAGGGCATCACCCTAGATATCAATGCCTTCTGACCCATTCACGCGCGTAGTCACTATCCAAGAGCCTGGCTGGGAATCTTTCTCAGAAGACGATACCCCTCAGCCACCAGCCAAGAAGGCAACCCCCACCTCGACTCCGTCGTCCTCCGGGGCCAAGACGAAGAAGCCTGGTGGGAAGAAGGACCAAGGGAACATCATGTCGTTCTTCTCGAAGAAATGAAAAGACGCTTAGGCGAGTGAGTGTGGCCTCGAGAATGGGCCATAGACTAGGGAAGAAGGGAAACGATCAATTCAACGTGGGCAATGCTCTGCAAGGCTCACTTGTTGGCATCGACATTGAAGTCTTGCCGCGAACCGGCCTGCTCCTCGTAGTACGACTTGTTGTTTTGCATGCGCTCTAGGAGATGGCCGAGTCTGCGGACGCCTTCGACAAGGTCATCTTCGGCCTCCCACGCAAAGCAGAGGCGAATGTCTCTGTCGAACCTGGCACGGCGCTCGTCCCCGTGAACCTCGAAAATATTACCCGGGGCGATGACGAGATTCGCCTCGTCGAGGGCCGCGTCGGCGACCAGTCGCGATGCCGGCAGCTGCCCCGGGCGCGACGTCAGCCAGATGAAATACCCCCCGTAGACGTCCTTGCCGCCGACGCTGGATTCTCGCACGTGGATGCCGAGCGGCGAGAGGTGGCGGTGGACGGCGTCCATCATGATGCGGTGCCTGCGCTGCAGAGACGGCCGGACCGTGTCCTCGATGTGCTTCTCGAGCCGGCCGTCCTGGACGAGGTAGCCAAGGACGCCGGCGCAGAACTGGCTCGGGGCTCCGCCGGACAGGGTGGAGGCCGTCCTGGAGAGCCCCGTGACAAAGGCCGGCGACGCCTCGACCCAGCCGGTGCGCATGCCGGGGCCGGCGATTTTGCTAAAGGAGCCGTTGCTGACGGCGTGGCCGAAGCCCATCGGGTCGTTGTCGGCTCGGCCCATGCCCAGGTCAAGGTCGCAGAGGCGCGGCAGCCTCATCTCGGGGCTCCGCTCGGGCCGGGTGTCTCCCTCGAGCGGCCACTGCAGAAAGTCGTAGACGTCGTCGCACACGACGAGGGCGTCGTGCGCCCGGGCCAGTCGCACGAGGGCCTCGCGCCGGCGCAGAGACATGGATACGCCGGTGGGGTTGGAGCATGTCGGGACGCAGTAGATGACGTGCCTGTAGAGCTTCCGTGCCGGGCCGGGCATCTTGAGGGGCTGTGACGGGCATGGGTCAGTGGAACTGGGGAGCAGAAGGAATGTCGACCTCCCCTCGGTGACCATCGACTCGTCCCCCCCCTTGGGCAGCGGCGCACAGGCTGGCTAACTGACCTCGGGCTGCGGACACGCACCCGCACTCTCGTCCACCTCCCCGATCCCCGCGCGCAACGCCTCCACGTCGACGCCCTCGTCATCCCCCGGCACCGCCCGCAGCCTGCCCGCAAAGCCGGCATCGTCGAAGATGCCGCAGGCAAGGTGATAGCAGGGCTCGACGACCCACACAGCGCGCGTGTAGACGGGGTCCGTGAAGCTCTGCAGCACGCAGGCCAGGCTCTGGCTGGCGCCGCCCGTGACGCAGATGCGCCGGGCGTCCGGCTCGACGCCGTAGTGCCGCGCCAGCCACCGCGCCAGGCCCTCGCGCAGCGGCTCGTGGCCCGCGTCCGGCCCGTACTGGAGGAGCGGCGTGGACTCGGCCGGGTGCGCGAGCGCCCGCTGGCACGCCGCCGACAGGAGGCTGGCGGGCAGCACGCCGGGCGACGGCCAGCCGCGCATCAGGTTGATGAGTTTGGTTGGCCGCGGCATCTTGGGGCAGGTCCAGCTTGATGCGTGGGTGAGAAGCGCGGGTGAGAAGCGCGGCCCTGTTCTCGCTGAAGGGAGAGGGTAAGTTAGGCTGTTGCTGTTGTCAGGGACAGACAGACGGAGGGATACTTGACCCTCATTCGCTACGTCACTGCGATGCTCGCTAAAAGCTTGTGACTGTGACAGCTGCATGTGTGGGCTGCGCGGCATATCGCATGATTCAAATCACGGCGACACAATGACCCGACTGTCTTTAATCACGGTCCAATTGCCCACTTGCTCGCATCGTCGTCGCGTGATGCGTCCGAGCACGACTTAAAGCAGGGCCACAGCTCACCAGCCCCGGCCTGCAACATCCAGAGCCCGGGACGACCCGACTTGTCGATAGACCTTGCCTAGGCATCAAGGTGCCAATAGTGTTACATAGATACAGCACAAGCAGCGGGCCGAACCATCATCATACTTGATAAGGCGCAGTGCCCTTTTCGAAAATCAGGTGCGGTTTCCTCTTGGCCAGGTCCATGATGGTGCCAGCAAAGACACCGTTAGCCCATGCAAACCAGCTGCGCGTGTACTGCCTCACGTGGTTGACGTCGACGCTCTCGTGCACGAGGCCGAGCCTGGAAGACTTCAACACCAAGTCCAGACATTCCTGGATCTCCTCGTCGTCCTCCGACGTCTGCGCCTGAATCAGCAGACTCATTGGCCACGCGTTGCGCAGGCCTATGTGAGGCCCTGGAGAGGGGGGCAAAACAGGTCAGCTTGGTTCCTGGGTCATTCGGCGGTGGATCATCAACGAGCCGAGTCTTACCTCCAATGCCCTTGAATTCCCTGCCCGTCAGGTAGTAAGGGTTGCCCTCCTTGCTGAGTAGCATCTTCCTCGTATTCTGATAGATGGGGTCCTTGATGTCGCAGAAGCCCATCACCGGCAGAGCGAGCAGCGAGGGGTAGTTTGCATCGTCCATCATGATGGAGGAGCCATATCCATCGACTTCGTACGCAAAGACATCTCCGTACTTTTTGTGCTTAACCACGCCATGCTCCAGGACACCAGCACGCAGCCGCTCGCTCCACTTTCGAAGCGTGTCCGCGAGCGAGGGTTTGCCTGCCGCCTCGAGGAGCTTGGATGTGCGAGCCAGCTCCACCGACATCATTGCGTTGGCCGGGATAAAGAAGCCGAGAATGGTAGCGTCGTCGCTTGGGCGGAACGCGGACCGAACCAGACCCGTGTTGTTGTTCAGCGGATTGCCAACCCCATGCAGATTCAGCGTTTCGGTGCCCGTGTTGGTCGGCCGTTGGAAGGTGTACTCGTTTCTCTGGTATCTTCCCGTCTCTGGATCAAACGTCGGTTGAGACTGCTGCTTAAGAACCTCGACAAGAGTCTCGACTGCCAGAACCCACCGACTGTTGACAAACTTTGTCGAAGACGTGTGCTCGTAAAAGTCGTTGGCGAGCGCCAGGAAGTGCGCCAGGGAATCCAGCTCGTACTTGCACTCGAAGACGGCGTTCGGTTCATAGGCCGGATGGACCACGTCTTCTTGGCCGTTGGCCGAGGTTGGCAGGTCACTGATGGGCGGCGGCTGGAAGGCATTGCAGTAGGGCGACTCGATGACATACTCGGATTGCGTGTTGATGGCGCCGAGGATCAAGTCGAAGATGGCCGGGTCCCTGATGGCGAGTGTCTGGTACGGCCGCAGTTGGTTGGTCGAGTCGCGGAGCCATTCGGCAACGATATCGCCCGTGATGATGAAGGACTGCGGCCCTTCCCACGCGCCTTCGTCCTGCGCGGACCGGAAGCCGCCGAAGCGGACAAAGCCGGTGTCCTTGCCCTTTGTGTGAAACTTGATGGTCGTATCCGTCGTGGACGGGAACGCGTTTTCGAAGAGGCGGGCGAGGTCTGGATCTGCCATCTTGGACGTCACCTCCCGGATGACCCGTTCGATCTCTTCCGAGTGGAAGGTGCGGCATCGCGATTCGGGTCGTTGAAACGAGAGGGCGAGCGGCCCCGTGCTCGAAGGACTGCTAGGGGAGTGTCAGGTCGACGCGTCGGCGGCTGATGCGCAAATGATGCGCAAACCCGCGGGCCAACTTACTGAGGGTAGGACGCGTACGAGGCGTAGTCGGGACAGGCGTCGACGTAGTTGCCGAGCCGCGCTTGGGCCTGATGTTCGCTTGCGGCGGCGACGGGGCCTCTGGAGCAGAAGCCCAGCAGGCTGAGCGCAAGCACCGACAACATGGGGTTCTGCTGGGCTCGAGCGACGAGCACACGCGGTCTGCGAGTTGTTGTCGGTCAGTCGGCAGCGTCAGGGAGAGGTAGAAGCCGGCTATGTCATCGGCCAAGGGCCTCATCGTTCTAGGCCAAGTGTACGTACCTCCTGGGCCCTGCTCCCGTCTCAGGCCTGCTTCTCCCGGTCACGTCGTCGTCTGGGGAATGCACGACACGGCACGGCACGGCACGACCACGTACGAAGAAACACCAAAACTTCTATTCGATACATCTAAACCTAATCCACAGAGTCTGGATGCCAAATAGCCAACGCTAAACAAGAATAAGGGTATCGTGCAGCGACCAGCGACCAGCGACCAGCGACCAGCGACCAGCGACCAGCGAGCACAAGACACAAAAAAAGGCCGTCTCATCATCCCTCGACATCATCCTGCAAGCAATGGCCCGACCAGGAGTGCGCAGCTTGGCCGCCAACGCCCATCCCTACAAAGTAAAGCCTCTTCACCAGCCCCACGTCCGGCTCGAGGCCGTAAACACCGGCGGCTTCCACTGTATCTTTGCCGCGTCAAGGCTCCGTTTTTGCTTCTGCTTCTGCTTCTCCCTTTGCTTGATGAGCTTGTCGGGAATGACAATCTTGTGGTCGCTCTTGTGATAGACTTGCATCTTCATTGCCTGCAGCGTGTGTTCGACGTCCTGCGTCGTCATGGCCAGAGCCGTCGAAATCATCTCAATCGTCACCTTGTCCTCCCGCTCGTTGTAGCCGAGCAGCAAATCGAGAATGTTTTCCGACCAGTACTGGCGATAACTCAACAGGCCCAGATCCGAAAGCGGCTTTTCCGGTGAGCCGAGCTTGCCTTCAATCTTGGACAGCTCGTATGAGAACTGGATCAGCAGCCTCCCGTACCCCTTCCTCTGGTACTGCGGCAGAGTCAGGATGCAAGCCACGTTGTATCCGTCCGCGCTCTCCTTTTCTTTGGAAAAGTATCCCACAATGTGGCAGCCCTTGTCGCTCCGGGTCGACATGACGTAAAAGAGAAAGGGGTCGACGTCGTAGTACAGCGTCTTGTGGTCGAGGAACATTTTGGACAGCAGACACAGGTTTCGACACCAAGTGCGTTGACGCCGGCCGTCGATTTCGAAAAAGGACACATAGTCGTCTCGGTATATTTCGTTGCCCGGCGGGTGTTGCAGCGAGCACTTTCTGCGATGCCGCGCAAAGGCCTTGGGGTCGCCGTAGTAGCTCAGGCAGAATTCGCAGATGGAGATGACGTCCTCCTGGCTGAACATCTCCGGGTAGGGAGAAAAGTACCACGGGAACAAGTCGTTTTTGCCGAACTGGACCCTCGAGATGTTTCGTATTCGCGAGATTTCGGCGGGGTTTTGCGTCATGGAGCCCGAGGTCCTCAACTTTTCGATTTCCTCTTCGCGACTGAAGCCGCTCTCGTCCTTTTTCCCTACTTCCTCCTTGTCGTCCGCGTCCACGTCGTCAGCGGTGGCCGGCGTAGCACTCGCCTCAACGCTGGTGAGTGCCTGCGCATCGCCCTCGGGTCCAATCGACACCGAACTTCGCTGGTTCTGAGTCTCCACGAATTCTGCGCGGATTGAAGTAAGCCAATGTGCCTGTTGCCGCCTCCCCACAGCTGTGTCAAGTAGGCGCACCTGTCCAAGGATGAGGAGTCGGCGCTTCAGAGAAGACTGAGTGCTCCCTCTTTCCGGGGCGCTTCTGTGCCTTTTTCGAAACTGCAGCCTTCTTCGTCTGTGTCGACGGTGCTTTTTTGGCTTTTGACTCCTTCAGCTTGTCCTTTTCTGGATTCGGCCATTCCACATCCTGGCTGAAGTCTATCCTGGCCACGGGCACCCATTCATCCAGGCGTTTGTTGAAGTTGTCAAAGTTGCAGTAGAAGTGCTTGCCACTCTTGGTCTCCTTGATGCTGAGGATCTCGGCGCGCCGCGGCTGGCCTTCCTTCTCTACCCAGGCAATGCAGCCCGTCCTCAGAGTCTCAGCCGACGCCTTGCCCTTTTCTCGCGGCGCGTCCGACCCGACAGCCGCTTCACCACCCGGCGTACCGCCTCCCATGGTGCCGGAGGGAGGGTGTCGGCAAATATGCGTGGTCGACTTTTGCGAAGCTGATGCTGGGAAGCTCGATCCAGCGGGCAGACGGGGGTTTGGCAGAAAAGAGAGGTAAGTTCTTTATCGCAAGGCGGTCAGATCGAAGCCTTATCAGAGCTCTGCTAAACGCATGACAAGGCTACTGTTTAGCTGCATGCATATCGATGAGATTCCTGCCTTTTGCGGAAGGGCTGGACCGGGATAAGTCAGCACGGAGGACATGCCGGATCAAGTCTCCACATTTCCAGTCTACCAACAAAGTATTCTGCTGCTCGATGCCCATTATCGACATCGCACCGCGGCTGCGCAAACTCCAAAAGACTACTGCCATGCAACGGGTATCCTTGGGATGAGAAGCGGGTGAAAATGGCTGAGCTTTCTTCAAACTGGAAGCTACTACAGGCCAAGTTGAAAGCACAGGGGACGTCAGATGGCCCGTCCAAGCGCAAGGCCATCAATCTGCCAACGCTTCCAGCCAAGAGACCAAAGGTTGGGGAGAAGACGACCAAGCAACCCGTTCCGAGGCAAAAGCAAGACGGCAGCGGACACAGGGTGCGAAAAATGGGCGGCGTGCAAAGCTCCGCCGTCAGACACGAGTCCAAGAATGACCTTTCTTCTCCCTCGCTTGCTCTATGGGCTGAAGACAACGACATCTCAGCTGAAGACTTGGCAGAAGCTTATGGCTTGGGCCTCGAAAGCAACACCATGGCTCTGGCGTCTCAAAACGACAAGGTCAATCACGGCTTTTCCACCGGCATAGACATTGGAAAGTACGTGGCCATCGACTGCGAGATGGTTGGAGTTGGCCCAGGGGCGCATGAGTCGGCGCTGGCCAGAGTCAGCCTGGTGGACTTTCACGGGCGCCAAATCTACGATTCGTTTGTGAAACCAAGGGAAAGGGTCACAGACTGGCGGACCGCCGTGAGTGGAGTCTCACAGAAGGAGATGCGGTTCGCAAGAGATTTTGAAGAGGTGCAGAAGCAAGTCTTTGACATCACCAAGGACCGAGTATTGGTGGGACATGACATAAAACACGACCTGGAAGCCTTGATGCTGAGCCATTCGCCGCGAGACATTCGAGATACCGCCAAGCATGCCAGCTTTAGGAAGTTTGGAAACGGTAGAAAGCCAGCTCTCAAGATCCTAGCTCGTCAACTCCTTGGGGTCGAAGTACAGGACGGATCGCATTCCAGCATCGAGGATGCTCGAGCCACCATGCTACTCTTCCGCAAACACAAGTCGGAATTCGACGTCGATCATGCCAACCGATACACGCCCAAGGCTATAGCCACAAGCAGGCACACGGGGAAAAAACCGCGAAAGAAAAAGGACAAAAATCCATAGCGAGACAACCAACTTTAATCCAGACAACAATGTCTGCCGTGGGAAAAGGTCCCAAGGTCGAGCCAAGCCGACCTATATTTCCGACTGGATAGAGGCCCCTTCGCAGCGCCTTTCCGTTTGAACTGAGCTCGAAGATCAAAGCGGAATTCCCTCCATCAACTCCAAAGCTCCTTCCCGGCCAACCGTGATGATGATGTCACCCAAGGTTTTCGTCAGAAACCCAGCTTCGCAGTACGTGAAGTAATACTGCAGCATTGTCAGCGGGGGCGGGGAGGAAGACTGGCGGTCCGGGGCCCGGGGCGCTTACCTCCCATTTTCTTCGAAACACCTCGACCGCGTCCTTTGTCATGTCCGGATGCTCCTTGAGAAGAGCGGGCTTTATTTCTCGGTTGAAGTTCTCCTGGAACTTCTCGTTCCAAAGCCGCAGCGTCCTCGCATAGTGTCCGCCAATGTTTTCGACGTTTTCGACTATCAGGGTACCCTGCGACTGCTGGCTGATGTGGCTCAGCAGCTGAGTTGTGGACGGCAGGTACCCGCCGGGGAAGATGTAGTGGTTGATGAAGCTGTGCTACGGTTTAGCCGGGGCTGGGACTCTGTGGCGTCCATCTCTGGAACAAACTTACTCCTCGGATCTGGAATATGCCTCGTGGCGACCCTCGGGCATGGTGATGCATTGAAACATGGCGATGCCGCCGCGCTTCTTGAGCAGCCGATTTACGCACGCAAAGTAGGTGGCTAAGTACTCCTCACCAACGGCTTCGAGCATTTCTATAGAGACAATCTTGTCGTACGGCGTTGATGGGACGGGGAGGTTACGATAGTCCATCAGCTTGATCTCTATCCGGTCGCCGAGGCCAGCTGCCTGCACCCGCTCCTCGGCTAGGCTCTTTTGCTCCGCCGAAAGGGTGAGGCTGGTGACGCGGCATCCCGTCCTTCTGACGGCTTCGATGGCCAAAGAACCCCACCCTGTACCGATTTCAAGGACGTGGTCGGTGGCTTTGATTCTGGCGCCGTCGATGAAGCGAAGCAGCTTCCTGACCTGGGCATCCTCCAAGGACTCCTCGAGTGTCTCGGAGTGTGGCCGGGTACGCCAGACAGGGCATGAGTAGGTCATGTCTGGAGACAGAAATGCGGCAAACATGTCGTTGCTGATGTCGTAGTGCGCGGATATGTTGAGCAGAGAATTGGAGAGCGTGTTGGTGGAGCGAGCCAAGCTGGAGATGGTAGATGAGAAGCTGGATATCCAAGTGGTCCCGTTGTTCATGCGGTCCCTGTTGACAATGAAGAGCTACGTTGCGTGAGCCACGGCTTGAAATGAAAAGGGTCGGACTGCGATGACTATGGCGGGGGAACGCCATAGCAAGCGAAAGGGGAGTTGGGAGCGTCTTACTTGGAAGAAGGAGGTCAAGTCTTGGCACTGGAAGTCGCCCAGCATATACGCCTCAGCGAACCCCATGTCGGCAAAGAGGAAAAGGCGCATCCAAAAGGCTTCATTCTTGACGACAACCTCGACTCCGGGGACAGTGGTTGCGCGCCGGGGGAGTCCTGTAACGGCCGGGACATTGCCAAGCTCTCCCGAGAGCCTCTGCCCGAAGACGTGCCTTTTATCCCCAGGCTCATCGACGAGCAGCAAGGTGCCCGTGTCGATGCGGGCGAGAAGTGAGAGGATGGCAGGCTTGGCCACGGCCAGGGCCGGGCCCCAGGTCCAGCCACCGAGGGCGCCGCGCAGCATCTCGGCGCCATGGGAGACGGGCTTTGAGAGGGTCGCAGGCAGCGACGGCAAGGAGCTGCTCAAGGGAGACATGGCACTCGGGAGGGCAAAGGCGCAACTCACGGTGAGAGGGGAGAGGATGGGAGGAAAGCCGGCGTTGGCGTTGAGGCTTGGGGGACAGGGGCGAGAGAGCAGCGGGAGTAAACCGCCAACTCCATGACGGGTCAAGGAGAGACAAGGGCAGGTATCGAATACGTGAGACCCGTTTCACTTGGCCGAGGCATCCGGGTGCAGCCGACGGCTTGCTCCTCGTGCGCGCAACGTGCCTTGATCCAACCGCCCTTGATCGGTCCCGGAGCTTGGTGACGAGTTGAGCAAGAGGCGGTGGGGAGCTTGGACCTCGACCGTGTCCGAGAGCGGCGCAGGAGTCTTGATGTCATGGACCCAGAAAAGAGCCGACCGAGGTATGGGAGGGATACATGCGTCGTCTCTCTTGCAAGCAATTGGGCGACCCATGCAAGGCAGGCAATGCCTGCTCATCGGATGCGTCGCAGAGCATCTATCTGGTGGTGTTGGATTCGTGTAACAGCAGAGGGGTCCAAAGCGCACCACCCCCTTGCAGCAACGTGCCTGCGTGGCTGACGAGAGTTGGGTCTTGCAGCGGCAAGTCGAAGCACTCGGCGGGGAGTTGCGTGTATGGGATGGAGTCGGTCGCCGAGCGGAACGTCGGCGCTGATCGCCAAGGGACAATCTGTCGTCCCCGTCGATAGGTTGGTTGTGCCAGATTGCCCAACATCTAGGTATCTATTATGTGGCTGCTGCAGCAAAGGATGACAGCTTTGCTGTATTCGTACTTGCTGTCTGTACAGTAGGTACCTACCTAGCTAGTATAATTAGTACCTAGTATAATAGCAGCGGACTTTGGTAATTACGGCACCTCGGACCTTACTAATCCGATTATCCACGCGTGGCAGTCGCGTCTCGCGCGTGGAGCTCCCCACTGGCACCCAAATAAGTCGCCCTCGCAACAACGTCGCCTTTGTCGCCCACAGCTGCCACACCAAGTCATACCTCACGCACCTTCGCCATCATGCCGGAGCCAATGCTCGCCGTCGAGGACCACAAGCTCTCCCGCGAGACCAAGGCGGTGCCGAACCTGCTGCCATGCCGCCTTCACCACACCGGCTCTGCTGCTCCGGTATCCGAGTACTGGACCCCTATTCAAGCTGACGGTATGTGTACACCCCTCGCGCGATACATCAAGGCTCCCCTTGACTCATCTCTGCGCCGCTACAGATTCGACGAGCATAGCCTATTTCCGCGGCCGAAAGCTTCGAGGCCGCACTCTCCCTCTCCCCGACGACTACCAAGGGGTCGTGGTGGAGCGCAAGTCCCAGGAGCAAGCGAACAAACAATCCCATCCTCAAGAGCACGACCAACAAGGCGCCGGCGGTGTGGAAACCGACACCCTGCAAGTCACCACTCGTTTCGACAAGGTGCTCGTATGGTCTCACGAGGCCTCCACCGATCCTGCAACTGATCCATATGTCAGGGGCATGGATGAATGGCTGCAAGTGGCTGGCAAAGTAAGGACGCTCGGTACCGAAAAGGGACAAGACTGACTTTTGAAAGATTCATTCGTTTACGGAGCCAGACAAGGCAGCTGTGTCGCCGGACGGAGGGGGACTTGGCGCAGTCTGATGCGCCTGGTCCATATCCAGGAATAGGACACAGGGCTCTCCTCCCCGGCACAGCTACCGAACACGAACCCACATAGCGAGCATCTTGGATCGGTCGATGCCGTTTGACGTGAGAAAAAGGCGTCACGCAGCCCAGGCCGCGTCCTAGGACGGAGGCAAGCCGTTTGGACTGTGGATGCGTGCCAAATGCGGCAATCAAGCCACCTTCTAAACGATGTCAGAGTGCTCCGCTTCGCCTCGCAGCGCATACTTCAGCGCAACACAAGCATTCACTACCTAGCAAGTCAGGAAAATGCTGCTCTCTCGCTCTCGGGGAAACCCTCAATGCTCCTGGTAACGGAAGGCAGGCGGAGGATATTGCGTGCTCAAGAGGAAACGCAAAGCCACGTGCTTTGCGGAGTCCGCCGCACGGCTTCCTGAGCACAGAGCGAAGCCATACTATCAGCGCTCGCTTCTAGGGACGGACGGAGGCGAGAAGCACGACTTTGGTGCCCAGGCAGGTGTCTAAACAGGCGAACGTTTTTACCAATGCATGTGTTGTCGGGGTAAATGTGGTTTCTCTAGCTTGGCCCATGTACTCAAAGATTCATCGCCGGCACTCGTATGGGGTTTTATGTGCTGCACATGCGCGGTGTTGTGGGAGCACCGAATATACGGATACTTGGTACCTCAAGTCCAAGGCCCACTGTTCCACGACTCCGAGGTTCAGGCGAATTAGCGCCACGGAAACTCCGCTCTTCCCCGCCCCCTCGTACAATCAATTAATCAATTAAAGTCGCGTCGAAACCGCGTCGGCGACCGCGCGCATCCAACGCGTTTCTCTCAACTCCGCTCTGCGAATCCGACTCTCTCGCAATCGCAAACTCTCTTCAACTGACTGGTCCAAGGTCGAGTCTCGATTTACTTCCCCCCCAAACCGCTCCTCCCGTTCATACTCGAGGCTTTCTCCATTGCCACCGGCAGTGTACGCCCTCGCTGCCCCTTTCAGGTCTGGCCGAGCCATGGCTCCCTCCAGCGACACCGGCCACCTCATGTCGGATGCGCCGACGTATGCCGCTGCGCAGAAACGCCTCCCCGGCTTTCCCTCGTCGTCTTCGGCGCGGCCCCGCGGCCCTCCGTCGGAGAACCTGGGCGCCCCCAGCGATGACGAGGGCGATGGCTTCGCCGACGACCAGGTGCCCCGGAGTTCGCGCGTCCCGGACGCCTCCAACGTCCCGCGCGTCGAGGACAGAATCGGCTTGCTCGTCCAGGAACACTTTGAGGCCTTTATAGAGAGGTGAGCGCTTGGTTCACCCTGCACTTGCCTGGCTTTGCTTCTCACGCCCCGTTGTTGATAGCTTTGTCGAGGATCCCCTCTCCTCGGGCGTGCCCACGTCGAGTGCCGTCACCACGGACAAGTACTACATTGCCCAGATCAAGGGCATGCGCAACTTCCAGCTCTCCACCTTTTACGTCGACTACAAGCATCTCGCGTCGTGGGAAAACGGCAGCTTGGCCGACGGCGTCATGCGCCAGTACTATCGCTTCCTCCCCTTTCTCACCGCCGCCCTCCACAGCATGATTGCCAAGTACGAGCCCCAATACTTCCGCGAGCACCGTCAGCCCACCGCCTCGACCAACCAGGCAACCTCGGTCGCCAGCCAGTTCGGCTCCGGCAGCCAGAGCGAATCGTCGCACCGCAAGAACGAGCACCAGCAGACGGACAAGCTCTTCTCAATCGCCTTTTACAACCTCCCGCTCGTTTCCCGCGTGCGCAGCCTGCGCGCCGCCAACATTGGTCAGCTGCTCTCAATCTCCGGCACCGTGACGAGAACGTCCGAGGTGCGCCCGGAGCTGTCGCTGGCCACCTTTGTCTGCGAGGCTTGCCGGGCCGTCGTCCCCAACGTGGAGCAGACTTTCCGCTACACGGAGCCTACCCAGTGTCCCAACAACGTGTGCTCGAACCGCGTCGCCTGGCAGCTGGATATCCGCCACAGCACTTTTGTCGACTGGCAGAAGGTGCGCATCCAGGAGAACAGCTCCGAGATTCCCACGGGCAGCATGCCGCGGACACTCGACGTCATCCTCCGAGGCGAGATTGTCGATCGTGCCAAGGCCGGGGAAAAGTGCATCTTCACAGGCGCCCTGATTGTCGTCCCAGACGTTAGCCAGCTCGGCCTGCCGGGCCTGAGGCCGACTGCCGTGCGCGATGACCGCGGCGCATCCCGCGGCGCCGATGCCGGCGGAAGCGGCGTCACTGGGCTCAAGGCCCTGGGTGTCCGCGATCTCACCTACCGACTGGCCTTTCTCGCCTGCATGGTGGTCTCGGACACGACGGGATCAGGCCGGTCTGCGGCTAGTGGTGCCGCGGACGTCATCAATGCCCTGACCCAGAACCAAGCCGTCGAGGGGGCCGAGTCGGTCGAGGAAGCCCAGGCCGCCGTCCTGGCCTCCATGAACCCCTCCGAGATCGAGGATCTGCGGGCCATGGTGCATGGAGACCACATTTACTCGCGCATGGTGCAGTCCATCGCCCCGACCGTCTACGGCCACGAGGTGGTCAAAAAGGGCCTTCTCCTTCAGCTCATGTCGGGTGTCCACAAGACGACGCCCGAGGGCATGCAGCTCCGCGGCGACATCAACATCTGCATCGTCGGCGACCCCTCGACTTCCAAATCCCAGTTTCTCAAGTACGTGTGCTCCTTTGCCCCACGCGCCGTCTACACGAGCGGCAAGGCGTCCTCGGCCGCCGGTCTCACGGCCGCCGTGATCAAGGACGAGGAGACGGGTGAGTTCACAATCGAGGCCGGGGCCCTCATGCTGGCAGACAACGGCATCTGCGCCATCGACGAGTTCGACAAGATGGACATTGGCGACCAGGTCGCCATCCATGAGGCCATGGAGCAGCAGACAATCTCCATCGCAAAGGCCGGCATCCAGGCGACCCTGAACGCGCGCACGAGCATCCTCGCCGCCGCGAATCCCGTCGGGGGCCGCTACAACCGCAAGACGACGCTGCGGAGCAACATCAACATGTCGGCGCCCATCATGTCGCGCTTCGATCTCTTCTTCGTCGTCCTCGACGAGTGCAACGAGCAAGTCGACCGCCACCTCGCCGAGCACATTGTCGGCATCCACCAGCTGCGCGACGACGCCATCGAGCCCGAGTTCAGCACCGAGCAGCTGCAGCGGTACATCCGCTTCGCCAGGACCTTCCGGCCCGAGCTCACCGACGAGGCAAAGGAGGTGCTCGTGGAGAAGTACAAGGACCTGCGGGCCGACGACGCGCAGGGTGGCGTGGGCAAGAACTCGTACCGCATTACGGTGCGTCAGCTGGAGAGCATGATTCGCCTGAGCGAGGCCATCGCGAAAGTCAACTGCGTCGAGGAGATTAGCCCGGAGATGGTGGTTGAGGCGTACGACTTGCTCCGTCAGAGCATCATCTCGGTCGAGCACGACGACGTCGAGATGTACGACGAGGGAGAGGAGCACGACGACAGCGAGGCGCTGCGCCGTGCCGCCGACGCGGCTTCCGGGGCGGCGCAGCGGGACAGCGATGCGGCCATGGCTGTCGACGGGGGCGAGCAACCCGCCGAGGCCGCCAAGAAGAAGCAGACAATCTCGTACGAAAAGTACATCAAGATGGTCAACCTGTTTGTGCAGCGCGTCAACGACGACGAGAGCGGCAGCGGCGACGGGGTCGACGGCGACGTCCTCGTCAACTGGTACCTCGAACAGCTCGAGGAGGACCTGGACGGCGAGGAGAGCTACCACGCGGAAAAGGCCCTGGCCAACATGGTGCTCAGGAAGATGGTCAAGGTAATGCTGCCCCCTGACCCTTGAGGAGAGATATCATCGGTGTGCTTTTCCGAGCGAGCACGCGGCTGACGTTTCCCAATCTAGGACAACCTCCTCATGGCCCTCAGAGGAGAAGGCCTCGTAGACGGCGCCACGAGCGAGGCCGCCGAGGCCGCCGGCGTCGTCTACGTCATCCACCCCAACTGCGCCGTCGAGGAGTTTTGAGCTTGGGGATTTTTTTGTTGTTGTTTTTGGCTGAGGCTCAACGGAACGGGCGTCGTCGTCGCATGTCTTGGCCCAGGCCGGGCAATCAGACGAACTGGGTTTGCGGGGCGGAGAGAAGGGAGCATGTCGCCTGTGTCGGGATGATACCAACGTGCATTCGATGGAAATGGAAAAGGGAGTATGGAGTTGATGGGATCTGTAAAGCTCGGTCGGGCCTTGGCAATGATACGGGGTAAACTACAGATGACAAAGACCATGAACACACGCGGCAGTCATGGACAAGACACGACGCAGCGACTCATCTCCCATTGATTCATGTTGGTCTCGGTGGAAGCTGGCACATGATTTCAAGTGTCGGAGGCTGGCATTGTCCAAGGCCCATGCCGCTTCTCCAGCATAGACTCGCGCCAACAGCACGGGCTGGGCGGAGAGGACCGCCGTCGCTGGGCTGACAGCCTCGCCCCGACATGACCGTCGCGATAGCACAAAGCACCCGCTCCCTCCAACACGGGCTACTTGACAAACCCCCTCCCTGATGCAAACCAACCTCATCCGCGTAGCCCTCGTTGCGTGTTCCCTCCCTGGCGTCCCGGCCGGGGCCCCCAAGGGGTCAGTACACGAGCACATCCTCACGCTCTCGCAGCTGAACCGCGTCGCCATCGGCGCCAAGTAGAATCAAGGAGTCAATCGTCAGACCCCGAAGAGGCGATGCAACGAGCCCCTCCTTGCCGTTGCTTCCGCCAAGGAATGCCTCTTGCCGATGTATGATCCACCGCGTCACGAGCATTCAAAAACTTGAGCGACGAGGAGAAAGACAGGTGACTCCAATGTGCCAAGTTCACAGGGATCCATCAGATACCTGACCTGAGCCATGCTCGCACAGGTCGGGCAAAAACAACGCGAGCAGCGCCAAGTCGGCTGCAAGAAAACTGAAGAGAAAAAAATCGGTGCAAAAAGGAAAGCGGGCGCATTCAACGAGAAAAGATTCATCATGCCGAATGAGTTCCTGCAAAACGCGTCCGCACGCTCCAAACAAGAAATGGTACAACGCTGCCTCTTGCTTCTGCGAGATAAGCAGGTCACCATGCGGCCGATACGTTACGGATCCGATGCCTCGTCGGCCTGGTTTCCGGCTGCCTAACAAGGGCGCCATGCCTTCCCGGTGGGAGGGTGCTGTCCGATGGGAGGGTTCTTTGCGACGCATTGCTCCATGTTGCAGAGGAGCAGCTGCGTGATCACGTGAGCAGAGCCGAGTTCTCATCCCCAAGCGCAGCCCATGATGAGCGACATCTCGACCTATGTAGACGGCGAGGTCTGCGCCTTGGGCTGCGCGGGTGCTTGACTCTGCTGTCGGCTCCAACTGTCCGAGCCTCTTCTGCGGTAGTTGCCTCGCCCGTTTCGACTCGAGTTGCCTGAACCTGAATCTTTCCCCCCCAGACTATTAGAGGGCTCCTTTCGTCCTCCGCGCGACCCGTGGCCCAGGCCGCGATGCCGGGGTGGGGGCCTCCCATGGCCACCTCGTCCCGTTCGCGTCGCCGAGAAGGGAACCGTCAGCATCTTGGCATCGGTCATTCCCGGGAGGAGGATCTTGACCACATTCCCACCGCCAACGACGTCTGCAGCGAAGTAGTATGGCTCCATGGCAGTTGCCTGCACGAGAAACCTCTTTGGGAGGGCCTTGGTTTGCGCCACAGCAGGTTGCCAGGCTGCCTCTGGAGCTTTGTGCGGAAACCGAATCTGGGGTAGTGAGCCCATCTCCTGCTCTTCGAAACAGTCTTCAGCCATCGGTTTCGAGACTGCGTACTTCAGACTTCCCGAAGCATTGGCTGCTGATACGCTGGGCAGGGAAACCGTTGCCGAGTCTTCGTGGACGGGAGGCTCCAGCACGCTCCTACTGGCAGGATCCACTCCTATATGTCTTTGGGGCAACGGCTTGCTTCCACTGAGGAGGGTGTCAATTTTGTCTTGCCAGGTTCCCCGGGAGGGCTCGCCTTCCCGGTGGTAAACCGGTGCGCGGTTCGAATGAGCTCGCAGGGCCTCCTTAAACGAGAGACGGCTTGCCCAAGGCACGTTGGCCCGAGTCTGGAGCGGTTGCGAAGCCATCATGGAGGGTGGAAGCTTTACAACCGGCTGCGGTTTCGGCAGAGAGACATGCGGATGCACCACGTCGCCCTCATAAGCGGGATGTCCCTCCATGGTGGGCGGCGGCAGGGAGGGCGAGGCTGGGCGTGACGGTTCAGTGGCTGCAGAGCCAGACTCGTGGCGAGCATCTCTGGCGGGGAAGAACCTCGAAGCACGCGACTGGGCCGGCGCTCCAGGGCCGGCTGGAGGGAGAATCGAGCTGCTCCCGGAACCTATGACGCCAGGATTGGCGGAAGGCGCAGAATCTTCGACTGGAGCAGCACCCTTGGCAAGCTTCTCCTGTGGTGTCTTCCAGGGGCCCGGTGGGTGTGACTGAACGTCAACAGTCCCAACAGCTCGCCGTGTACCATCTCCAGACAACTGGACAGGCCGCCAAGTGTCCTTGATGGTCGGTTGGGCATCTTCAACCAGGAGCCCTTGCTCAGCAAGTTGACGCTCCCTTCCCGCCCTTTCGGTTGCTAGAGCGGCGCTTAATTTCTTGTCGCCGTCGACGACGGCGGTGACCCACTTGGTGGCCAGATCGGAGCCTGGGGCTCCATAGCGAGAGCTCTGAGGGCCGATGGGGTTCGGAGGGTGAGCCTGTCCCTGCGAAGGCACCCGCGTGCTGCTTGGCGGGGCGATGGGAGGCGGGCCCTTGTGATTTTGCGAAGGCGCCACCGCTGCACCGGGAATGCGACCAAGGTCAGGGTTGAATGTGCCATTGCCAAGCCCTCTGTCGTGGTCGGGAGAGCCCCAGACATTACGTGATGGAGGTGGTACGCCCGCAGCCCAAGCGGTAAACCTCTCTGGCCGAGGTCCCGGGCCCGACCACAAGTCAGCACGTTTCCCTTCATGCCCGTGGGAAAGACGCCTTCCAGAGGGTCCAGGGGGGGCGCCCTCCTTCGCAGACACTGATCGTGCCATGGCCCCTTGGCCGTCGCGTAGGCTTTGATCGTTTGCATCTGAGACGGTTTGGCGTTCTTGGCTGACCGCTTCGCCCGATGCTTGAGCCGACTCGGGTGATTTGCGTTGCTTTATTTGTGTCGGCTTCAGCACTTCGTCCTTGGAGGCGCCATCTCTCTTGTCACTGGACTTTTCTGGAGGGGGGCCCAGAGCCTCCAGCTTTTTCTGGATGCGCTCCCTCTTCGCTGCTTCCTCGCGCGCTTCCTCCTCCTGACGCCGTTTCCTGGCAAGTTCTATGCGCTCTCGCATCAGTTTCTTCTGGAATTCAACATCGTCCACGGTCGCATCAACCAGTGGTGGGGGGGTTGCCTTCGCCTCGGGTGGTAGCGTGCTATTGTTGGGGACTGCGAAGGTCTCTCCGGGGGAGGCTCTGGGTGCCCAGCTTTGGGTGTGTTGTGGTCTAGATGGCGCTTGGCCGGAGACGGGCGGGTTCCCAGGAGACATGGGAATCTCGGCTGAACCTGCTAAAGATGTTCTTCGTGCGCCGAGCAGTTCGGCGGGAGGCTGCACCAGTCCATCGTTGCCCTTGCCGAGGCGCTGCATATAGGAACCACTACCGCCACTAACGTTGGAGGATCCACGCCTCCGTCCAAAGGGGCCATCTTGCGAGGTGCGATTCGTTTGGAAGGCGCTGGAAGGCTCCGCCGGCTGGTCTGACGGCTGCGGACGATGCAGCAGAGCCGGGTGTTTAGCTTGGGGATCTGAGCGAATTGAGCCGCGTCGATCAAGCACAGGCTCATAGCGTCCCGAGTGGGAGTTGTAAAGCTCTCTGCTCCCGTGTGACGGCCCGTCCCTCCAGGACGAGCGACTGAAGTCATCGGCTGCGATCTCTTTCGGCTGCAGGACCGCGTTTTTGTGTAGATCTTTTGGTGGAGCGCGGGCTGAGTTGGCTGCCTCCGCCAACACCGGCGATGCTCTATCCACAGGAGGCAACGTCGCCCAGGGTGATTTTGCGGGCGTTGGTGGCACAGGGGGTTTGGCTACCAAGGCCGGCTTGTCCTGGGAGGCGCTTTTCAAGATGAGCCCCTTGCCAGAAGCAAGGCTGCCAGGCCTTGGCAGCGGCGAGCCTGTCGAGACAGGAGGAGCCGGGGACTTGGGTTTCTCCTGACTCTTGCCCTTGGATGTAACAGATCCTTCATCGTCACCGTTTTCCGATATGGCGGCCACCTGTTCGTCAGGGTGTGGGAGCGTGGTCTTTGTGCCGTCGCCCCAAGTGATTGCTTCCGGGGCCCAGTCGTCGTCGTCGTCATCTATGTCCGCCCACTTCCCTTGGCCTTGAGCATCGTCTTCATTCAGGCGACTAGCCATATGAATCCCGTACTTCTTCAGCTCCTCATCGGTGAACTTCTTGGGTTCGGGTGCTGGGAAAGTCAGGAGGGGTCAATGCCATCAAGACATGTGGAAGGGTAGTCTCACGTCGATTTTTGTTCCAAACAACGTTAGGATCAGGGGCCGTTGCTGGCTTCCCACCATTGACGGCCGACGAGGATCGTGGCGCAGAGTCTCGCGCACCGCTACCCGTCTTTGCAACTAACCGGGGACGCGACACCGAAAGGGTAGCCGATCCAGGGGGCGGAGTGCTGGTGCCCGTGGTGGGCTTGTCGTTGGCCTTGGAGACCGTGCTGCCGGGGCTTGCCTTGGCGGCCAGGAACGTCTTGTTCACCGAGACGGCCTTGAATGTGGCCGGCTTCTTGACGGAGGAGCCTGTCCGGCCGTGGCTCTTGTCGCCATCCTTTTGCCTTGCCCAGTCCGTGCGAGAGGCTTCCGTGTCTGATCCTCCGCTTACGCTAACGTCGGCAGAATTGATTTGATCCTCAACGCTGGTGATGCGTTTGTTTGCGATATCGTCACTGCTGGCAGAGGGGTTGCCGTTTACAGTCGGGGGATCAAGCGCGACATGGTGGGCTCGGTCGGCCTGTGAGCAAAGAAGTTGGGGTTGATCAGCACCCTTTTTCTTTGTGATTTCTCCAACCTGGACAGTGCATCGCGCAGCGCAGACTTGAGCGGCCACTGCCGACCATCGAAAAAGCAGCCCCTGCGAGATGGACAAGGGACGGATGATGATCATGGAGGACTCACGGGCTGGGGCTCGGGTGAAGCAGACACATGGGCAAGCTTTTCAATGGAGGGCTCCGTTGCCATCATCCGTCCGTCGTGGCAGGCGAGCGTCGCTCGCGGTGCGATAGTGACGAGGATGCCGAGTCGCCGTCAGAGAGCCACCCGGACAGATTTGCCCACGATGGTTTGTGCGGACGATGTCGGAAAACTCGGTTTGCTGGGATCGATGTACGTGTCGTCGCGGTGAGGACTGAAGAGCCGGTCGCAAGCAGGTAGCCGGCGGCAATAACCTGCTGGTAAAGTGTATTGGGGGCGACAGTCGCTAAGAATAGGCTGCTGGAACTGGCGCGTGTCTCTGGCGAGCCGGCCCGGTGCTCGTGTCGAGGAATCGTCTCGATGGCGGAAGGGCGGATGGATTTGACAGTCGTGATGGGTGACCAAAGAGTCAGGGTAACTAAGGCAAAGGTGGTCGATGCGGCTGCCGGACAGCGATGTGATTTTCGAAGCTACAGCGAACTGATTTAGGTCTAGCGCGGTTGCGGGGGTTCTTGGGCCTCGGGGCTGCCTAGGGACGTACTGTAAGGTTCTTTTTACTGAACATGTTTTGGGACGCAGTCGCGGGTACGTATACGTACCTGCTTGGTACCTTGGGTAACGGACGCACTGTCGGCCTCCACCGGACTGCCTCTATCTCAGGTTGCCCGTTATAGGTAAGTATGGCTTCGGAATATGTTGCCAAAAACGTGCCAAATAATAATAAACCCCATATCAATTTCCTTCCTGGCAAGCCTGCTTTACACCCCGACCCGTGGTGCCTGAGCGGTCGGCAGACCCCAGGAACTTCCCCGCATCAGCATTAGATCGTTTGCCAGGTAATTAGAGCATGGCTAAACACCAAGCTCCAAACAAGCAACGTCTGGCTACCCCGGAGGCGCGTTATAGTAGTATCAACTGAAAACCCCCAGCCATGCCGAGGAGTCGCTTGGACAAGCTTCCGGGGCTGCAGAGTCCGAGCAAATGCACTCCTTGTGATTTTCACGGATAGTTAGGCGCCCAGCAAAGGTTGCGAACTCGCAAGCATCGTATCCCGCGCGCCGCGGGCTACCCTGTATCCAGACAGGCGGGTGGATCTACGCCAATGAGCCCCGTCGGCTCCATCGAGTCTCTGCCTAGACTCGCGTAAAGCATAAGCTGCAAGAGTCGGGCAGCTGCTCAGCTCTTGTCGAACTGTGGCCCCGAGGCGCACATCGAGCACTTGTCAGGACCAGAGTCCCGGGCTGCAACAGACGTGTCGATCCAGAGCACCAGCAGACTTGCCTAGCCAACGAGAATGGCACATACTGCACCCGACTTGATATGTCTGAGCACACATGCACATGGCGTGGCATCGCGAGGAGCCTGGGGATCAGGAGCACAAAGTGAACCCTTTGGTTGTTGTGTGTGGAACACCGCCGTCTAGGCCCTATTTACACAGCTCCTAGCCGAAGTCCGACATGATGATAGCCAGGTCCTGCTCAAATCTAGTGGGCGTTGTTCTTGTGGTGACCTGAGAGTAGAAAAGCGTCAGCACGAAGACACCAAGACGGAGAGTGCAGTTGAGCAACGTACGCAAGTGGTAATAGTAGTTCTGGGCGTAGCCGATGCCAATCAGGAAAAGCAAAACATGGACAATGGCTGCATGTATCGGTTAGCGAACTGTTGACTCCCGGCGTCACTGACCCGATATAACATACGCTGAGCCGACGTCTTCTTGCCAAAGTACTTGGCCTGGTACCAACCGAGCAGGCCCTTGCTCTTGACCTCGGGAGCGGCGCCTCGAGGAAGTTTCTCGTAGAAGCTGACAACGCGCTGCATGCGCAGAGCGTCGGGAGCTCCGCCGATTGCCTGTATTCACAGCATCGTCAGCCCCAGGGTTCGTTGCCTCGGCGTCCGTTCCGCAAGTTCGTCCACCGTTCGCCGCGAATCCGTGGCCCAACTGCCCAATTGTGCACTCCCACAGCAATCCCACCGGCGACGAGCATCGAAAGAATTAACCGTGCATACCTTGGGCGAGGCGACCTAGACGACAGAGTTAGCAAGGGGGTGGCATCCGAGAATATGGCCACGGCTCGATGGCCCAGAAATCTCACCTTGGGAGGAATGAGCGTCGAAAGCGCTCGGCGAGTAACGAAGCTCATGATTTCGATTTCTTGCCTATGCCGCACGCGAAGCAGAAAGTCAAGCCGTTCGGTCGAGATGTGACGCTCGGTAGTGCAGGCGTTGGACAGTGCAAGCCGGCGATGGCGCGTTGGAGGATCTTGCCGAAAAGCGGCCTGCCTCGGCAAAACCACGGTCCGCCGTGGCCAATCAGCAAGCATCAATTCGAACGTTGACTGAGCACCCGTCCAAGTCTGCCTGCGCCAGGTACCAGCAATCGTCCGGGTTGCACATCACCGCCGTCTCAGAAACGTCCTCACCATGGCCTCTCTGCAAGGCCACAGTGCCAGAAGGCTCTGGAGAACCGCAGCGACAGCGCGGGTATCCATCCCTTGTGTCGCTCGACGATTTCAGAGCGCGGTAACGAAGCCCCCGAGCGCCCTTCCGCCCACTCCGAGTGCGAACCAGCCCGACTACGATATCCCTGCCGACAAAGCCACCTCGTACGCGCGACTCTTTGGTGATGCAGAGGCATACTGTCACATGAGCTAACCCTGACTTCAGTACCTTCACCCCCGTTCCGAAGCGAGTCCAAGATGGCAGCGAGAACATTCTACCGGCGGCCTTCATTTCCGGCGCGCCCATGGAGCTCCAGGCTCGAATGGTCCGGTTAGCTTCGACCCCCAAGCTCTCGGGAAGCACAAGTTCTGACTCGCGCCGCAGTATTTACAAGGAGTCCAAGCCAGCAACTCAGTCTGGGGACTTTAGAGGAGACCACTGGCGCCTGGACTGGGACATTCTCCCCAAAGGCCACCGGTGGGAGAACCAGCTGATGGGCTGGCAATCATCGGGTGATTTCATGCAAGGCACACACTTGAACTTCAAGACCAAGGAGGATGCCATTCACTTCGCCGAGAAACAGGGCTATGAGTACTTTGTCCAGGAGCCCAACTCGCGCAAGATCACCCCCAAGGCCTACGCCAATAACTTTCTCTATTCGCCAAAGCAACTCAAGCACATTCGGACCAAATGAGATAGTTTGGGGAACGATAGCATCAATTGTATTTCTTTCTCAAGAGAACTGCACTTGTTGGCACGAGGGCTTGCCTTGTGGCCAGACATGGACAGTTCAGGTGCCCTCATTTGACAAGGAGTCTAGACGCCTTGCATCGAGTGTGATGATCCCCGCAGATCGCGGAATGTAAGAATTCACCACAGCAAGCCCCTGTAACGCCTGCTACAACACAAAAACCAAAACACCTGACACCTCTTGTCTTCGTCTGCTCACTGTGACATGGCGAACAGACCTGAAACTCGCGAAATCATATCCCACAACCGGAGCGGGCAGTCGTCCAGCGCTTGTCACTCTCGGTGGGCATACCGTATTAGTTGGTAAGCATAGGCTCATGGCCATTCTCCGGGTTGACCTGTCGTCCACTGTGACTTCCAGGCTCGTCACCCCTTAGGCCAATGTCGAGGCGATCCGGAAGGGTTGAGCCCCTCTCGCGCGCCGTGTTCTCGGCCCAAGCTCGCATCTTGACCAGATGACGAATAGCTGCCTCTCGCCTTGCCGATTGACTCTCGAGAATGGCCCGATTGACGTTATCGGCGGCGTCACGGCGAAGATCAGGATTAAGCAGGGCGGCGAGCTGTGGCTCCAGACTTTCCTGGGGAAACAAGAGCAAAGCCATGGTTCTCTCGAGATCCTCGAGAAACTTGGGATTGGTTGGAGCTCGAGGCCCGAGCTGTTCTGTGGCGAACCTCAGTGCAGGAGTTATATCCCCACCAGCAGCGTTGCAAGACCGGATGAGTTCAACGAGCTGCAGACGCAGGAGGGAGAAATGCAATGCCTTGTCATCGTCCAAGATCTGTGTTGCAGGTCAGAAGCTGACTTATTCAAGGAAACGCTCAGTGATGATTGTGAGGATAGAAGTCAAGGAATCATATATAAAGTGGTGTTTGTCTTCACAGGCCAGGTGACTGGATCTCCGCGTGGTGCATGTAAAACTCGTCTTTTAATCACGATGACAGGAAGGTTCAAGATGGTGCGTCACGCGGGATGGTCTGCTTACCTGGGGGTCCAGCTCATTCAATGACTCAATGGCAGATTGAATGTTGCCGCTGTGTATAAAGGTTTGGATCTCCTGCCTCGTACGAATCGATGCGCTGTCTTGCTGAGGTTGGAGGTTGGCCTCTTTGGAAAACTTGGCAGCAGCGTTGGGATAGCCCTCCATGGTCAAGTAGTCCAAGATGAGGGCATTGATGTCGCTGTAAGAAAAGTCAGCCGGGGCGCACGGCAGGCGAGCAGCAGAAGCAAAAGATGTAGCAGGCAAAACAGCCGTGGGCAAGTCAGAAATGAAGAAAAAGATATCGTTTCTCCGCATGATGTAGCTAGGAGAGATTCCCATTGATATAGTAAATCATCACAAAGCCGGGACGAATGTGCAGCCAAGAGCAAAGGAACAAGCATACCTCTTGGGTGACTTGACCTCCTCGACCCGCCTCTCGAACGCATGCTTGGCCGGCGTTGCCGTCGATGCCGTCGACGTCTGGAGGGTCACCAATGTTGTCAGCGGCGCCGCGAGGCCTTGGCACTCGGCTCTTTCAGGGGCCCGTACCATTGTAGTTTGAAATGATTCGCGGAGGAAACCAATCAAGGTCCTATTCCATATTAAACCCGGGGGAGTGTTGTCAACGTCGGACGCTGCCGACATGCGCAGCAGCCGCCGACGGGGGAGTCGAAAAGTGGTGTTTCAGTGCATTGGAGAGCCGAGCGGTGCAAGCACGGAAGCTCATGAGCGCCGGCGAGCGAAGGAGCAGATGATGGAGCTGCAGTCGCGGCTCGTTTGAGTAGCCGAGGGCAGGCGGACCTCGACGCTGTGCGAGAGAAGAGTAGAGGGTCAGGCAAAAATAGTTGGCGAAGGGCGAGTTGAAATAGGCAGAAGTGGGTAGAAGGAAAAGTCGGCGCAATCAGCCAAGCTGTGGCGCCAGATGGGGCGCGTGCTGCAGGTAAGGTAATTAGATGGTGCCCTACTATCTTTCCTCTTTGAGAGACGCGCTCTAGCAAATGAAATACCCGCTTAGGTAAGCGCATGGCATAGGTATTTTGCCCAATGCCATTAACGTAATCCACCCCCTTCCCGGTCAGACCCCCTACTCGGTCAAAAATTCCCCACCGACTAGACCCGCACCTTACGCGAGACAAACGGAGCACAATACCACGACATATTTACTCCAAGAGACAAGTAACTCGATTAGGACTATCTATTACACGTACGGGCAGTGTGTTCAAAAGACCTGCACTTACTACACCGTGGTGGTGCACGCTGTCTTGGGACACTCAGCTCTTCTATAAGTCGTTGGTCCCGCTCCCTTCTTCCCGCCGTCGCTTGGCCCGCTCATCTTCCTTTGCTCTCTGTTTCTTGACCCGCTCCTCTTCCTTTTCTCGCCGTAGCTTGAACCATTCCTCGTTCTCTTGTCGCCGTCGCTCGGCCCGCTCTTCTCCTTCTTGTCGTCGCTTGGCCCGCTCCTCGTCCTTCTCTCGCCGGCGCTTAGTCCTCTCCTCTTCTTCCACTCTCCGTCGCTTAACCCGCTCTTCTTCTTCTTCTCTCCGTTGCTTTATCCTAACCGTGCCCTCTGCAACCGATAGAGTACCGCCGTCGCCAATGTATTCACGGCGCTGTTCTTTCTCTGCTTTCGCCGCTGGTTTTCTGACCGAAGTTGCCGGTTTTCGTCGGCAAGGAGGGCGGCGCTGTGCATGGCCATTTGACATCCTTTGATAAGCTGGTTGATAGCTTGTGAAACTGGCGAGTCTGTATTTTGTGGCCGGCGTTGAAGAAGCCTTTCGGCGTGAGTGGTAAGCTGGTTGACGTTATGCGGAGTCTTGGCTGCTTCCAGGCTCTTGTTGGGACTTGGAGTATTCTTGTCGCCGTGATCGTTACCGACTTTGTCAACCTGAACTTGTAACCGCGATAATACTCTGTTTGGGTCAAACGGAAAAAGGCCTGTTGCCATAAATCCGCTTCGGATATTCGACGGCGAAAGTGCTTGTCGGCGAGCGTCTAAGTACATGGGAAGGAAGTCCTGCTTGTCGATATGATGGATCCCAGCGAGCATTTTCTCTTGAACCTTTCGGCCGTATATGGTTTTCAACGGCGAAAAGCACCCGACATCAAGAGGCTGCAAGAGATGTGAGGAATGTGCAGGCATTTGAGTACTACGATGGAATTGGCCGTACAGTACTTGTCAAATTCCGGCGTGACGTGACTGCCGTGCCCGTCGAGAATAAGAAGTCGATGCGTACCAACCGTACGGCGCCGTGTATTCGGATCAAAGACTTCCTTTAACCAATTCAAAGCAAGGTCGTCGGAAGTCCAGCCATTCTCACTAACGGCGATATGCCAGTCATCGGGCACTCCTGATTCGTACCAGCTTGCTTGGTGTAACTTGCCCTGGAAGATAACCTTCGCCGGTAAAGCCCAACCTTGGCAGTTGATAGACTCGATCACAGTAACCCATTCTCGATTTCCAGGCTGCGTGAGTACTGCCCGACCTCGCCGGTCAGACCGGGTAAGGACTCTCGCCGTTGCAGCGACTCCCATTTGAAACCCCGTCTCATCAAAGTTATAGACATCCTCGTCAAGAATCCCCCATTTCTGTTTCGTCGCCGCGACTCGATCGTACCATCCTTGGATCTTTTGGGGGTCTTCGCATTTGGCTCGTTGGTAGTCGTATCGGCGAGAGTACTTTGCCTTGATTTCGCCGTGGCGGCCAACAAACTTCCGCACCCAGTTTTCCCCGACAGGATCTTTGCCTCGCTCGGAAAGCAATAAGTTGGCCATCCGACGAGTGTAAGCCACTGTCGGCGGCATCCTCGCTCGTCCATCGACAAGATCCATTGTACCAGGGCAGTCTCTTCCGTCGCCGTCAACTTCAGGTTGTTCATCTGAGCGTCGCGTCGGCGAATGACACCGCGCAGTCGATCAGATACTGTCGATTGAGGACGTCGTATGCGGCCGCAGCCTTGCGGGTACTTTTGAATTGGCCCTGCTGATAGGCCCTGACGGCGAGCAGGACCCGTTCTTCGCGTGGAACCGATTGGTCTCCCGTTGCCGTCATAGTGCTCGGTTTGTCTTGCCATAAGTGTGGGTCGCCGCGTGGAGACTTTTTCTGACCGAGTAGGGGGTCTGACCGGGAAGGGGGTGGATTACGTTATACTGCCTATTTGGCCAACGGCACGGCAATGTAGAGATTTGATCTTGGGCAAGTTGCTGTCAGATCTGGACAGTCGAGGTCACGGGACTGCTCACGTGGAGGACCGGGAAGACTGGGGCTCAGGGAAATTACCGAGGTAATTAATTACCCCTACAAAGGGCGACATCGTCAGCAGCTTCTTCTACCGCAATCACGCACAGTTTCAAAAGCCTCTTTAGCTCATCAATTTGACCCTCGTACTATCGCCCCGTTGGGTAGGCCGCAGAACCATTGTTCTGACATGGTCTTGGAAATCTGTTGGCATTGACGAGCTCTTTCCCGCCGTGGCCGTCGCACGCGGCGGAGGGCGCTCTTGCGTACCCTCGCGCCTAATGAAGTAACGCAATTGTCGTTAGGAGCATAAAACACCAAACTTCTCTTATAGTTCAGTAGACCATTTGGCCGAACGGCGGTGCCCGTAGACCGTAGCTGTAATCCTCGTAGGCGTACGTTCGGCCCGTAGATGCGTGAAACTGCTTCCTTGTTCTTTGGTGCCTTATGCTTGGTGCCTCGTACATCAGCCTGTCTCATGTCGCGCATAACCACGTGATTTACGTGCCTCGTAGCCTCGAGGGTAGCGTTAGGCGCCTCACATTTTCCCCCTCCCTTGCGGAAGTTGCAATAGCAACGACAGGAAAAATCTTTCGCCAGGAAAACCAGCTGTTGATGGGCCACCAGCTTGGAAGGGTCTCCCCTCCTCCTGTCGACAGGCTGGATAAGACAGAAGCTATCGCCACTCCAACGGCTCTTACATCCCCCTGTCCAACTCGGCACTTTGTACTCTTGCCAGTACTACAGTGCACAAGCCTTCCAGGATCTCCTCTACGTCCGTTGCCCAGGGCAGACAAGAGAAAGATGCGCGTAATCGGCGGATGTCGAAGCACCTCAGAGGTCGCCTCAAAGCGCTGCTGTCCCTTGAATGTTCAGCGAATGTTTTGAACTTATATAAACGCCCTGCAGGCCGGGCCGGCATGTACTGTTGGTGCCCTTTGCTACTGCAGAGGACTTGCCATTTGGCCCACAACGAACTAGTAAATTCAGGTCCCCCATCATAAAAGGGGTACTTTGCATGCTCTTCCGCCCTGTTGTCCCGTTTGATTGGTCCGGCTGCTCAATGGCTTCGCTTCCTCCTCGGCGTAGCATCCACCAGTCTCCCCTCCGGCCCGGCAAACGCCACCTGCACCCCAAGCCTCCTCTCGACGGATTGTGTCTTCTCGGCAACTGACTGGCTCGATAGCCCGTCATTTTGGGACCGGCAATCCAAGGGGCAATCAACGAGCTGCAAGCAGAGTCTGCCCGGAGTTGACAAAGCCAGACGCTTCCCCTGGAACTGGTCACAGGGTCTACAGGGCGGTTCCCGTGGTCTCGTCGGACACTCGAAATCTCGCCTGGCGACATTGCACCCTGTCAAGTGGCAGGAAATGTCGGAGCTTGAGAGCCATGTCACCGTCCAGAAGCGAGTGTACTACTCCCCCCCGTGGGCGGACGTGAGCATCATCGGCGTGGCAGGCAGCTCGGGCTCTGGCAAGTCTACGCTTTCCCAGGCCATGGTGAGAAAGCTCAATCTGCCATGGGTTGTGATTCTTTCCATGGTATAAACACAATCCAGAACACTCGGCCGGCCCAGCGCGTCTAATCACCGGCCAGGACTCCTTCTACAAAACCCTGACCCCTGAGCAATCGAGGCTGGCCTTTGCCAACGAGTACGACTTTGACTCCCCCGAGGTATATCACGCCTTGAAGCTCTCCCCTTGTGTGAGGAGTCTGCTCAACAGGCCCCTGTTCAAAGGCAATCGATTTCGATATCCTGGTTGACCGCCTACAAGATCTCAAGGCCGGGTGACAACTTTTGCCCCCCCCTGAGCATCGCCTCGCACACTCGCTGACCCCTCGGCCAGCAAGCGAGCAGAGATTCCTGTATACTCCTTCGCCAAACACCAGCGCCTGGAACACACCACGTCCATCTACTCGCCCCACGTGCTTATCCTGGAAGGAATCTTTGCCTTGTACGACCCCCGGGTTCTCGAGCTTCTTGACATTGGGGTACGTCGGCACATGTCCATTCCTCGGGCAAGGCGGTGATTTGACCCGGCCTCAGATATACTGCGAAGCCGACGCGGATACCTGCTTGTCGCGGCGAAGTAGGTTACAACTGGGTTGCTTCCTCTCGCGCAGCAATGTCTCAAAAGACTAACCGCCGGGCCAAAGTTGTCCGCGATGTCCGGGAAAGAGGGCGTGACATTGAGGGCTGCATCAAGCAGTGGTTTGGATATGTGAAGCCCAATTTTGAAAAGGTAACCGTCGTCCCAAGGCCATGACATGGTGCAGTACATCCCAATGCCAGTGCTCACATGCGACGCTCCCTGCCAAAAACAGTTTGTCGAGCCTCAGCGAAAGGTAGCCGACTTGATCGTACCTCGGGGCATTGAAAATCGAGTGGCGCTCGGTGAGTTGAGCCATTGCTCGGCCTTATCCTTGCGCTCGGGTGCTGAACGTGAAGCCAAGATATGATGGTCCAGTTCATTGAAAGGAAGCTCTTTGAGAAATCCACCCATCATCGCGAAGCCCTGTCGCAACTGGAAGCCGCTTGCAAGGAGCAGCCGCTTTCCGACCGGGTCTTGATCCTCAACGACACGCCGCAGCTCAAGTTTATGAACACGATTCTCCAAGACTTTGACACATCGGCGGAGGACTTTATATTCTACTTTGACCGTCTGGCGGGCCTCATCATAGAGCAGTAAGTTGCGACGCGAAGCGGCCGGGCGATGGACGAAAGACGTGCTGACGGGCAACTGTTTTAGGGCCCTGAACAACGTACAATTCACAGCGACAGAGATTGAGACACCCTGCGGACACAGGTACCGCGGACTGAAGCCCAAGGGAGAAGTCAGTGCCGTGATTGTGCTCCGGGGAGGTTCGGCGTTTGAACCGGCACTCCGGAAGACAATACCAGATTGCCGAACAGGGCGCCTCTTGATCCAGTCGGATTACTCGACAGGCGAGCCGGAACTGCACTACCTGAGGCTGCCGGACGACATCCACAAGCACGAGAGCGTGCTGCTACTGGACACGCAAATGGCCAGCGGTGGCGCGGCGCTCATGGCGGTGCAGGTGCTGGTGGACCACGGCGTGGCCCTGGACCGGATCGTATTGGCAACCTACTCGGCTGGGCGGCTGGGGCTGCACAGGCTGATGACGGTGTTTCCGGACATCACCGTCGTGGTGTGCAACATCTTGGCGGATCAGGAACAGCGATGGGTTGAGAAGCGGTACTTTCGGTGCTGACGCACGCGGGGAGTCTGCAGAGAGCAGCATGCATACAACCCTTGGCGGGGCGCAAATGAGATGGACGATGCGGTCCTGAATGTCGCATCCATGCACGGCGCAGGTCCTGAGGGCCTGAGGGGTCTTCAGGGTCTGAGGATTGGCAGGGATTTTGTAGAAGAAGCTCGAGGGCGGATCAGCCGGGAGAGTCAATTGCTTGTCTGGTGGGGTTCTTGGACGCTGCCAGGGCCCTACCTATGACGCCACTGCTGGATCAAACGTCATGCCTTGAGCTCGCCGGCTGGCTTCAGTGCTCGTCACGGCTGCTACTGGCAGAATATTGTTAATTTTTAACGTTATTGAACTGTCTCTCTGCTCCACCCAATCCACCAGCTGTCTTGGTCTCGCTCGGCCCTTGCCAATTGCTCTCTTTGGAGCTTCTTTCCCCCTTTGTTCCGGGGACAACGACCAGCCCGCCACTTATCCCGTACGAAGTCGAGAAGCGTCTCCCCAAACTCTCACCGCCTTTGGCTCGCCGTCGATAATCTCGCGCCCACGATGCGGGCACCGTTGCCTGCGCCCACGGCGGCGCTCCGTCTTGCCGCCCGTGGAGCCAATACACGCCGGCTGGGCTCTGCCTTCGCCGCGCAATCGAGATGCCTTTCCCAGACAGCCGGCGCCTCATTGCGGCCGACCACAAACCCCTCGCGAGCGATGCGCAAGCAGCCGTCGGCGGTCCTTGGCCATGTGCGTGCCATCTCAGGGAAGCCGCTTCCGCAGGCCAACTCGTGGGTCCTCAACTTTGCCTACCGGGCCGCTGCCTGGGTCGGCTCGTCCATCACCGTCGTCGGCATCGGCGTCTTTGCCTTTTTCCTCTACGACGCCAGCACATACAAGGAGCACGCCGTCCACGGCGACATCGACGTCTCGCGCCTTGCCCTGCAGCCCCGTCGCGGCGGTCCCAAGAACCTCCCCATCGCCGACGTCTTCATCGACGACGACGACAGCGAGGCCAAGAAGCGGACAAAGAATAAGCCCAAACTCGTCATTCTGGGCGGTGGCTGGGGCGGCGTCGCCCTTCTCAAGGAGCTCAACCCCGACGACTATCACGTCACCGTTATATCTCCCGCAAACTACTTTCTCTTCACGCCCATGCTCCCGTCGGCCACAGTGGGAACCCTAGAACTGCGCTCCCTCGTCGAGCCCATCCGTCGCATCATCAGCCGAGTCAGTGGCCACTTTATCCGCGCCAAGGCAGAAGACGTCGAGTTCGCCCACAAGCTGGTCGAGGTCTCCCAGCTGGATCATCGCGGAAACGAGGTGCGCTTCTATGTGCCGTACGACAAGCTTGTCATCGCAGTCGGCTCTGTCACCAACCCGCACGGCGTCAAGGGACTGCAAAACGCCTTCTTCCTCAAGGACATTGACGATGCGCGCAAGATCCGGAACCAGGTCATACAAAACCTGGAACTCGCGTGTCTCCCAACAACACCAGACGACGAGCGCAAGCGGTTGCTCTCCTTTGTCGTTAGCGGCGGTGGTCCCACGGGCGTCGAGTTCGCGGCCGAATTGTTCGATCTCTTGAACGAGGACCTGACGCGGCACTTTCCCCGGCTCCTGAGGAACGAGATATCGGTCCACATCATCCAGAGTCGAAGCCACATTCTCAACACGTACGACGAGACCGTCTCCAAGTATGCCGAGGGTCGATTTGCCCGCGACCAGGTCCAAGTCCTGACCAACTCGAGGGTCAAAGAGGTCCAGTCTGATAAAATAATCTTCACGCAGAAGCAGGATGACGGCAGCCTGGTGGAAAAGGAGCTTCCCATTGGCTTCTGCCTGTGGTCGACCGGCGTCGCGCAGACCGCCCTCTGTCAGAAGCTGACCCACAGTCTTGGAAGCTTCCAGGGCAACCGCCACGCAATCGAGACCGACACCCAGCTGCGAGTCAACGGGACACCGCTGGGCGATGTGTACGCCATTGGAGACTGCTCTACGGTCCAGAACAACGTTGCCGATCACATCATCACCTTCTTGCGGACTTTGGCCTGGAAGCGCGGCAAGGATCCCGAGACTCTCCAGTTGCACTTCAACGACTGGCGCCAGGTCGCTCAGGATGTGAAGAAACGCTTCCCCCAGGCCGTCAACCACTTGAAGCGCCTAGACAAGTTATTCCGCCAGTTTGACGCCGACCAATCCGGCACCCTCGACTTTGGAGAGCTGCGGGAGCTCCTGACCCAGATCGACAGCAAGCTGACGTCGCTGCCGGCGACGGCGCAGCGCGCGCATCAGCAAGGCTGCTACCTGGCGCAGAAGTTCAACAAGCTGGCCCGCTTGGCAGAAGGCCTCGACGCAAATGATATTCGCGACGGCGACGTTGATGCGGCCGTGTACAAGGCCTTTGAGTACCACCACCTGGGCAGCCTTGCCTACATTGGCAACTCTGCCGTCTTCGACTTGGGCGAGGGCTGGAGCATCGCCGGCGGTCTGTGGGCCGTTTATGCCTGGCGCTCCGTGTACTTTGCGCAGAGCGTGAGCTTCCGGACGCGGTCTCTCATGGCCATGGACTGGGCCAAGAGGGGTGTCTTTGGACGAGGTGAGTTGATCTACCCAGATTCGTCTCCTGAGTCGTTTCTTCCATGCAAAGTGAATGACCAGCGGCTTTGTCTGACCCGTGATGTAGATTTGATGAGTTTCTAGCACGGCCAAGTCTATGCCTGTGGCGGCATGGAAGCAAGGGAGGAGTGGAAGTCATCGGTTAGGCTTAGAGCACGAGTGTACGACCTCGTAACGTGTAGACGAGAGCCAAGCTACCTGCGTAGATCAAACAGCAGGGTGTGATATCCCAGGAGTCCTTGTGTGTACATTTGGACAGCAACTGGCGCAAATAGCAGAGGTCGATGGGCAAGATGAATAGATTGATACGTCACTGCATGGTTTCTGTTCCGTTCTATCGATATAATCTCTTGGGAAAATGCCCGCTCTCCAGACCCATCCTCACAGCACAAAATCTTTGTACGCCCACTTCTCAGTAAGCTTCGTCTTGGCTTGCTTCTTGAAGGGAATGTGCCTCCGGCTCTCTACCCTGCCCCGGACAAGCATGGTGCGGTACCGGTCCTTGAGAAGGTTGCCCTCTGGTTTCAGCAGTCTGAGCGATTCTTGCAATTCGTCGGGCAGTACCAGCTCGAGGTCCTTTTCGGGCAGCTTGAACTTGCCGAGTTGTCTCCTCCGGAGGTTGTCGTCGTCACCTTCGTCAGATGCGCTGGACTCTTCTGCCACAGCCGCTCGCTGCTGTTCTCGCTCCTCCACCTCTTGGGCAATATCCAAGATTCGTTGCTCCTGCACCCGGCGCTCCTTCATGGCGGCCTTGTGCTTGGCTAGGCGCTCCTCCTCCTTTCTACGCTTGATGCGGTTCCGCTGCACTTGGGTTTTGCGCTTGGACTGCTTGGTGTTTGGTTTCTCGTCTTCGACGCCACTCTGGAAGCCTTCCCACTCGGAGTCTTCCTCCCACTCAGACATGTTGGCGCGCTCTTCGGCGGCTTCTGCCTCGGCGGCTGACCGAGCGACGGCCTCCTGTTTCTGCCTGTCGGCTGCCTCAGCCGCCAGGCGTTTCTTCTCGGCCTCCAATGCCTTGACACTCTCCTCGGTGAGCCTCTTTTCGTAGTCGGCAAAGGCGGGGTTGTAGCTATAACCCCCAGTAGGATTCTGCACTGCGGGCACGGGCTTTCCGCTCGCAGTCAGTGATATGGGCTGCTGCTTCATTGACTTTGGCATCCTGAGCATCTGTGGTTTGGGGAGAAAGTCGGTAGCGTCTTCGCCTTTTGTTTCCGCGGCAGCATCCCAGACATCGTAGTTGGCGTCTCGAACTGTCACAGCGTCTTCGTGGCGTCCGTTGGCGACCCTCCGTAGGCGGGCGAGCTCCTTGTGCGGCACCCAGTCTGTCCGCTGACGCTTCGCAGGTACGAGTCCGTTGGTGGTTTTGTCACCGGGGCGTTTGCGGGAAGAAACGGAGGGGATTACGGAGCGCTGAGAAAGAATCTCATCGACCTTGAGCACCTTGTTGCTGCGCTTGCGAAGCTTTGCGACAGAGGTCGAGCCACCCTTTACATCGATGGTGAATAGGTCGGACGAGGCCTTCTCCTTGATGACGCCGCTACGAAAACAGTCAGTAAGACGGATGCATGTCTGGCAATTCGTGACAAGAGAGCTTACCCTCTGATGATTTCCTCATTCAGATCCTGCAAGCCCTTCTCAACCTCTGTCACGTCGACGTTCTTCCTCCATGCTTTCTTGCCTTTTCTCGATGGCTGGCTGTGCTGCTCCGGGGCTTTGCCGGACCCGGTGGAGGGACCTTGAATGACTGGCATCTCTTTTTCGATGAGATTTGAGCGGCGCCAATTCGCGGTATGGCTCTGATTCGGAGAAGAATGCAAGATCAACTAGTTACTGCCTTGCAGACGTGCTCTCGTTGTCCATTTTTTTGGTGGAGCCAAGGGGAAGGCGCTGACTACATAGTTGTACATACATGGTCGCTTGGCCGGCGTTTTTTTCTTCCATCCATGTTTATCCGTATCTCCATGTAGGTGCGTCAACCCGGATTAATAAGTCCAGTTGAGGAACGTACGGAGTGCCGTACCGTCCACTACCTTCTCTTAGGTAAGTCACTGACAGTTGTACTCCAAACTCCGTGCTGGGGCGCGGCACTCAACAGATCCCGCCCAGTACGACCAAAGCGCTCCTGCCAACTCGTGCGCCTCCTTTCGACTTCTGCTTCTTGCACCGAGATTCACCAGGGGCTTGTATTGTGCGCTCGTCAAGCCCACGCATTGACCGAAGGAGTCGACACCCCCGAGCCTCGGCTCCGTACAGCAGCAGGACAACACAGGGGCCATCTTGCCGCGCACACGACGAGCTGCGGCCGCTTCCGAGCTACCTCTGATACTCCCCTGCCGACACACAACAGCGGCCTGTTGCGGACACCCCTTAGACGGTAAACCGGTTTTTGCGAGAGCTTCTGCCAAGATGGCGCAGGCCGGTGGATCCTACAACAACCCCTTGAAGAAATTCAAGTACGTGCGGCTCCCGTCTCCCCGACTCTTCCTCGTGGTACTAAGACGCTTCCAGGCTGGTTTTCTTGGGAGAGCAGAGTGGTACGGCACACGGACACCACCCCGGAGACGTAGCCTGCGACCCTGACTGACAAACTCCCGCCATACAGTCGGAAAGACGTCTCTGATCACGAGATTCATGTACGATTCGTTCGATAACATGTACCAAGCGACCATTGGGATCGACTTCCTGTCAAAGGTGAGGAGGAAATGGGGGGAGATACCCGCGCCCATAAGCGACAGACCTTGCTAATGCCGGCACAGACCATGTACCTCGAGGACAGGACGGTCCGGTTACAACTCTGGGACACGGCAGGCCAGGAGAGGTTCCGAAGTCTGATTCCCTCATATATCCGCGACTCGAGTGTGGCGGTTGTTGTCTACGACATCTCCAGTACGGCCCTCCGCACCCCCCTTTGACCGTTTGTGTTGTATGCGAGAGGACTAATGGATTGTCTTGTGACAGATGCAAAGTCCTTCCAAAACACCAAGAAATGGATTGACGACGTTCGGGCTGAGCGAGGACACGACGTAATCATCGTGCTGGTGGGAAACAAGACCGACTTGAACGACAAGCGTGAGGTGACCACCCAACAGGGTGAGGATGAAGCCAAGAAGAACAACTTGATGTTTATGGAAACCAGTGCCAAGCTTGGCCATAACGTGAAGAACCTCTTCAAGCGGATAGCGCAGGCATTGCCGGGCATGGAGGGTACCGATGCGGCCGCGCAAGCATCCAGTCAAAGTAAGTGCTCAGTTTGGTTCGTCCAGGCAGAGTTCCTGGAACTAACGCGCGTGCTTGCAGTGATCGACGTCAAGACAAGTCTGTCACAGCCTGCTCAGGATGGCTGTGCTTGCTGATGGTTGTGGCAAGTGAAGTGCCGGAGGGGCGGGGATATGGATCATCGGCGACGGCTCGTTCCGATGCGCCGCGCACGAGGTGGTGTGCTCAGGCCCATGATAGGATATGGAGCATAGCGGGTGCATCGGCGAATATTTCTTGTATTATCCTTCCGTAAATTCGCGGCACATGGCGTGATTTCACCCTCACCCAACGGTCTGCATACGGGCCCGGCATGTAAAGACATGCCGCCGGGCCGAAGAAACCTACTCTAGAAACACTGATGACGATAAATTTTATTTTCAAAATCTGCCTTCAGAGGTTCATCAAAGCCTCGGCTCAGGAGTATAGTCCTGTAAATCTCGAGTAAATCTCGACATGGATTTACCCGCGTTGGAAGTGAGGGGTTGCAAGGAGAAACTAACTGATCGATGGCAACCGCTGGCTCTCTCTCTCCAATGAGACGGGCACTCTACAAAGTATTAGGTTGGCACTTGCAAAAAAAAAACAGCACTGAAAGTCTATTATAATCAATGTCTCGATTCATATCGTGGCTGCGCCGACTAGTGAATGAACGAATGCTGCTTGAAAGAGTTGCCTGACCTGACAACGGCCGGTTACATCATTAGCACGGAGCCGGTCACGAGACCAGCGTTGGTTCGGCTTCCACGGGTAGCGGAGACGGAGAGCCCGCTGCTGTTGTTCTCCCCCATCACCAACCTACCGCTGTGCATCACGCTGAAAGCTGCCCAGACGACCTCCATATTTGCGCAGAACGTTACGCTCAACATGTCCAAGTTTACGAGGCTGTATTTGCGCCCCCCCCGCCCTCAGGTAGGTTGACGGGGCCTCAAAGATAGACTGCTCCGGGACTGGGCGCTGACGTTGCGGGCAGAGTCTCTTTGGCCTCGTCAGTCTCCAGACGGGGACAGAGCTCATCACCATGGCCATCGTCTTCAATAAGGTCACAGGCGTATACGGCCTATTGGCAATCCTCACTGGCTATCAGCTGTCGCTCCTGCAACTCTCGACATACCTGTACTCGATCGCCGTGCTTGCCGCCCTCGTCTATCTGATCCCTCACATTCGGCGACAAAGCCCATTTGAATGCCTGGCGCTGGCATGGGTGTACGTTTTCGACACGGCCATCAACGCCCTCTACACGGCTGCGTTTGGGGTCGAGGTGTACCTGGCCAGCACTGCATCCGATGGGACCGACTCGGCCTCGTCGGTGTCGGTTTCCGGTGTTTTTGCGGAGGGCTTTCAGCGGGAGACCGAGGTTCACGGCAAGGTTGTGCCTCAAGAGACGGCGGCAAGCATGGTCTTGATCGTCGGACTGACGCTGATCCGGGTGTATCTGAGCGTCGTCGTCATGGCGTATGCGCGGCAAGTGCTCCAAAAACACATGCAGCTGCTCGCGGCCGAGGGTACTGGGATGGATGAGCAGGCAGGCCCTTTTGCCGTGCATCTCCCCGACGGCGATGGGCGAAGGGGTTGGATGGGCAGGCTGATGGTGTCGCCGGGCAGAGGGTACTGGCTTACCATTGACGAGACAGAAGAGTGGTCGAGGGGTCAGCATGGCAAGCCGAGCGCTGGAGGGATGCTGGCGGGAGAGGTTTGAAGAGTCTGGCCAGTGGAGCCGGGGTTGGATGACGCGATTCCAACTCCATGTATCACCATTCCGAGGGCAGAAGCTTGCTCGCGTTGTTTGTACATACTATAGGCACATACTAGTGGTGTAACTACCTATGTAACTAACTACCTTACCTACCTCTAGGTATCTTACTAAGGCAGCACCTACCAAGGTACTTGCTCCATACGTACCTACCTACGTCCCCTCACTGTACCCGCGGCGCATCGGCCCCGTCGCGATGGGCCGACAGAGCCTGGGGCTGATCGGAGAATAAGGTAGCTGGCTTGCGTCGAGGTCCTCGGTCTGTCGGCGGCGGATGTCGCCAAGGACCCGCTGCCATCACAATTGGTAATGGGCGATCTCGCAATCGCCCGCCTGCAACGCTGGACGATCACGCAATCCCCCCCCAAGGGCCCAACGGAGCTTCGATTGAGAGTTACCGTCTCCTCTGGGCCCTGAACCCGCTAGCGAGGGCCTTCTCCGAGAGAGAGACACGGTGTAGCGGGTACCTCTGGGTCGCGTGCTAGCAAGACGGCGCGGCAAGTATGTGTCTACCTTGGGATGATGCCGCCGGAAGTGGGATTGAGCCCACTCCGTCTCCCTCTGCTCCCATAACCCCGGGCGAGAAGCAGTCTCCTTTTTATTGCCTCGTGCTCCCGCCCAGCTCGCCGCCGCCGCTATGTCGTTTCTCTTCAGGCAAGAGTCGTCACCCGAAGGCGGCACCATGGAGGCGTCTCACTCGATTCGGACGCCCGAAGAGGCCGGTAATTCATGCCCTCATAGACCACAATCACCACCAATGCTTGCTTTGTTCCGTGCCCCGCCGAGTGTTGGCGGCGATGGCTTCAAGTCGTGGACTCGTTCGCTGACCGAGATATTTCTGACAGCGGCCAGAATCGCCTACCTCTCCAGCGATGTCATCATCTCCGTGCAGCCGTCGCTGGCTCGAGACTCAGACTTTTCTCCCCATCTTAAGCGATACGCCGGCCGGAGAGATCGCGGCCTGGTAGCCGCCACTGCCGATGCTGTGCCTCAAGTAAGATGCCGCCTCAGCTTGACAGGGCGTCAGGCCACAATGGGGAGCAAAGCCTCTAACATGGCGACCCTAGATCCAATCCGTGCGACACAACGCAGACCCGTTGCTCTCCGTCTTCGCCCCCATTCGCTCTGGAAAGCTCGTCTCCGTCACTACTCCCTCTTCCGTCCTCCTGCCTGCCATTTCCCATCTCTACAAGCTGGCCAACTATCCCGTCGTTCTCCATGTCTCTCTCGCGCCCCACAACCGCTCCGATTACTTGACCATCACCTCTATACGAAACTCCGGATGGACCTTCATACAGTCAGAAACCTTGCAGGAGGTCCAGGACATGGCCATTACGGCACACGCTTTGGCTGTACGCACGGGCAAAGGCGTCATTCATTTCTTCGCCTCTGCCTCCGTCGTCGACGAACCCATCGGTGTGGAGGATGCCGCCGTGGTGCGTACAATCCTCGACATCGAGAGCGTGAGGAGATTCCAATCCGGCGGCATTGCCGCCTCAGAAATCTATGCCGATGATGGCCGTGTTGCCGTTTCCTCGGACCACCCAGAGACGGCGCTGGCCAACGGCGCTTCTGGAAAGAATGGTGGTCTCCAGCCTCCTGCTCTCGCCGATGCCCATAAGGCGGCGTCAGCGGGTACTTCGGTCAAATCAAGCGAGGCCAGTGAATCGTCCACGCCCGTGGCACCGTCCTCCGTCGCCACCACTGTTGAGGCTGTGCCCCCTCAGATCTTGTCCGAGGATATATACACCTGCGCGACTCGTATCTGGTCCCAGATTCACTTGGCGCTGGGGAGACAGTACAGTGCCTTTGAGTACACTGGACCCGACAACGCTGAGAACTGTCTGTTTATCTTTGGCTCCAACACAGGTCTCTTCGTGGACACTGTCAGACATGCCAAACCCGACGACATATTCGCCAAAGTGGGCATTCTCAAGCCACGCCTATACCGACCCTGGATTGGCTCCAAGCTCACCGAGGTCCTTCCCAGATCAGCCAAGAGAGTCGCAGTTCTAGAGCAGATCCATCGGGTAACCACAAAATGGGGTCCTCTGCTCATCGATGTTCTGTCCTCTGTCCATCGTGGACCCGGCGGTGTCGAGACTGTCGTTGGCTACCAGCTAGGCAACCTCGCTCCCGAGACAATCGTTCAAGCTCTCCGCGGGGTCGTGCAAAACCTGACGGCTGAAAAGCCGGTTCAGAACCTCGAGGTTGGAGTCAGAGACGGGCAGCAGCCGCTGGCCGGCCCTGCGCTGGCTTCTCCACTGCTGGAGACTGCATATTCCAAGATACTAGATCAGCTTTTCGGACAGAGGGTCTACGTTGCCAATGCGCTCAAGTCGAGCAACACCGGCATCTCTTCAACGGTGTCGGCGAGTCCCGAGTTTGGGTTCGGGTCATTACTGGCGCGTAAAGAGCATCGGGTACGCTTTGTGGCCGAAGTCAAGGAGACTGCCGGCACTGCCTCGTTTGCATCGGACGAACCGAAGAGTTGGCTAGCTCGATGGGCAATGAACGCCGAAGCCCTCGAGAAATCCGATGAAATCGCCGACGACGTCGTCTCCCGCCTGGAGGCCGACGGGTCACAGGCAGCGCAGACTCTTCTCTCCAGGCGCAGCTTGTTCTATAAAGAGTCTCTGTGGCTCATCGGCTCCGATGCCTGGTCACACGATCTCGGAAACTCGGGAGTGCATCACGTCCTGGCCTCGGGTGAGAACATCAACATGCTCATCATTGACTCGACCCCTTATTCGGAAAGAGGATCGGCCGACGCCAGCCGTCGAAAGAAAGACATTGGCCTGTACGCCATGAATTTTGGAAACGCCTACGTTGCATCCACCGCCGTCTACAGCTCATATACCCAGGTCCTGCAGGCGATGCTTGAAGCTGACAAGTTCAATGGCCCTTCGGTGGTTTTGGCCTATCTACCCTATTTTGGCGAGACAGACTCACCTTTGACTGTTCTTCAAGAGACCAAGAAGGCTGTGGAAGCCGGGTACTGGCCCTTGTATCGATGGAACCCCGAAAACGAGCAGAAAGGCGAGCCCAACTTTTCGCTCGACTCGGAGTTGCTCAAACGAGAATTGAAGGCATTCTTGGCTAGAGACAACCAGCTCACCCAGCTCATGAGAAAGGAACCGAATTATGCTGCCAACCTGGCTCAGGATTACGGAACAGAGGTGCGGGCCCAGCAGAAGAGGAGGGCCAGGGACGCTTACAGTCAGCTTTTGGAAGGCCTTTTGGGTGCTCCACTGACTATTTTGTTTGCCTCCGACAACGGCAATGCCTCGACTGTTGCGAAACGACTGGGTAACAGGGGCAGGGCCCGTGGTTTGAAGACGTTCGTCATGGCAATGGAGGACTACCCGGTCGAGGACCTACCTAGGGAGGAGAATATTGTGTTCATCACATCGACTGCTGGTCAGGGAGAGTTCCCACAGAATGGACTACCATTCTGGGACGCCGTCAGAGGTAAAGCAGACCTGGATCTAGCAACCGTCCACTTCTCCGTCTTTGGCTTGGGTGACAGCCATTATTGGCCCCGGAAAGAGGACAGGATTTTCTACAACAAGCCGGCCAAAGACCTCGACAGAGTCCTCGGAAACCTCGGAGGCCAGCGCCTGGCCGACATTGGACTAGGCGATGACCAAGATCCCGATGGCTACCAGACTGGCTATCAGGACTGGGAGCCCAAGATCTGGCAGGCACTTGGCGTGGACAAGGTCGACGGACTGCCGGAGGAGCCACCGCCGATAACCAACGAAGATATCAAGCTGGCGTCCAACTACCTCCGTGGAACCATTGTCGAGGGGCTGGAGGATGCGAGCACCGGCGCGATTTCGGCGTCTGATCAGCAACTGACCAAATTCCACGGCACCTACATGCAGGATGACCGCGACGTCCGGGACGAACGGAAAGCGCAGGGGCTGGAGCCGGCCTACTCGTTCATGATTCGCTGCAGACTGCCCGGCGGTGTGGCGACTCCCAAGCAATGGGTGCAGATGGACGACATCAGCACCGTGTTGGGCAATGAGACGATGAAGCTCACGACGAGGCAAACCTTCCAGTTTCATGGTGTCGTCAAGGGCAAGCTCAGGCCTGCAATGCAAGCCATCAACCAGGCACTCATGACAACCATTGCCGCTTGTGGCGACGTGAACCGAAACGTCATGTGCAGCTCGCTGCCGACACAGTCCAGTTATCACAAACAAGTCCACGCCTGCTCACAGAAGATTAGCGATCACCTGCTGCCTTCGACAACAGCGTATCACGAAATATGGCTGACGGATGAAAACAACAAGAAGACACAGGTAGCTGGCGATGTCGTGCAGGATTTCGAGCCGCTGTATGGTCCCACCTACCTCCCTCGCAAGTTCAAGATCACGATTGCTATTCCTCCGCACAATGACACCGACGTCTTTGCTCACGACGTTGGCCTCATCGCGATCAAGGGCAGAGACGGAAACCTGGAAGGCTTCAACTTGCTGGCCGGTGGCGGCATGGGCGCCACACATAACAACAAGAAGACGTATCCGCAGACCGGACGGATGCTCGGATTTTGCACGGCAGAGGAGGTCCATGTGGCGTGCGAGAAGGTCATGCTCGTCCAACGAGACTATGGTGATCGGAAGAACCGCAAGCACGCTCGTCTCAAGTATACCATCGACGACATGGGACTTGACGTTTTCCGAGGAAAGGTCGAAGAGCTGTGGGGCAAGACTTTTGCCAAGGAGCGGCCGTTCGAGTTCAAAAGCAACATTGACACTTTTGGCTGGCAGAAGGACGAGACGGGCTTGAATCACTTTGCCTTCTTCATTGAAAACGGACGGATCGAAGATACGCCCGAGTTCCAGATGAAGACTGGACTTCGCGAGATTGCAAAGGTGCACAGGGGCGAGTTTCGCCTCACGGGTAACCAGCACCTGATCTTGAGCAACGTCCAGGACGAGGATGTGCCGGCGATGAAGAAACTGATGCAGAAGTACAAGCTTGACAACATTCAGTTCTCGGGCCTTCGACTCAGCTCGTCTGCGTGCGTGGCCTTTCCTACCTGTGGGCTGGCAATGGCCGAGTCGGAGCGATACCTGCCGGTGCTCATATCCAAGTTGGAGTCTTGCTTGGAGGAGTACGGGCTCCGCCAAGACTCGATTGTGATGCGCATGACGGGATGTCCCAACGGGTGTGCTCGACCGTGGCTGGCAGAGGTGGCGTTTGTCGGAAAGGCCTACGGCGCGTACAACATGTACCTCGGCGGCGGATACCACGGCCAGAGGCTGAACAAGCTTTACCGGTCGAGCATCAAGGAGGAAGAGATCCTGTCCACCATGAAGTCACTTCTGAAGAGGTATGCGCTGGAAAGAGACGAGGGTGAGAGGTTTGGCGACTTTTGCATCCGTGCTGGTATCATCCAGGCTACCAGGGACGGAAAAGACTTTCACGACAACGTAAGTGTCCCAGTTTGAGAGGCTCGAGAGAACCGAGCAAGAAGCGCAAAATGGTCCAAGAGAAGCTAACATGGGAGCACAGGTCGCCGAAGAAGAATCCGAGGAGGAGTGAAGCACGACGGGCTCTCGAGTGCGGAGACTTTGCAGTGCTTGAACAATGGAATACGAGGTCGGTGGAAGCCAGGGTGGTATAGAGAGAGCGCCTTGTTTGGAAAATAATGCATCAACGCCTCAGTTCTGGCTCTGTTTGAACCAGCACGACTGGAAAGGGGAATGTCTCACCGGTTCATTGTCTGTACGCATGTGGGGAGAAGGCAAATCTAGACCCTATTTGGTGGGAGACAAAACAACAAAGCAGGTGTCTGATACACCACTTGCAAAAACCACGTCCGTCGAGACGTTCCATCATTTACATATTAGCACATTGAGGTGCTGGGACGACGCTGGCCCAAACACGTTTGAACCTCCCAAGACGAGGATATATCCACCTCTCTCAAATGGACACACAATAGCAAGTGCAAACTGCAAAGCGTATGCGCCAATCCCATCCCCATGCTCTCTCTCTCTCTCTCTCTCTCTCTCTCACACACACACACACACACTTAGCTCTTAATCTTGCTGCCGACGCTGCTGACCGTCTCGCTGAGCTTGCTGCCGACACCGCCCATCCACTGGGGCATCTTGACGCTCATGCGGATCCTCCCCTCGACGACAACGTTGACGGCGTTGAGGACGGCAAAGGTGGTGGACCCGACGGCGCGGAAGATGGCCAGGGCGGCGACGCTCCAGAGGATGAAGCGCAGGTAAAAGTTGTCGCCGATGCCCTTGCTGCTGTAAATCTCGGACACGGCCATGGCGAGAATGCCGTTGGCAATCATCCACGTCACCACCATGTACGTCCTGACGCTTTTGTAATAGTCCTCCTGCATCTGCGCCTCGCTGACGGGGGCAGAGGGCACCGCGAGGCGATCCCGCAGGTTGCGCAGCGCCTCGTCGTAGCCGCTATCAATGTCGAGCTGCTCACTGGGCATCTCGAGCTCCACCGTCTGGCCCTTGCCGACGGCACCGCCGAGGTCCGTCTTGATGACGTTGTCGCCCTTGGTGCCCCAGGTGACGTCGTGCGTGTTGCAGAAGGCGTAGACCTGCAAGGTGCAGATGTAGCTCGGGAGGAGCAAGAAGTACTGCAGCGACGAGGTGATCATGTGCCAGGGCTCGAGGTAGAGGAAGGACATGAGGAAGTAGAGGCCAATGGTGGAGGCCATGGAGACGATGAGGTTGGTGAAGACATTGTTCCCAATGCGCAGCCCCTCGCTGTCCTTGCCCTTGGCGGAGAGCTGTCGCGCGACAATGTAGATGCAGGCAAAGGTGGTGTATGTCATGATGATTGCGTACAGGATCATGCTCGCGAGGTACAGCTTCCTCGCGCCCTGCGGCCGATTGCCAAGCGACAGGATGAACTGCGTGGCGATGAGAAGCACACAGATGTACCGCAGAATGGTGAAGATGACGTTTCCGATGTTGTGTCCGAAGGGGTCGACCTCGGGCTCGGTCAAGCCACCGGCCACGAAGTAGAAGGTCAGGTAAAAGTTGGCCAGAGAGAAATAGGTGAACAAGAGTTGCAGGAACTGGTATCCGAATTCAACAAAGAGCAGGATCTTGCGCGCGAGGGTATGGTCCGTGGCCAGGATCTGGCGGAACTGGACCAGGGAGTAGACGGCGGCAAAGAAGGCGCCGTTGAGCCATCGTCGACGTTGCGAGATGAACTCGGGCACGGAATCTATGTCGACCTCGCGTTAACAATCAACAAGCCCCAGGAGAAAGCGACAAAACTTACCTGGCACGTCGGTCTCACCGTGGCAGCCCTTGACGTACTTGAGCACCCATCTCTCGCCTCGCTTGGCCACCAGCTCCCAGCAGAGAATGCGATCTTCGGCGAGGTACATGTTGGCCGTGAAGACGTCGGCGCGCTGGCCATGGAGCGTCTCGCCCTTGAAGTACTGGCTCAAGGGTCCGTGGCCCGTCTCATCATTTTGCAGGGCATGGTATCGATACGCACTGAGGGCGCCTGGCAGCACCGTGATGTACCCAAAGACGGATTCCAGAGGCTTATCCAGGATGTTGGACATTTTGTACTCGAAGTTCTGCGATGCCACGAGAGGGTTGAGAAGGTTGGATCCCAGCCTGCCCTTCATGGCCTTGATCTCTCCACAGGCACCGGCGACGTTGGAGTCTGTGTCGAACGCCTTCCACAGGTGGTAGAGCGAGTTGCCTCCCGGGCGCGTCCCGACGTCCAACAGGATGCAGACGTTGGGATTCAGGGCCTTGCCAAAAGCATTGAAGAACCAACGGTGCGAGTTCAACTTGCGCTGGTTCTTTTCCTTGAGGCAGAAGATCATCTGGCAGGGCACGATGCCCTTCTCGGCCCCCTTGAATTTGAGGTCCGAGTCGAGAGAGACCTGCGTCGTGTACTCGTAGACGTGCGCCTGGACAGCGCGGTTGTTGACATAGTTCTTGGCGATTCCATGCTGGTAGACACCCATGGCGGCCAGAGCATCCAGCGTTCGGTGGTTGATCTTTTCGCGACCATCCGAGATGATGCACACGACGATCTTCTGCCATCCCGACTCGCCCCAGGTGCGGGAGCGAGAGCGCGAGCAGAAGTGGGAAATGTTCTTCATGACGGCGTGCATGGTCCGCGTGAAGCCGAACTCGTCTTCGTTGTACATGGTGATGCAGATGAAGAGCTCCGTCTCCCTCGTCGTCCGCCCAATGGACTGGCGTAGCTTGTATCCTCTGTCGACGAAGTCGTCGGGGTCGCAAGTGACGGCAGTGTACCTCATGTGCGTGAACTCGACCTCGTTGCGCCGCGGCAAGAAGCTGTATAGAATAGTCGGGATCTTGCACTCGAGGACCAATTCGCCGTTGATGAGCTGCACCTCCTTCCTGGACATTTGCGGCGCGCGAACACCACGTCGTTCCTGGGCGCCGTTTGGTGCGGGGCCATAGAGATGGTGTTTTTCCTCCGCTGTTGGCTCTTCACTCAGAGTATCCTGAGAAGTTGACGCGTAGGATCCACGATGAACTGGAGCGGGCCGAGATTCACCCAAGTCAGACCCGGACCCAAACACGTCGTCGCCACCGTCGAGCGGAATGGCCACCGTGGCGTCGTCGGCAAAGGCTTGCGAGCTCCGGGCCGATTGTGAGAATAGGGGGGCCGGAGGTAAAGGGCGTCGAGGGCTCCCGCCGTATCTAGAGGACGGCGTGCCCGGCCTCGGACTGCCATTGAGGTCTGACGGTTCGAAGGAGACGCTGGGAGGCGGTGGCCGCGTGTGGCTGTGGTCGGACGCGCTCGACACAGGGGTCCAAGGCCTGCGAGGCGAGGCATTCTCCCTGTTGGCAAAGGGGACGTAGGTAGAATCTGGGGGCGGCATGCTCGGAGGCTCATCGAGCACGGATGCAGACTGCGAGTGAGACGAGACGACGCTGGGCTGGTAGGCCCGTCTGCTTGTTCTGGCACTGTCGGTTGGACGACGTAAGTGTGAATTCTTGCCCATGGCGTGGACGGGCCGAGCGGTCGCTGGACCCGTCGAGGGCAGAGTCTTGTGAATAAGGAAACAGGAAAAGACTGGAACCGCTGCTGCAGCTTTGCAGACTGGGGGTCGGTGGATGAAGGAAAGCGAGAAAAAGGAGTGTGGTGGGGAGAGAAAAACGCGTTGCCCTTCCGGCTGCCCGAGGCTGTCAACGCGATGCCCGATGGAGGCAGCAGCCGTAGGCGCCGCACTCTTGTTGGCGGCCAAAGACGGCTAGGAGAGGGCAAGCGGACGAGAAGGAAAGCGAAGGGTGACGATGCGAGGTGAGCAGCATGCGGAGCGGAAGAGACAGGGAGAGGCCGCCGAGACGGCATCAATGGAGCGTGTACATACGTGGGTGAAGGGCCCTCGGCTGGCTCGTCGACCGATGTCAACAGCCTAACGGCAGCGGCGGCATGACCGGTAGGGGTGTCGATATGGGCGATATGGGCGTCGTCGCCATCGTCGTCGTCGTCGTCGTCATAGGCGGGCAGGCAATAGTCGGGGGGTGGTCGGGACGGCGGCGTGTTTGGACGATCCATGGTGAAGGTTGACGGGTCTGGAATGTCAAGTCAGGCACTGCAATCTACGGAGATGGAGTGCGCTAGAGGGGCGATGAATGCAAATGACGGACCTGCCAAGCTGCCAGAGCCAGTGGGAACCGGCTCAAGGAGGTGGTGTCTGGATCATGGACCGTTGTCGGGAAGAACAGGTGGAAGAGAGGATGATGGATGGAGCACGTCACGCGGATGGCTGGCCGTTTGCCTTAAAAACGGCAAGCGATGCACGAGCGAGGCTATGTTATCACGAGGGGAAAGCAGCGCGACGCGGTAACCGTCCTGAGACGCCTTTGGAACCAACCATTTACCTCAATGGCAGGTGGTTGTGTGGTGTGTACTGTATGCATCTACGCCAGCAGAGGCATCTGTGTATTGACATGTTTGACGACGACACAACAGGAGGCAGTGCGTGGAGCCTGGTTGGCCCGGCAACACGCCACAAGGGAACCACTCGCTTCCCCGAGGATCCACCAATGGGGCCACGCGTGACCGACCGACCCTTGCTGAGGGAGGCTTGCTATTTATTCTTTCGTCGTCCTCTTTGTTTTGCTTTGCTTAGATGATGATGATGATGATGCTTATTGCAATCGATCAACGGATACGGCGGCGAGGCGAATATCCTAGCATCTACGTCAACAACAACGAGCTGCTCTTTGCAATAAATACCTCTTTGCCGGCTCGGCGTGAACCAGGCCCTCCTCGTTTGAAGCCAGCAAGCAGCCAGCTGCCACTACTGTAGCGCCTCCACGAGGCCGTTCGGCCCAGACAACTACAATACAATCAAACGCTGCCTGGTGCGCTCAGGCGAGATACGTGGCATGTCTTGCTGTCGGACTATCTATCGCTGCGGACAGCCTGCTCCTCCACATCCGCCTCGCGCTGCAGGGAGCTGAAGAGGGTGTGTGGCTGGACGCATCATCACCATTGGCGGCGACCAAAATGGACAAACGCGGTGGCATGGCGGCTAAAGTCTCGCGGAGCAAAAAAGATGACGCAGATCGCTGCAGGTGACCGATCCATATTGCCCACGCACTCCTTGTCTTGTGACGGGCCGTCCCCGTTGCCTGCGCGCCGCAGTCCAAGTGCCGCGCTCCAAGAGGCCTTGCGTCGAGAGATGGCTGTTCGAATCGCCAACATGGAAAACTCCTCGGCTGCGTCTGCGAGACGGGCGCATCCATGCTGCCTTGTCGTGGCCTGGCGCCTCTTTGGCCCCAAAATCTCACATGGCGTCCAACCGGTACTTGACCCTGCTTCCGCGTATTCGTGCCTGCGCGCCTGCAAGTCGGTGCTAACATCATAGGCAGCCCAGTGACTGGACAGCATAGGCTATGCGCCGCGCCATCAGCTGGCCCTCTTCATCTCAGTACATGGTGACCTCTGCGTCCCCCGCCGCGAGGTCATCGTCATGCAGTCACACCACACCGACAGCCACGGTCACGGGCTCTCCTTTCGACCCTGCAACCCATGAGGACCAACTGCCAGGCTGCGAGCTGCACACAGCCTCTGCGCCTGCCGAAGGCTTGACAGGCAGCCAGCCACATGAGACTCGACCTCGCCCCCCCCCCCCCGGCTGCCACTTCTTTTCCGCCGTCGTGGTAGTCGCCGCAGGCACGAGCCCTCCCTGTCCTCGAGGTGAAAAGGACAGCCTTGAGTGGACATCTGACAGCCCTCTCCTTGCCATCCAAAGCCGTATAGAGAGGAGAGCGCCGACCCAGCTGTTCACGCCGTCGGCTCGTCTCTCAACATGGACAACAGCGCCTTCAGTCCTTCATCCCAAGCCGGCACGATGCAGCGGCGCACCCGGAGAGAGAAGCATTTCCACGAGATCGAGTCCACCCTGCCGAGCCCCAGAGAGTCCCCCGAGCCCCAAGCACGCCGCTGCTGGAGCGTGAGCGGTCTCTGGAGCTGGCTAGGCAAGCTCAACCCCTTTAGCAGGCCTGCCACCAAGGACGACATTGTGTGGCTCCTGGACAACACGGCATTCCAGTCCGCCCCCGGCGCCCCTTGGCGTGCCGAGTTCGTCGCCGCTGTCTTCGAGCGCGATGACAAGGGCAGGCTCGTCGACGTGGTCACCGGCGTTGCCAGAGTCACGGGCCTGACCGACGACGCAGAGGAACGCAGGACTGTCGAGGAGAGGGTCCTGCCGTTTCTCTGGGATCTTTGTCCAGCCAGGACGATACCAGCCCTCCACCAGGGGCAGCTTCTCAAGCTCGGCCCGACAGACGCCAACGGCTTGTCCTCAAATCTGCTGAGAGTTCCGAGTAGCGTCAACGGCTCTCTCGTCAGGACCGAGGCCAAGGTGGGCGGCGGCGACGGCGCCATACCACACATGCAGACGTATTACGCGGGACCAGACGGCTGGGGCGTCATATCCGGTGCGTCTTTTCCTTGTTCGCCAAGCCAATGGTGTAGGGGCATCAACTGACCCGAAGCCAGATGTCGACGACACCATCAAAGTAACCCTGACGAGTGACCCGGTGGGCATCCTTCGCGAATCGTTTGTCAACCCTCCCAGCCCGATCCCCGGCATGCCCGAGCTCTACGCCGAGATGCGATCCTTCCTGCCCGAGGACACGGCCTGGTTCTACCTGTCTGCGTCTCCGTACAACCTCTACCCGTTCCTCAAACAGTTTCGCAGGCAATTCTACCCTCCGGGCACGCTGATACTGAGGGACTCGAGTTGGAAAACCGTGGCCGGCCTGCTCTCGGCCCTGACCCTGGACACGGAGGAGTACAAGGTGGATCGGATGACGAAAATCAACTCGTGGCTGCCGAGAAGGAGAATGATTGTCATTGGTGACTCCACGCAGTCGGATCCCGAAGCGTACGGCGAGATGTAAGCAGTCGCCTCATTTTGTGTCTCCAGCTCGGAGCCAAGCATTCCCCCTCCCCTTTGTCCATGGAGAGAAACATGATTCTGACTCGCAAGTATAGCTATCGAACAGTACCTGGCTGGATCAAGCTGATACTCATCCGCAAAGCCACCGACGTCGCAGCCGTTGGCATCGAGGAGAAGAACGACCCGGAGCGGTTTGAGCGGGCCTTTGAAGATGTGCCCAGGGAGGCCTGGCATGTCTTCGAGGATCCGCGCGAGTGTAGCGAGATTATCAAGGCCGCCATAGACAGATGGTGAGGGAAAGCGTCGTCCGAGACAAGTCAAGGCGAAAGTCTCGGCCCCTTTTCTCTGTCCTCGCATCGGATTCGAATCACGATCGAAACAGCTCTTTTTAGTCGCGCAAAAGGCACTTGCAGTAACAGGCTCTCGTTCTTGTCCTTTACTTTTAGAGTCGAGTGTTGTCGCGTCACGGACCGCATTGGGGTTGTTAGCGGATCTGCTGTTGGTCCTGGTTGCGGGGGAATGTCAAGATCAGGCTTCCCCATGATTTGTGCGACGCCCGTACTTGGGCAATTGCCACGAGGCCATCCATTTCTCCCTCCGCTTTTCTCTGGATACCCCAGCCGGGCCAGACGCAAGTGCCTGCCGTGCAATGTGACGACGGCAGCGGTCCGAGGGTGCAGAGGATTTCGGCTGAAGAAACGCGACCCATTTTACGGGACTGAGAAGAATTAGCAGCCGAGGTGCTAAGAATTGATTGAGAAAGGCGCCGAGGAGCCAATGTTTAATTATTGAGACGCTGCACAACTCATTTTCCACAGAGCCTCTGTAAGTAGCGACCGTGAACCTCCCCGAAGAGGACTAGAAGCCACCGGCTTTGTTTGCTTACCTCTAGCGCCTTGCTTCTGCGTGGTTGTGCCGAAAGGTGGGGGTAATATTAGCAGTCATGAATCTCGTCCAAGGGGGCAGGGGTCCAGTCCGTGCCGTGGGATAACTTCTTAACGGTGAAAGGAGGGGGATGCCAACGGGCCGCGCGAGGAATGCTATTCGCTGATGGCTGGCATGATGATCCAAACACGCTTGCTGGAGACAGGGCCGCTCTGTCGGTCCGGCAGCGGACGAATGACGAGGTCATCGTGGGGCGCAACGAGTCCCTCTCGGAAGGAGAGAGGCGGGAGGCGCGCGAGGATATAGGCGACTGCGCGCCGCCCTTGTCTTGTTCCTTGCGTCGGCTTCACAGCACGAATGAAGCGTAAAGCACCGGGAGGGAACAGCGCATTTTCGACTCTGGACCCGCTTTCGAGGCAAATCACTCACAATGGCACGCTCGGCGCTGGCTGTGGCCGTCGCCTTCGGTCTCGCGGCGCACCTCTGCCTCGCGGTGGACGTGCACCTCCCACTCGGCGACGACTACGGCGGGCAGTATCGGCCCCAGGTTCACTTCTCGGCGCCGCAGAACTTCCTCAACGACCCCAACGGCCTGTTCCGCGACGGCCGCGGCACATGGCACCTCTACTACCAGTACAACCCGACCGAGCTCGTTGCCGGGAACCAGCACTGGGGCCATGCAACCTCGCGCGATCTGTACCACTGGGTCAACCAGCCCATCGCCTTGTTCCCCCCGCGCCAAGACGTCTTTGTCTTCTCGGGAAGCTCGGTCGTGGATTGCAACAACACCTCGGGCTTCTTTCCGGACCAGGACAATGGCGTCGTGGCGATATACGTGAGTGGCGGACGAGCCCCCGACAGGAACCGCCGAGGTTGCTGACCACTGCCTGCTAGACACTGGCCGCTCCCGACAGCCAGTCTCAGGCCATTGCGTACTCTCGCGATGGCGGATACACCTTCACTCCCTATGAGGGCAACCCTGTCATCCCGGGCAACTCGTCCCAGTTCCGTGACCCCAAGGTCATATCGTACCAAGGACACTGGGTCATGGCCCTCGCCTATCCCGTCGAATTTGCTGTCGGCATCTTCATCTCTTCAAACCTCATTGACTGGACGCCCGTCAGCAACTTCTCCCACCGCGGGCTCCTCGGCCTGCAGTGGGAGTGCCCCAACCTGGTCCAGGTGCCGTATGTGGATGAAGACGGCGCCAGGCAAGACGACATGTGGCTCCTGGTCGTCTCCGTCAACCCCGGGGCCCCGTTGGGCGGATCTGTGACCCAGTACTACCCGGGCACTTTTGACGGAACCCATTTCCGAGCCGTCGATTCGGCCACGAGATTCATCGACTTTGGCAAGGACAACTATGCGGGCCAGTTCTTCTACGATGTCGCCGACGAGGACCCCGTCTTCATCGCCTGGGCGTCCAACTGGCAGTATGCCCAGGACGTCCCCACCGACCGAGAAGGCTGGAGAAGCGTAATGGGCCTCCCCCGTCGTACATATCTGACCAAAACTGCGCGTGTGGGGTGGAAGCTCGTCTTTGAGCCCTACGACCTGAGACCTGTCATGGGAGACGAGCTCGCATCCAGCGAAGACCTCGCGAACGACGCTCTCACCGTTGACTTTGCCCACGTACCATCCAACGCCCTGTACTGGGAGGCACACGTCACTGGCTTGCCTGAAGGCGCGCTGCCGGCCAGGGCGTCCATAAACTTCACCTTTGTGAGCCCCCGGACGCGAGAGAGCTTCAGCGGGGGGTTCCTTCTCGGCGCCGAGTCCTTCTTCCTTGACCGAAGTCGCACTCGTGGCTTTGACAATGTCTTCTTCACGGACAGGTTCTCGGTCGACAGCCCGCGGTCGGGGGATTCGTGGAGCTTGAGCGGCGTCTTTGACCGTTCCATCATCGAGGTTTTCCTGGACCGAGGAATCGATAGCGCCACGACCATCTTCTTTTCGAAGCAGCCTTTGACAGAACTGGTGCTTGCCACGTCGGACCTGCCCGAGGGAGCGCGCGTCAGTGTCCGCGTCAACGCTCTTCGAAGCGGATGGGTCGAGGAGGAGAGCATCAATGATGCCCTGGTCGATGGTTATCGGTCCCCGAAAGATGCGGGAGCGCACGAGGTGCAGCAGATGATAGGCATTCAATGAAAAGACAGACGCTCCTCTCCATGGTTCCTTGTGCATCTCGTAAAGTCATGAGTCTGCCTTTTCAGTAACATGCAGGTTTTCAAGGCACCTGCCAGCTAGGAAGGTACCTACTTGGCCATGGGTTGAGGTAGGTGCGAGGAACGATCAACCAGAACGTGGAGGGACTGGGCGGTGCTTTGCTGCCCGTTGTTCCTACATTCAGACTGTGACGCAGCGTCTCCGAGGTGCCTCGATACGCGCATAAACCTGATGGTCAGGCGAGTGAGGCGGGTGATACAATCGATTTGTTCGTCGTTGTCGTGAGTCGCAATTCAAAGTGGACGCACGCTCCGGCATACTCCAGCCTCAACACCGGCCCGTCTTTTCAACCGCCAGCCATGGAGCACGCCCTGACCTGCAATAACCTCAAATGCAAAAAGGAACTCGGGGATCGGGCTCTCGTCACCACCTGCAGGTAGGTGTGTTGACTATCGGGGTTGGCTTGCCTGTCGACGCTAAAGTATTTCCCCAGTCACATCTTTTGCCTCGAATGCGTCCGCCGACTTGGCCTGTCCACGCAAGAGAACCCCAGGGGTGCCGCATGCCCGGCGTGCAACTCGCAGCTCGCAAAGCCCGACGATGCTGTCTTTGCCAACCTCAACCCAAGCGAGGACTACAAGACGAGTATTCTCAGCGGCCTCAGCCCCAACGTCATCATGGAGTGCGCCGGCCGCGCTCTCAGCTTCTGGGCCTACCAGACGACACAACAAATCTCCTACCAACAATATCTCTGCAAGACTTTGGCGGAGAAATACTCAAATCTGAAACTCCGACTCGACCAGACAGCCAAGGACGCCAATATCGAGTTGGAGCGTCTGCGGCAGAAGCTCGATTGTTTGTTTCCGCTGGCAGCGCCCTGCTCCGTCCTTTGCTGACTTGACGCAGCCTCGGCGGCTGAGCACGACGGCATGCGACGCAAGAACGAAGAGTTGGCGCAGGCGTACAGGGATAAGAGTCGCAAGCTCCTGCAGACACAGGAGCTCTACGACAAGGCCAAGAGGAAGGCCGAGATGGGTCAGATCCAACGAGCCGCATCCGACGCCGTCGACTCGACTCTCCTTGCCGAGCCGCAGTCGCAGCGCACGGCCGGCGCTTTCGATGGTTATCATCCACAGCAAGAGCCGAGCTACCGACATGCCTTTGTTCCATACGGCAACGGCAACAGGCTCGATGCTTCTGGTGTTCACTCTGGATTCTTCAAGTCGAATCTCCGCCATGTGCCTTCCGAGGAACGGTGGCCTGGACAAGGTAGGGCGACTGAATGTGCGTCAGACCGGATGCGCCGCCTGATCCCGAGCACTTGTAGACTAAATGTGGATTCAGCGACCGGCTGCTTCGTTTCCGTCGAGCCTGAAGAGCGCAATGTGCCACGAACCCAGCCATACCTTGGCCTGGGAGGTCATCCAAGATACTCGGGTACACCTGTGCCACTTGGCACCGGCCACAGGAGACCAGCCGATGCTCCGACTCCTGGCTTCGCCCAGAGCCGCAGCGGCTTATCCGGGCTCGGCCTCAGCTCGGGATTGAAGGTTAGCCAGCCAGCAGCCCCTGATGGGATGCTGGGCGGTTCGGGGCGTAGTCATTGCTGGTAGTGCACAGTCGAGCGACAGTCGTCTCCAGCAGGCCATGTAATCGACGGCATGAAATTCACGACACGTTTACTGGGAGTATTCACTTCGTTCAATGTCAAAGACGAAGGGCGGAAACAGGTAGTGCTCATGTTGTTGCGTACAAGCTAGCGGGAGAAGAGAGCATCGGAATTTGTCACCGAGTTGGTAGGTGGTCACGCAAGTCCAGTTTGCTCGAACGGGTTTTTCTTAGCCATATCAAGTAACCATTTGGTACGCAAGAATGGCTTTCTTTGTTGAAGTCGATTTTCCTTGTTTCCTGCCGGCTTTGTGCGGTGGACAAGAGGCGACTTCCGTCCTTTGAGCACGAGCGGTTGGTTGTTCAGCTCGTCCTTGGAGGCGGACGCTTTTAAATACCGACGCTGCTGCCCTCGATTGATGGGAGTTTCGTCGTCGTCCGAGAGACAGAAATACCGCCGACCATGGGTTCAGTCGCAACCCGGGGCGGAGCAAGTGGCCAATTCATGCCCAAGATGACGTCAGGGCAAATCGAAGCCGTCTCCGGGCGACTGGTGACGGCAAACACCGCAAGGTTGTGCATGGACAAGGCATCTCAACTGCTGGACCAGATCAAGCGAACGACATACTGGAGCAGCATTTCCAGCGGGAAACGGGCAGCCAAGAAGCTGAGAAGAAGGTCAAAGACGACCAGGCAGCAGCCGCAGCCGGAGCCGCGCAGGTGGTGCGATTTGCAGAGTATCCATCAGGGATTCCAGGCCAAAGTCGTGGGCAGCAACCGTCATGCTGTTGAACGCGTGCCAGCGGAAGCGACCCGGCCACTGCACCCGGCTCCCCACACGGCGGCAAAGACACCTGGCCAAGGATATCGGCGACAGGGGCGGGTGACGGGCAAGCACGGGCAAGCATGGGAGGCCCTCGGATCCAATCCGCCGTTTAGCCACCCGACGCAATACGAGGTGCGATGCAGACGAACAGCCCTCCCAGAAGCGAGGGGCCAATTCAACAGGGCCGGTTATCATTTGGTATCGGACCTGGCGAGTCCATTCTCGGCCACGACCAAGGGAGGTCGAGTCGACTAGATTGTTCTGCTATAAGATAAGATGCAATGAAGAGAAACCTCGGCCATGCTTTTTCTGAGACCCAGATTGTTGATACGGGCCACGCTCGCCAATGATCCTCGGGGGCCCATACGTATCTATGCTGATCTTCAAGCAAGCTTGATCAGCCCCCGGACTTCCCGTTAGCGTTAGTGCGGGTGTGCGGGTGACGGCCTCCTAGGTTCTTCGTGGCCCGCAGGCCGTCGCCGCTCTTGTCACAAACATACGCGTCTCTTTTCGCTGGGCTAGAGAACGAACCTCGCGCTGCAAAATGCATCGGCATTGCTCAAGTCGCCAATAGCACTCGTCGCCCTCTTGACTCAATCGAGCTCGCGCTCTTCTTCCTGTCCCTTCCCGCCGCCTTGCGACCGCCCGCGGCCCACGTGGCCCCTGTCGACGCCCTTCGTTTTACCAACACATTGCGAGCGAAGCCATCCACAAGGGCCGTGGCAGGCAACGACGGGAACACAAACCTCTCTAAACCCCTTCACGCGCATCGGACCACAGCAGATTGCTAGCCGAAAGAACGACAAGGCGGCGACGATACCCACGACCTGCTCCACCCCCGCAGTGCTGAACGAAATCTTCCCAACGTCGCCCCAACGTCGCTACCGAGCGCCGCGGTTGGAATCGTCGCTGCACCGCCGCATTTCATGGTGCGCATACGCCCTCATGGGGAAGAACTGTACGTCGCGGCCGCGTGATTCCATCATTGTGCCTCATGCTCCCGCCAGTTTCGCTTACAGGCCGTGGTTGGTGCAGCGCAATATGGTGTCATCCTCGACGCTGGTTCCTCGGGAACTCGCGTCTACGTTTACAAGTGGAAGCATCCAGCCCGGGCCATTAAGCATGCTTCCGTGGCAGAGGCGCACCGCCTGCCCAGGTTGAAGCTCAAGAAGAGCGAGAAGATTCATCCCGGTGTCTCCACGTTTGCCGAAGACGTCGCCTCCGTCGGTCCCGACCACCTCGAGTCCCTCATGAAGGTGGCCATCAGCGAGGTGCCTGCCGCGAAAATCCCCGAGACGCCAATCTTCCTCATGGCCACTGCGGGTGTCCGCTTCCTGCCAAGACTGCAGCAGACGGCGCTCCTACGAGGTATTTGCAGCTACTTGCGGGCCAGCACCGAGTTTCATCTCCCGGACTGCAAGTCGCACATCAAGGTCATATCGGGCGAAACGGAAGGCCTCTATGGCTGGATCGCAACCAACTACCTGCTTGGCGGATTCGACCATCCCGGCGAACACGCCCACGGCAAGAGTCACCACACCTACGGGTTCCTTGACATGGGCGGAGCTTCGGCGCAGATAGCCTTTGCGCCAAATACCACGGAGACCAGCAAGCACGCAAATGACTTGAAGCTGGTTCGGATGCGACACTTGGATGGATCACCGGAGGAGTACAAGGTGTTCACGGCTACCTGGCTCGGCTTCGGTGCCAACAAAGCCCGCACTCGATATATCGAAAGCCTTCAGGACAGTTACGACAACTCCGACAAGACGCAAGAACTTCCAGATCCATGCATGCCACGCGGGCTGCGTACAACGCTGAGCGGGGAGCCGGCGGTTGACAGCAAGACAGCCCATGGACAAGTCCTGGTTGGGACCGGGGCGTTTGACGAGTGCCTGCGCAAGACATTTCCGCTCCTCCGGAAAGACGCGCCCTGCGAAGATCATCCGTGTCTGCTCAACGGCCAGCATGTTCCAGTCATCGATTTCGACGTCAATCACTTTGTCGGCGTTTCCGAATACTGGCACGCCACCCATGGCGTGTTCGGCAAAGAGAACACTGTGTATGATATCGCCGTGTATCAGCGCGCAGTCCTGGACTTTTGCAATCGTGACTGGTCTGCCATCGAAGCGGATCTGAAGAAGAAAAATAAAAAGCTGGAGCGGAAAACGCAAACGGCACGCGAGGCGTGTTTCAAGGCCTCTTGGCTAATCAACGTGCTCCATGACGGCATAGGTATTCCCCGAGTCACCTTGGAAGGCACCCCCAGTACAGACATCAATGCGACCAAAGATGCAGTGGGAACGGCCAAGGGCAAAGGATTCCTCGACCCCTTTCAGCCAGTTGACAAGATTGAAGGTGTCGAGGTCAGCTGGACTCTCGGCAAAATGGTTCTCTATGCTGCCGGTCAGATTCCTCCCAACGAATCATCCTCTTTCCCAGTAGGATTTGGGAGTAACGTGGGATCGGGTACACCGTCCGACTTCGAGCACGCCGGTTCCATACCCCTGCTACCGCCCAGTCCCAACGACACGGACGACGATGGGCCTGTCATGGCGCCGAGCAAATCCACGTCGGGTCTCTTGGCGCTGATATTACTGCTGCTCCTGGCTGCCTTTTTGCTGAGGAGACCGGAGTGGCGAAGACGGCTGGCGGGCATGATCCGTCGGCAGCGGCGTTCCGGCGCCGGACGCAAACCTGCCCGAGGGGTCCCTTCCTTCGTGAACAAGCTCCTGGGGCGCAATTCAACGGCGTACGAACGCATCGTGGAAGAGGCAGACGTGGCTGACCTGGAACTGGGAGACGTAGACTCTGAGGATCACGACTATTCGGACGGCAGCGACAGCTCACGGGCTGGCTCCCGCCCCGTCGTGCAACCCCCCAGGCTGAACCTTGACCGATCGGAGGATCTTCAGCCGCCATCGGAGATGGATAGGAACGGACTTGTAATCCGCACCGAGAGCCGTGAGAGGCTCGCTCCAACGCTCCAAATGCTCAACGCGGGCCGGCGCAGTAGGGTTGGCAGCCCGACCCGGTTGAAGAGCCCTCTGATGACGCCGCGTGAAGACCTGTGATGGCCGCAGTCCGTCACGCGAGACATGATGCGGGGTAGTAGGCCGGACATGTCAGGACATGGCTGCCTTTATTCCTCGTGATTGAGTTGCTTCTCTCTTGATTGCACTATGCAGGGCGAGAGATCGGGTGAATTACAGTGTTGGGGCACGCGGCGTCTTTGGTTGGGAACGTATGAGTCGGAAGATGCTTCAAAGGCATGAGCGGGTGATATTTCGTCGAAGCTAGTAGTTGAATTGAAGATGTAATTGAGAGGCAGGAAAGAGCAAAAGAAACCTAGTCCCTGCAGCAACGCCGAGAGAAGTCAGGTCGATGGTCGGCAGGAAATGACTGGCAGGGGCTGCTTTTCAGTCCGACTGCTTCTCGAGGAAGCTCGGGTCGGACCGGACACGGGACTCGAACTTGCGCCACCAATCCTCAAAGGCCTTGAGAGGCACAACTTGGGCGCCGCCGGGGCCAGCAGAACCACTGAAGCTGGCGAGGAAATTGAAGGCGTTCTGGATGATGCGCTGGGCAAGCACAATGGTCGTGGGCTGAGTCGGCGAAGGCTGGCCGGCGAGAGCCTTATTACCGGCGAGCTCTTGCAGGCGCTTGCTGACGGCGTCGGCCGGCTCGACGGAAACTCCAATGACAAGCCCGCCTGCGCCGACGTCCACCCCGGCGCCGACTTTGAACACGGCGCTCTCCTTGCCCGGGCCGATGGCGCCGAGGAACCGAAACGGGGGATTTTCTCCGCGGCGAGCGGCGGTGTCGACGTCGTTGGCGGTGGCGAGGTAGATGGCGGCGGCGGTGTCGTCGGGCAGGGCGACGCCTGGGAGAAGAAAGACGACGACGTGGGAAAAGTGCCTGGCGGCAGGCAGGGCGTAGAGGAACGAGGCCTGGGCCGGCGTCGCGGTCGGCTCCGTGATGAGCGGCTGGCCGGCCGGGACGATGCCGAAGAGGGGGGACATCATTGGGTTGTTTGTGGTGGGTTCCCCTCTGCAGGCTTGCACCTCTTGTCTCCAACTAACTCACCGCTTCTGTCCTTGACGTGTATATCTGCTGGGCCGCGGGGTTACAGCCCGTGGAGGTGGGGAAACAATGCGAGTGCCCGAAGGGTGAGTTCACACCAAGCAACTGCGCAGCCGATTTTTTTATGGAGGGTAAATATGCATCCTCGAAAGTGTTCCCGTAGAATCCACGAGCAGCAAGTAGGTATCCGGTAGTAGCCTTCAAACCAGCCGTTCATGTTAAGATGAACATGCTTGGAAATGGTCGTTCCTACACTTTGAATATTGAAAGGCTTCACCACTGGCTGGAAATACCCAGATATACTACGGCTTTAACCTTTATTCTTATCTTTATTTCGACAACGACGGAAAAGCTGGGTTGCCCCCCGTCGTGGTCTGGAGAAGCTCCCGGGTAGGTGGGCACTGGCGCGTGTCGGGAGTGGGAGGGGGGAGAGGGGGAGGAGGCACCTGCACGCCCTGCAACCACCCGCCTTTCCTCACTGTTATCTGCCCTCCCAGCTCATCCAACCCTCCAAATAGCTGCCCCGGCCCTCACTGTCCGAGGCCTCAGCATAGGTACGGCTCCCCAGCAAAGGCGGAAACCAAGGGCTTCTACTCGCATCACCTGGCACCCGCCCGACCCACCACCCCTCCCACGCCCTCTGACGAGACCCGAAGAGCATGGCCGACGCCGTGGCCCAGACACCTCCCGCCCTCCACGCGCCGTCGGACAAGGAGAGGAAGTATGATCGTCAGTTGAGGCTCTGGGCAGCCTCGGGCCAGGCCGCCCTCGAGTCCGCCAACATCCTCCTCGTCAACTCTGGCTGCGGCACGGTTGGCGTCGAGACGCTCAAGAACCTCGTGCTCCCTGGTTTGTTTACCGCACCGTCGACGAGTCCCATCCTGGCTCGCCAACTAAGATGGGCGTGCAGGCATCGGCCGCTTCACCATCGCCGATGAGGCCGTAGTCGGTGATGGCGACCTCGGCGTCAACTTCTTCCTCGACGAATCTTGTCGGGGTAAGTCGCGTGCACGGTGCTGCACACGCCTTCTGCAGGAGCTCAACCCAGAAGTCAGCGGTGACTGGCATCCCAAGTCCGACGTGGGTTTTCCCAACTGCTACTCAGCGCCCCCAATGCCCGACCTGTGCGCACGTCGAAGCTGGTGGCTGGTACCTAACCGGGAACTGCCAGTCTCCTATGCACCTACGAGGCCTACTTGACTCGTCGGATGCATTCACAATCATCCTGTATACGCTGCCCCTGAAGATGGATCAAGTCGACATCCTCACGGCGTACGCTCGAGAACATCACATCCCGCTGATTGCCGTCCACTCCGTGGGCTTCTACTCATACTTCAGCACTCGCCTACCTGGCACATTCCCCGTCGTCGAAACACATCCCGAGGAGGCTGCCAACGCTGATCTGAGACTCCTCAACCCTTGGCCAGAGCTGGCCGAATTTGCGAGTGACATGACCAGGGACATGGACAGCCTCGACGACCATGACCACGGCCACTTACCGCTGGTTGTCATCCTGCTTCACTATTTGTCCGTATGGAGGAAGAGTCATGGCAATTTCAATCCCACATCGTACGAAGACAAGGTTGCATTTCGTGGCTTGATTGCAGAAGCCATGCGGAGAAACAACCCCGAGGGAGGCGAGGAGAACTTCGACGAGGCCGTCGCCGCTGTCATGAAGCTCGTCACCTCGCATCCTCTACCCGGCTCATTGCGGCAAGTATTCGACCACCGAGACCAGTCCGAGGTAAGCATGTGCGCAGTGATGGACATCTTTGCTGGACGAGGCTGATTCTCCTCGCCAGGACCAGTGCCAGTCCACTTTCTGGACCATTGCCCAAGCCGTCAAGCAATTCTACGAAAAATACCAAGAGCTACCCCTAGCAGGCGCTCTCCCCGACATGAAGGCCAAATCGGACGTCTATGTCAAGCTCCAGTGCCTTTACAAGGACAAGGCTCGTCGAGATGCTCTTCAAGTATTTGCCACAGTGCGTGCGATGACGGGCGGAGATCAAGTTGAACTTACCGAGGTGGAGCTCTTTTGCAAGAACGCGAGGTTCATCAAGCTTGTCAACGCGGTCGAGGGGCCCAGCATGGAGCAGGTGATTGGTAAGCGACGGATTCCAACAAAAGCAAGCTGCTTCCAGTCGAGGGCCGTGGCTGACTGCAGGACGTCCACAGAGAGCGAGCTTGCCAACGACGAAGCTGCGGCCATTCCTGGTGTCGAGATGCCAAGGTCCCTGATGCCCCTTTACATGGCCCTGACTGCCACATCAAACGTTGCGACTGCCACGGCGGAGGAGATTGTTGCTTCCATTGCCCAGCGAGCACCAGCCCTTGCTAAGAACGACAGGGTTGCGCAGGTGGCCGAGGAGGTGTCGAGAGCTGCCGGCGGGGAGTTGCACAATATCTCAGCGATGACGGGGGGCATGGTGGCACAGGAAGTGATCAAGGTCATCACTAGACAATACATCCCCATCGAAAATACGTGTGTATTGGATGGTATAGAAAGTCGATGCCAGGTTCTCCGTCTGTGAGAAGGCGACAAGGGAGGGCCAAGCGAGAAGAGGAGTTTCTGGCATGTGTGCTTGCAAAATGCGACGGAAACCCGGGACGTTTCTTCTCTTGCAAGAGGAGAAGCAGTCAACAAAAAGAGCCAATTTTGCTCCATTTCTGCGGCGCTGCCAGTATCCGTCCATGGCCTCGCACGCGGCTCGGCTAGCTGCTTGTTTGCTGTCGGTGTTCCTGGCAGCCAATGAGGCCCTGGTTGGCGAGCGAAATATGTGCAGGGAGTCCCACAGTCATTTGCCAAGGTGGTACGGATATCGGGGCCTCATGCGCTCAAGGGGGAGTCTGGAGTCTGTACTCTACAATGCAAGCAACCTAGATGGACACAAAACTCGGCTGGGTTGCAAGGGCCCGGAAGGTGAAGCCTCTGGGCGAGGCAGGCGGGTAAGCACAGTAAAAATATGTCATCACGCGCGGGCCAGCCTGGAGCTCGAGGGTGCTACACATGCCAATACATGACCCTTTTCTTCACTGGCCTCGACCTTGACGACGCTGAAGCTGCAAACCGGCTTGCCGGCACACGCATCTCCGTACTTGCCGGTGTGTGCATACATAACTTACATGCTCCTGACCTGCTCCAACTGACTTTTTGTACCCCAGCCTCGAGGTTGCATGGGGTTGGCTCTGGCCTGTTGTGCCATGCCGCTGCCCCCCGTTTCCATGCAGTGCCTCGCCTGGCTGCCGTGAGCTTGTTTGCAAACAGTCGCTGCCCTGGTCCTCGGCCAAGCGGCCAGGACTAGGACTGCTCGTCCGAGAGTCTTGGGGAGGAGAATGGAGAATGCACACGGGTGTGGGAGTCGTCTACCGCCGGGGCCGGCAAACAAAGGCGCCTTGAAGCTCGGGCGAGGGATTCCGGGATCTCGTCGTGCCTCTTACTCGGACGGATCCTCGTTTAGCCGGCTGACCCCCCTTGTGCGTCCGAGCCGGGCCACATGCCATACCCAGGCCACCAAGACTCGGCCGGCCACGACGATGGCGCTCTCTCCCCTTCCTCATCCGCTGCCCTGCATCCTCATCCGCCCGCCTGTCCACCAATTGAACGGCGCCTGTTCGAGTACTGTACAGCAGCGGCGGCGGCGGCGGCGGCGGCGGCATGTCATATAAGGTTGGGCGCAGGCAGAGGCAGCAGGACTAGGTACACACGTGCATGTGTCGACGCCAACCTCGGGGATGCCGACCTCTGGCGCTTCCACTTCTGCTTCATCATTGCCTCCCCAAGTCGTATCTACCTGCCTTGGGACCGCCAACGCACTGCAGGCTAGACAGGCTGACGGACGAGTGCTGCTGTGGTCCATGAGAGACGAAGGACATAAGCTCTCTCGAGGCAAAGCTTTCCGAGGTGAGGGGGCCCGACCCGTTGAATTTGCCGTCAGCCCGCTAAGCGACTGCTGCCTCTCCCAAGACAAGGTGACTGAAGCCTGGACTTACGCTTGCCTTGGTCAAGGTAGGTGCTAACTGCTAACTAGCTCGGGGCCAAGGTCAGGCAGGAGGGCGGCAGGAGGAGGAAGCCCAGGGAACTGGAGCAGGCGGCACCTCGACAGCGAGGCTGCCTGCCTCGAGACGTCTTGCTCGCCCGCGTCGGTACCTGGAAGACGCTGGTGTGGGTGGTGTGGAGGGAGGTACTCGGCCTCCTTGGCCTCTTGTCCATTCACCCGCTCCTCTGGGCCAGATGCAGCCCTGCTGCTGCTGTGAAAGACGACGAGACGAGACGACACCATCGGCCCTGAGCAGGCCCGCCTCCCCCCACCTACTCACCACGACGGTCCATCCGCGCTTCTCACAGACGCAGTCACTCGGCTCCGTCATTACCGCTGCCCGACCTCCGTTTGCCTGTCCCTTGCCCGCCTATCCAACCTTGCGCTGCGCTCTCGCCCCCGTCATATCCTGCTTCGCCTCGCCCCCTTGTCCCTCACCCTCACCTTCGCCGTCCTATATCCAACCCTCCTGTTCTTCTTGTCTTCCTCTCTCCGGGACTCCGGCCTTGCGTCCCCCCGTCTGCCACGACCGAGCACGACTGCAAGAGCCGCTCACACCTCGAGACGTGCGGCATCAACTGCCGCGGGATTTCTCGTCTGCCGCCGCCGCAACTGTCCTGGGCGGTTGTACATAAGACGCTCCCTCTCACGATCCGCAGCCCTGTGCGCAGTGAATGGCCCAGCATGGAAAAGCCCGAGGCCCAGAGCACTCGACCGGAAGACGACCAACCCCCTGGCTTTGAAAGCTCCACACGTCCAGCCATGAAAGGACCTGCGATGCCGCTCTGGCGCTTCTGGCTGCTCAGTCTTGGGTAAAGCTTCTTGCACTACCCCGTTTGCAAAAGACAGGCTGACCGTGCCTCTACCATGGCTTACACAGTGTTTGCCTCGGCCTGTTCCTGTCCATGATTGATTCCACCATTGTGGCGACCAGCCTCTACACAATCGGGGCCGAGTTCCGCACCGTGGATTCCGTCAACTGGGTTGCCTTGGCCTACACCCTGGCCTATCTCGGCTGCGCCGTTACCTTTGCCAGCTTCTCCGATGTCATCGGGAGGCGCAATGCCTTCGTTGTCGCCTACGTCATCTTCTTTTCCTTCTCTCTCGCATGCGGTTTCGCTCGAAACTTACCTCAGTTGATCGCTTTCCGGGCCTTTCAGGGCATCGGTGGTTCTGGTTTGCTCTCACCTCCCTTCCCCAACAGCCCAACAGGGTTGCCTTGACGTCGCAAGTTGCTAATGCCGCCGATGCAGGACTCTACTCGCTCACCATGATCATATTGCCCGAGGTCTGTCCCTATCAACTTCGACAGTACATCGGGAGCATCGTGGGCCTGGTCATTGCCGGCTCTGGGGCCCTGGGGCCCGTCTTGGGGGGGCTTCTGACGCACTACGGAAGCTGGCGATGGGTTTTCTGGATCAAGCATGTACCTCCACAAGACTACCATGGACGAGGCTAACCAATGCCAGTGGACCCATCGGATTCGTCTCCCTATCCATTTTCCTAGGCACGTGGCCCAAGGTAGACCAACTGCCCGCCATCCAACGGCGCGCCGGCAAGGACTTTGATTATGCCGGCTCATTCCTGGTCATTGCAGCCTCCGTCCTCGTGGTATACGCATTTCAGATTGCCGGAGAGGTAACAGAGAGCGTCTGGGGAAATGCCATATTCATTGCGCCTCTCGCGGCCGGTGTCGTGGGATGGATTGCGCTACTCACCTGGGAGCACGTGGTTGAGACTCGACTTGACCAGCGATTTGCGCCGGCATTTCCCATCAGTCTCTTCCGGAACAGAGCATATGCGGCTGGTGCTGCGTCGACGCTGTTTCTAGGCTACCCCTATCTGCTCCTCATATACTCGTTCCCTCTCAGGGCACAGGTAGTGAGTGGAAAGAGCGCCCTTGTAGCGGGAATCATGTTACTGCCTATGCTGGGTACATCGGCCTTGGGAAGCGCGATTAGCGGCAAGGTCAACAGTAAGAGAAACTTTCTCTGGGAGACTCTGCTTGTTGGAGCCACTCTCATGACTCTCGGCTCGGGGCTTTTGACGACCATTTCTGGAGCCAAGGACGACTCAAAGGCGCTGGGATTCCTGACCTTCTCTGGGCTCGGATTCGGGCTCTCGACTGCAGCGGCAACCATACTCGTCACCGTGGAGGCTCCTGCTCGCGAACAAGGTATGACTGCTTCACACCGGTGTGGTAGCCATGCGTGTTGACACCATCTACAGCAGCCGCACAGGGAATCTTGGCTCAGCTACGAGTTTTGGGGGGCAGCTTGGGAATATCTACCTCGACAATATTCGTACACGCCGAGGCCAGGAAATACTTGACTGGCATCCTGACCGAGCGCGAAAGAGTCATGCTGGGGCGAGATGGGTATCCCCTGTCAAACGAGCAATGGGAGGCAATTCATCTTGCTTACTCGGAAGCTTTTCGGAAAGGAATGGTTGCTGCGGCCGCGGTCTCTGGAGCTGCCGTCCTCTTGACGTTGGGTGGATATCGACGTAGCCGGCAAGGCTTCGAGGATCAACGACAAGCTCCAGTGCAGGCAGACGGGTCGAATGAAGCATATGAGACGGGCACGAGAGAGCGCGACGTTGCTCAGATCGCGTAATGTCGGCATAGGCAGGTGATTACCAGCACGGACGAGCAAGCCGGTCACGGTTGCTAGTTGATATTTCAGGCAGCGTCGAGGGACGATTGCCAAGTTCGGTGACGACGGAGGGGTGGCATCTTTTGCTTTCCAAAAGCTTGCTTGGGATGGTCATGGCCATGAAGAGTCTGGTTTCCATCTATTCATTTGTGCATCGTTTAGCGAGGCGAGGGGGAGCGGCGCAAGGCAAGGCAAGGGGAGGAGAGGGCCGGAGGGCAACCGCGAATACCACGGAGCAGGATACAGACATTGCCTTGAGTTAGAGGTTAGACAGCTCACAGTGACGCGACACGAGATTGAACCATAATAGTACGCCATGCTAGATTGGTAGTTATGAGTCGGTTAGTTATCCCAGTCGCCCAGCCCGGCCCGCGGATGTAAGCCTGTGTTTGAGACGCTGCGCCAGCAAACTCGATCAATTGACAACATAAAAGCAATTCAACTGCAGAGCTATGCCTCTTGTCCAACAAGGTCCCGTGTGAGTTGCATGATGGACGACGCCATCGAGCCCAGCCAGGGCTACACACTTTTGCGGCGTCGGACGAGGATCTGCGACGGATTGACAGGGGTCCATCGGTGTGCACGTCACGGAGTCCCTTCTTTCTTCTTATTCTTCAACATGTCCGTCTTGGGGTGCTTTTTGGGCCAACTGGGAAATCCTTGCCCGACTTGCTTGCTCATCTTCTCGGCGTTGTAATAGGCCCTGTTGCCGTCGACGGGCTGGACCATCTTCGGGTTCGGAAAGATAACACCCTTGCGCTCCGTCGCGAAGTAGGGGTCCCGGCGCTGTCCGGGGCAGTCGATGATGTACAGGTTGCGCTTGTACCGCTCCGAGGCGACGTCGGTCAGGTCCCGAATCCTCTTCATGACATTGTCGAAGGACAACTCCAAGTACTCGTTGAAGAAGAGGGTGGCGTCGCCCCAGTTGCCCTTGACGTAGTTGAAGCGCCACTCGGCCATGGGGATGCCCCAGAAGCGGGCCTCGAGGTCCTTGCCGTCGCGGCCGAACCAGGCGCCGCCCATGTCGAACCATTTGGTCCCCATGGACCGGCACCGGATCCACATGAAGTTGCGCGCGTAGTACTCCTCGCGCGTCAGCTGCCGCGTGAAGAGCTCGGCCGTCTTGTTGAGCGTCGCCCCGAGCTGGGCGCAGCGCCGCGCCCGGGTGCTCGAGTTGCCGTCCGCGCCCGGGGCGTCCAGGACCGTGTCGAGGCTCATGTTGAAGGCCATGTCGCGGCGGCGGCCACCGGTTCCAGCGACCGTCGCCAGCAGGGCCATGGTCGAAAGCACGTATATGGAGAGTATCTTGACCCAGCTAACCATCTTGGCCTTTCTCCTCTTCTCTCCTGCTTTCTTTTTGCGACAAAGTTTTTTTGGAAATAAATGAGACCGGGAGGAGGAGACGTCTTCAGGATGCCAGGCAGACACTTCGAGGCCTTAAATACCCGAATCAAGGCTTCGAGACGAGGGTGGCGAGGGTGGCTTGGGCTCAAGAGGCATCTCATTTTTTAACTTGTACTGCCACCCGATGCCACAAAGCTTATCCAGTCAGCCAAGGCAAATATACAAGTGTAGGCCGTGGCAGGTGCCGCAAGCCTTCTCAAAAGGCGAAAAAACACAGTCGCTGCATACTTTTGCCTCGCCGCCCAGGCTGTCCCCTCCTACTTGTGCCTCTTCCCACTCATAAACTTGGTCATTTAGCCCAACATCTCCCTGAGAACCTTGATTTGCTCGAGAACGCTTGACTTGCTGGTGCCGCCCTTTGCCGACCTCCGCTCGACGCTCGTGTCGTAGTTGAAGACGTCGCGGATGTCCTCTTCAAAGCGGCCATCGATGGCCTTGAGCTGCTCGTAGGACAGCTCGTTCATTGGGGTGCCCGTCTCTTCCGACTTTGCGACGCAGCGTCCTGAGATGTGATGGGTCTCGCGAAAGGGGACGCCCTTGCGGACGAGGTAGTCGGCGACGTCGGTGGCGAGCATGAATGGATCCAGGGCGGCGCGCATCCGGTCCGCGTTCGTGGTGAGGGTGGACAGAACGCCGTTGGCAATCTGGATGCTGTCCGAGACGGTCTTGACGTGATCGAGCATAGGCTCGACACTCTCCTGCAGGTCCTTGTTATAGGTGCTGGGAAGGCCCTTTTGGGTCATCATGAAGCCGGCCATGTGTCCAAAGGCGCGGCCGCTCTTGCCCCGCAGCAGCTCGAGGCTGTCGGGGTTCTTCTTCTGGGGCATGAGAGAGCTGCCGGTGGAGTAGGCGTCGGCGAGACGCACGAAGCCGAACTCGGCCGTCGAGTAGATGATGAGGTCCTCGGCCCAGCGAGAGATGTGCTGCATCACCATGGCGCCCCACTGCAGGGTCTCGGAGACGAAGTCGCGGTCGGCAACGCCGCCCATCGAGTTCCATAGTAGGCCGTCGAAGCCGAGCTCGCGCGTCATCATGTCGCGGTCGATGCCAAAGGGGTTGCCGGCGAGGGCGCCGCAGCCCAGGGGGTTCCTGTTGACGCGCCGGATGGTCTCGCGAAGGCGCTCGAGGTCGGCGGCAAAGGCCAGGCCGTAGGAAAGCAGCCAGTGGCTCCAGCGAATGGGCTGGGCACGCTGCAGGTGGGTGTAGCCGGGCATGACGAGGTCGATGTCGCGCTCGGCACGGGCTGCGACGACGCCGAGGAAGTCGACGAGGTGCTTCTCGATGGTGCGCAGCTCGTCGCGCAGCCACATGCGCATGTCACAGACGACCTGCTCGTTGCGGCTGCGACCGGTATGCAGCTTGCCGGCGACTTGCTTGCCGATGATTTCGCTGAGGCGGCGCTCGTTGGCGGTGTGGATATCTTCGTCGACACCAGGCACTATGGAAAAGACGCCTGTCTCCCATTCCTTCTCGACGTCACGCAGGCCCTTTTCGATCTGCTCGAACTCTTGGGAGGTGAGGATGCCGGCCTTGGCGTTGGCGCGGGCGAAGGCGATGCTGCCGAGGATGTCTTGCTTGTAGAGGGCACGATCAAAGTTGATGCTCTCGTTGTACTTGACCATGAGGGGATCGAGGCCGCCTGTGTGCGCAAGTCAGACACTGATTTCTAGCTTTGGTGGCCTGCCATTGAAGCTGGCCATTGGGTTCTACCGATGACAAAGACGGAGTCTGCCGAGCTGCGCGCGTGCCATACCTGTAAAGCGGCCGCCCCAGAGCATATTGCCCTCTGGCTTGGAGCTAGACGTCATGATGGATTGGTGGATGAGGTCGGGAGTCGGAGGCGGGGGAGGAGAGGAGAAGAGCCGAATTGACGAGGAGAGGGGGTTTTCTTTCTTCTTTTATCCGCCAAGACGAAGGCAACGCAAGGAAGCAGCAGCAGAGATTGGGTGCTGTCGAATGTCCGTAAGAGTCTGAAGAGTAGTTAACTAAAGGCAGGATTTGTTGAGTCAGGATGGTAAGCATGTAATTTGCCTCGGGCGGCTGTTGGGCCAAGAGCTGCGTCTCGATAGTTACTTGGTCATTGTCACTTATCGTATCACAATTTCGTTATCGCTACCACAAGAGCCTGGGCCAAGCCAATACGCGTGACCTTGGCGATGCCTCTCTAACTTACCTGCTTGGACACACGACCCCTGCGTCCCGTCTCAAGTCGCCCTCCCCTGCCAGCCAACAATCAGCCTTGCTTGGGAGCGGCGAACTCTCGGTCTCTAGAGTCCCTTGGCAGTCGTCGCTCCAGCCCCAAAGCAACCCCGAGAAACGAAACAAGGCTACCAGGTAACTAATGCGAGGCAAACATCGAATCGTCATGGACACCCGTTTACGAATCCCACAGTGACTCCTTTGGTCCAAAGTAATTACCACGTCTCGGAATCGGGACGACGACGTTTGATGACATTGCCTGGCTGCCCTCTGCAGGTCGGTCACACGAGGGCCGACAATTCTGTCTGTGCGCATGCGTTACAGAAGATATTTCCTGTGCCTCGAAATGACTTCTGAAGCTGGGGCTTGCTGCTACTGCTTCACTGAAAGCACTTCGCAGTGTAGGTCGCGGCACTTGGTCTGACTTTGGTTCAGCGGCCTGATGATGGCTTGAAGCCATCAAGATCCATGCAGGTCGATAGCTTGACGGCTACACGAGGTGGCGTCTTTTGCCTTTGACGGTGACGAGCTACACGGGCCGGCGCCACAAACCAACTCAAGCCCGCGAGCTGCATCTTGAGTGAGCCCATCGTTGGCCGGGCGCGGGGGAAGGGATTGTCGTCTTGCTGCGAGGCCATCGCCGCATCCCTTCCGGAGCGCATAAGATGGCACACGCCAAACATCGACATAATCACAACAGTTGGAACCTTTAACCCACGATACGTGTCGAGCCAGCCATCTGCAGGCCTGGAAACCTTCTCTCCAGCTTCTCCCCAGATTTAGACGAGACGCCCTCAAAGCTTCCGGCCCTCATGAGACGCGCCTCGGCGGTCTAACATGAAGCTTGCAGCCTGCCATGGGCGTGCGGATGTTGGCAGCTCCGCTGACCGTATGATCGGGATAGAGTTTGCCCAGCTACAGTGACTGATCTAGAAGATGATGATGGGGGGTTCTCAACGGCATAGATATAAATGCCCACGAGCCCCCCGCTCCAGCCTCGCAATGGCGACGGTACAGCCGCCAACCTTCCCACTTGGCCGTCAACGCATACCTCTTGTTCAGCTTGAGAAACACAAGCCTACGTGCCGGGAATCCAACGTACGCCATGCCTGGTGAAAGGGAAAAGCAGCCGTCCGCGGCCGCCGTCTCGCCATGTGGCGGCAGCGATCAGGAGCAGACGAGAACCAACTCCTCGTCGACCACCGCGATTCTCCAAAACCCTCTCGAGACCATGAGCAACGACGAGGTTGTCGCCGATGCCGATCGATTTGTCGAGGAAAATGGGCTCGTCGAGCACCGCCAACTTTTTCGCCGGGGCTGTCTTGCGGCCAAGACCCAGAACATACCAGACGGATTTGAAGGGCTCGTTGAACTCACCGAAGCGGACAAGGCTATTCTACGATTCGAGATCAAGCATCAATGGAAGTCGTCGCCTCGCAAGCTGTACCTCCTGTGCGCGCTCTGTGCCGGCTGCGCCATTGTTCAGGGAATGGACCAGACCGTCATCAACGGAGCCCAGGTAAGCGAGCATCCCGTCAAGCCGGTGTATACAAACTGACAGCGGCACAGTCCTTCTACTTTGAAGAGTTTGGCATCACAGACAAGCTGATGCAGGGCTTCGTCAACGGCTCACCGTACGCTGCCGCGGCCCTCCTCGGCTGCTGGCTCAATGCGCCGCTCAACGACCGATGGGGCCGCCGCGGAACGATTGCCGTCTCGTGCTTCCTCGCCTTTGTCACTGCCATTTGGCAGGCCGTGTCCAAACACTGGATCTCTTTTCTCGTGGCACGATTGATCCTCGGTCTCGCCGTCGGCGCCAAGTCCAGCACCACTCCCGTCTACGCCGCCGAGAGCTCCCCCAAGTCCATTCGCGGGGCTCTGACCATGATGTGGCAGATGTGGACGGCTTTCGGAATCATGCTGGGCTTCGTCGTCTCCCTTGTATTCCAAAAGGCTGACTTTCTAGGCCCCCACTCTCAGTGGCGATGGATGATCGGAATCACGGCCCTGCCGCCGATGATAGTCGGCTGCCTCGTCTTCTGTATGCCCGAGAGCCCTCGCTGGTACATGGACAAGGGCGACTTCAAGAGAGCCTTTGACTCGCTGAAATTGCTTCGAAAGCACGACATTCAAGCCGCCCGCGACATGTACCTTGCGTACAAGTTGCTTCGACCGAGCGAGGGACAGAAGGGCGGATGGCAGCTGTTCAAAGAGTTCTTTACAATCCGCCGTAACCGCCGCGCGGCCCAAAGCGCCTGGTTCTGCATGGTAGGCGGCCTGCTTCCCTTGTTCCCGGCACAAACGCTGACTTGCATTCCTCTAGTTCATGCAACAGTTTTGCGGAGGTCGGTTTGGCCCTTTCTCTTTATTCCTCGGCGTGAGCTTTGCTAAACAGCAAACAGTCAATGTTATCGCCTATTACAGCACCAAGATCTTCATCGACGCCGGATACTCTCACGAAAGCGCCCTCCTTGTCTCGTTTGGCAGCGGCGTCTGCAACTTCCTCGGGGCAATACCCGCAATTTTCACCATCGATCGTTGTGGACGTCGCCGGCTGCTCCTCGTCACGTTTCCCATCATGGCCCTTTTACTGTTCTGGACTGGTTCGAGCTTCTTGATTCCAGACAAGAACCAGCGTCTGGCGATGGTGGCGGCAAGCCTTTACCTCTTCATGATCCTGTACTCTCCTGGCCTCGGCCCTGTGCCCTTCACGTATAGCGCCGAAGCGTTTCCTCTACACATTCGCGCCGTCGGCATGTCCTCCGCCACGGCCATCACCTGGGCCTTCAACTTCCTCATCAGCTTTACTTGGCCCGAGATGATGGACAAGTTCACGGCGACAGGGGGCTTCTATTGGTATGCCACGTGGAACATCTTTGGGTTTGTCTTTGCCTACTTCCTCGTCCCCGAGACGAAGAACATGACGCTGGAGGAATTGGACGGCGTCTTCAGCGTCCGGAACCGCGACCACGCCCGTTACTATGCACAGAAGCTGCGGCGACTCTGGAAGAAGATGCGCGGCCAGGACACGGAGCCCATACGGCCTCTGTATGCGTTCCATGCGTCCTCGGCCCAGTCGGTGGTCAAGGACACTGGTTCGTCCCAGGCCAAGGATACTTAAGGGGAAAAGACATGAAAAGGGATATGGCCATATATAGAGTCTCTACTTCTATCCCGAATGACGTTTAGTAATATAGTTTTGTAAATTTTTTTTTTACTCAGGACCGGATAAATACGAAGTGCTCTTGTCCTCATCACTCACTCATGATGATGACCCAGGAGAGTTACAATGAGTTAAAAGCGGGTTTCGGCATTTCTAATTACTTTATAAGCAACTTGAAGACTGAGTCCCAAGTGACTAATTTACTTGGTACCGATTCTAGCTTGAGCTTTCTGGCGGAGCCTCGCCTCTCCCACTCGCCGCTTCAATTATCCCGTGGAAACTCGCATCGGGGTGCATCACACAATGAAATCGAACATTGAGCTGATCGACGTAGTAGACAAGTGTGTTTCCTCCATCGCGCATCATTTGCAAGCGGCCCCTCTCGTCGCAGAGAGAGAGGTGCTGCTGTTCCACCGCTAACGCGGCCCTCGCAGGTTTCCCTACAGCGAGGTCGCCGCTGGGAACGCCGCCGAGGCAGAGCTGGCGCAGCATGGTCTCTGGTCACTACTGTGGGAAGACGAGCAGGGGCGGTATCCCATTGGGTACATGCTAGACCGCGTCGTGCGAGAGCTTGAACAGGTCCCGGTCAGCGTGAGGGGCGACGTGGGCCTGAACCGCACCGACCGGACCGTGCTGCTGTTCCAGCTGCCGACGGAGCAGGAGCGGAGTCGCGTCGTGGCGGCCCTGGCAGATCACTGGCGCAACAAGGGCACGTTCAAGCTGCTCCGAGGCTGGCGCGACGAGGTGTGGCCTGTCTACAGTCGCACAGGTGAGCTGCTTTTCAGCATGGAGCGTGCTGCCATGGGGCTGCTGGGCACGATGCGCTACGGCGTGCACCTGACGGCCTACGTTGTCGACGCCGCTGCACCGCACGGCCTCAAGCTGTGGGTGCCCAAGCGCGCTACTGACAAGTCCACCTTTCCCGGCATGCTGGACAACACCGTCGCCGGTGGACTGATGACGGGCGAGGACCCCTTTGAGTGCGTCATTCGCGAGGCCGACGAGGAGGCGAGCCTGCCAGACCATCTGGTCCGCCGCCAGGCTCGCTGCGTCGGCACAGTCACGTACATGTACATCACCGACGAGAAGCAGGTCGGCGAGGGTGGTTTCGTTTACCCCGAGTGCCAATGGGTCTATGATCTCGAGCTGCCTGCCGATGTGACTCCTCAACCCAAGGACGGGGAAGTCGAAGAGTTTTATCTCTGCGACATAGACGAGGTCAAGGAGGCCCTTGCCCAAGGCAAATTCAAACACAACTGCGCCCTCGTCGTCCTCGACTTCTTCATTCGCCACGGCATCTTGACCGAGGACAACGAGGCAGAATTTGCCGCCATTAGACGCAGGATGCATCGCGAGCTGCCCTTTCCAGGGCCGCACCAGACCAACTGGCATCCGGCCTAGAAGGCGTGGACGATTATGGCCGGCACGGACGCAAGGGTCGGCGAGGCTGGCTCGGGCCATGGGTAGAAGATGTCTCTTTTCGCGGCAATCCTCTATTTCTTGATCAGAAGATAGATGCTATCAACTCGCAGAGGTGTGAGCTTCTTGACGGGGCCTTGAAGCGACATGAGAAGGCCGCCAAAGGAGATGTATGCATTGCTAGATTTTCGGGCAAGCCTGGTCAGCATGGCACTGATTTTGGAGTGGGGGGATGGCGCACATTGTATTGCCATCGTAAGTTTCCTCAAACTTGTAAATCTTGCCGTGACACACGTAGTCGTATAAGTCGGCAATGGTGGCGGGCGCATCGCCTCCCTTGCCCACATCGCGCCAGCCCTTGTCGTCTTCTTTGCTCCCGTCGGGCGAGAGCGTCGTGGTGAGCACGACGTGCAGAGAGTCGGATACGGCGCAAGGGAAGAGCTCGGTGTTGATGTCGAGAATCATGACGGTTTGGGAGTCGCCCGACGTGCAGGAAATGCGAGCGACTCGATCGTACTTGGACTGGTCATGGTCGGTGATGGTGAAGCGCTCTTCAAAGAGAGTCGCATCGCCGCTGCTGCCCCCAGACATGGCGCGGTTGTCGAAGGAGGTAGGAGACGTGACGAGGGCGAGGCCGAACGCGCAAAAGCTTGCTGCTTTGGACTCGATTTTGCCGTTCTACTATGGTGGGGGAGGGGAGGGTGCTCAAGAAGTCTTGCAAGCAAGTGAGGGTCGCTGAGTCAGCAGCAGAGACCCTGTTTTAAGGTCTTCTTCGTGGTATTCGTAGTTAAGGATTGTCTTAACTAAAAGAGCCCGGCGCATGGGTCTGCAGTCTGCACCCGCCCGTGGACCTGTTCATGGAGCTCGCCATCGATGAGACCGAGTAACATGCTGGACAATGTCTTTCCGAAAAAAAAACGCCGTCATTCGGGCTCCAGGCGCGTTGCCTGCTGTGCAGAAGCAAGGCAAGGCAGTGAGCCTCGGCACCCGGCCCTCGCCCTTGGACGGCAGGCCCACGACTTCGACGGGGACTGCTTCGCTGGATCAACTCCTGGCAGGCCACTGCGGCATACCGCTGGGAACCGCGTTGCTGATTGAGGAGACCGGCACAACCGACTTTGGGGGAACCTTGCTACGATACTTTGCTGCGGAAGGCTTGGTCCAGGGCCATCATGTCCACTTCCTTGGGCCTGGCGATATGTGTCGGCGCGAGTTGCCAGGGCTCGCCGACAGGGTGAGCAGGGGCTCTTCAAAGGCAGACGGCAAAAGTGACGCTGCCTCGTCCGACAAGATGAGGATTGCTTGGCGGTATGAGGCGCTCAGCAACGTGTCCGCTCCTGCCACGGGTATGCCGTCTCTGCCGACAATGCGGGAATCAACACGCGGCTCACAGACGTCCTCTCTAGATGCTCAGGCCGGGCCAGCTTCACCCGACGATGCCGAACCATTCTGCCACTCGTTCGACCTCACCAAGCGCCTGGAGTCGAGCGCCATTCGAGGCCAGCTTCACAGCCTCCACGGTAGGGACTTCCAAGGCCATCTAGCGGCACCGCCGTTCAAACCCTTCCTCGATGATGTGGCCGCCAAGCTTGCGAGCTCGCCGCCACTGTCCGTCCACAGGATACTGGTTCCAAATCTCCTGTCGCCCACGGTGTATGGCTCAGCAGCTTGCCAGCCGCACGAGGTGCTTCAATTCCTGCATGGCCTCCGAAGTATACTGCGCCAGTTCCCCGCCAAAGCCACGGCCTTGGCAACGCTGCCCGTGTCGCTTTACCCTCGCACGACTGGCCTCACGAGATGGATGGAGCTGTTGTCCGACGGCGTCATCGAGCTTGTCTCTCTCCCGCGCCATGCAACAACAAACCACGGGTCCGACCGTGATGGCAACTTTCAGGGCTTGCTGCGGGTCCACAGCTTGCCGGTATTTCACGAGAGGGGCGGCGGGCTGGCAAACAGCTGCCTCAGAGAAGACAGGTCTTTCAAACTAAGCGCGTCAAACGGCATGGTCATCATGCCCTTTAGCCTGCCTCCTGTAGGAGATCAAGACTCACAACCCTCTGAAGCACCAGAGTCCAAAGTCCCGAAGCAGTCGCTCGATTTTTAGGCCGTGCTATATCGCCAATGGTGTCTATATTGCTTAGATCTTCTTTTTTAAAACAAGGAAATAATCTTGGAAAGTCCGAGTTTTTACCTACGTGCTCTCTTGATACCACAACAGCTTCGTTGGACATTAAATTGTTATATTCTCAGCTACTTATCCTTATATCCAGTACTGCTTTTCGTTTTATTGCAAGCGGATCGCAGGCGGTGAATTTAGTAGCCCTCTTGCAGTATAAAAACACAAGCCACCCTTTCTTTCCCCTGCTGCTCAGTCAAAATTCCCAAGCCCGTTCGTCCCTTTCCGGGAGACGTCCCGTCTCGGTGGTGAGGACGATGGCATTGCACACATCAATGGTAAGCCTTTGCATTTCCTGCCCGCATCCTTTCAGACGCCTCGCCCCTCCCATGCCGCAGGGCGCCTGCGTGATTACACATCCTTGAATCTGTCAATCCACTGAAAACTCTGATGAACTTTTCAATTACATACGAAGACGACTTATGACTGCAATGCGCACCCTGCTGTTCTCCATTCCGCCCGACTCCCCCTCAAGTCCCAGCATAGTTGCTGACAAGCTCCGTCGACCTCAGAAGCAATGGCCAACTCTCGCATGGAGACCCCGGATCTCGCCGTCCGCATCTGCAAGGTGGCCGAGAGATTCCTCATCTTCGAGCCGGAAGCCGCTGCGCTCGTGCGCCGCCAGCACAACATCAGCGGCACGCTAGTCGGCACCACACCCCAGCAACCCACCCAGAACATCTTCCTCGGCCTGCCCATCGAGCTACGGCCAGAAGAGGCCGATGCCTTGGTTCGGCTGGGCGTAGCGTACGTTGTAGACATCGCCGCGGCTCATCGGATGGCCCTGTCGTCTCTTTCCGCCGACACGGCGTCGCGGAACTCTTACATGGAGTATTTGCGTCGGCGAAAGCTGGCAGCACAGCAAGCACTTGCTGAAAGGAATGCGAGGAAAGCCGCAGAGATTGCCGACCGGCTCGGCCGACCTCGGGTTTCCCCGACTCAAGCACCCTCTCTCCTCATTGCCAGGGGACCTGGCTGTGGTCCTACCCCAGGCGCGTCGCCTCAACCCCATTCACGCCAGACCGATGCCCACGTAAGCAGCCTCACCCTGGTCTCTAGCAGTCATCTCATCCCCGGGATCGCCGACCACCAGCGCGGCATATCTGGAACGACAGGGGGGGCTCTCTGCCGCTTCCTCAAGGCAGGCGGCTACTACACAACTCCTGGTCTTCGATTCGGGGCCCAGTACAGCGTGTATCCCGGTGACCCGCTGCGTTTTCATGCACACTTCATGGCCAACCAGTACGAGTGGGATGACGAGATAGCCATTCTTGACGTCGTTAGCGGTGGGAGGCTTGCCACAGCTGTGAAAAAGTCCTTCCTTCTCAGCGGCCAACAGCCTCCTTCGGATGTAGCTCCAGTTCGAACCTTCAGCATGGAATGGGCTGCCATGTGATGGGCTCTTCGGTAATTGCTACCCGGGGCTCACGGCTGCAACCGCCGCGAATACACTTGCTCTACCAATATGAGTATATGACTTCCTGCCGGTCGATCCGAGGCTTGGCCCAGGACGAATTTATGTAGGCTCGTCTTCAATAAATGAAAACAAAGGACAATGACGCATATATTCCACGTTGTCACGTCCATTCATCCTGTTCTATTTACCCTCCCGCCGTCTCCAACCTCTTTACGATGTCGCGGTTGGGTCATGGCACGAAGATTCGGCTGAAGCTCATGACATCTCGCCGACAGCAGACGCACTTGTCAAAGTTGTTCATGGCCAGCGACACACGACAGTCGTCGCAGAGACTCAGGCAGCGACAGGGCCAGACAATGATGGTGCGTGGTGAGCTCTGGCAGACCACACATGGCGGACTCTCGGCGTACGCCCCGTTGCGGTCAGGTGCATGCGATCCGGAGTTTGCAAGCGTCCGACGGCGCGACAGCAGAATTTGCTCCAGTAAGCGTTCCTCATCGTCTGGGCCAAGCTTTGTCATGCGCCCTCCTAGGCCACTGTCGGGATTGAAAGACCCCTGGCCTGGCGTCGTCAAAATTTGAGCTCGCCGGAGTTTCTCTGTTCGCCGATACCCTGCTCTGGTCACGATCTGATCGCTCTGGAGATGAGCTGCAAGTCTCTGTGCGTCATCTCGATCTTCGCGACTGGTGGGATGTAGCAGCCGAGCAAGATCGCTCATGCCCAACGGACAGTCGTTGAAAGTCGAGCCGTCGTGACATATGAATGGCGAAGTTCGAGTCGGTGTCCTTTGCCCATCATCGTCAGATTCCCGATCGGGTTGCTCGTCCCCGATGCCGTCGGTAGTGCTCGTCGTCGATACCACGCTCGTATTGTCCCAGTCATCATCTGCCGAGTGAGGTTTGAAATCGCCGCTAGAGTCACTTGAGCCCCACCACCCTCCTTTCAACCAATATCTATACAAATCGAGTTCCAGACTCTCCTCGTCTGCGAACCCGCTGACCAGCCGGAACTCTGCCTCGACATCTATCCCGTCGTTTGTGGGAATGAAGCCAGCTTGGCCGTCTGGGGCAGGTAGCCGCCTGCCGCCGGAGTTATGCCCTGCACCCAGCGCTTGGCTCGACTCGTCCTCCGGTTTGGGACGGCGGGCAAGCCAAAGCAGCCACGCCGGCTGGGCTCGAATGCGTAGTTTGCCCAACATCCAAGAGCAAGTCAGGGCGCACACTCTTGCAACGAGTTTGCCAATGGTGAAGAGAAACTCCATTGCCATCAACCACCTCGAGCTTCTTTCAGTCGCTCCCGTCCCAAACCGCAGTCCCCGTTCACCGCGACTCTTGGGCAGTTTCTGTGCAGCACGCTCCCTGGCGTACCCGTTCGAAGTTGCGACCGAGCCCGTCTTGATGGGTATCAGCCCAATGGTGCCGGCCTGGTCAGGGCCTGAATTGGGCAGCCCCATTCCGATGCACTGCCGCTGTATCTCCTCAACTTCGCGCAAGCGTGCTTCCTCCAGCCATGTATGGCGCTGTAGGCTAACTCCGCGGTCCTCGTTCAGGTAGACTGCCTCGCTCGCCATGGTAATTGCTGAGAATCCAGTTCTCAACAGGGCCGTGTAAAAGTCCATCTCCCGTGTGACGCGGATGTCGGAAAGGGATATGTTGGCTTGCATGTTGCTGTGCGCGTGGGCCAGTCGTTGGCGGAAGCTCGACGGTGGCAAATCTTCTTCAGTTGACGGCACCAAGGCCGAGAGAAACAGGGCCAGGCCGTAAATGCATAGACACGCTATGATCCCGGCCAGCACGAGAACGTGCGGGACAAACCCAATGATGCAGACGGTTGGGAATCTCAGCAATCCGAGGGCAGAGGGGTTTCCAAGTTCAAAGGAGAAGACGCTCCAGACGATACTCGCCATGAAGCAGATCCCCCAAAGCCCCGTGTTGACAAGGCGAAATCTGGCTTGGAGATCAAAGACGCCCAAGATCTGACTGGTGATGTGAGCCATGGATGACAAGAATGCCACCAACAAAACCTCGGGCGCAGCGTTAACCCCCTTCAATACCATTGAGCGGGTCAGCGCAATGGCGCTTCCCAACTCCGACTCGCCTTTACCCGAGGCGCGTGAGGGATTCGCAAAAGCTGCCCAGCCTAGCTGATTGCTGACGGCCGCGTCAGCCTCGGCAAAAGCCAACGACTGTTCAAAGAGCGTCATGCCTGTTTCAGAGGCAGGGGCGCGGCCCTGGACCGCACAGGAGATGGTTTCAAGAAAATGGCTGAGGCAGAAAGTGCCGAATAGCGGCCACAGTTTCGGCAGAGACCCTTGAAGAGGTTGAGAGCTAGGTTGATCTTGCTGAGGTGTCATACCGACGGCGACGCAAGACTGCTCATCTGTAGCGCCCAGAAGGAGAGTAGAGCTAAGAGTGTTGAGCCAGGCATTCGGGTGTGAGAACATGAGTTCTGAGCTCTTCTTCTCGTCGCCCCATCGCAATCGAGCAAAATCAGGCGACGTCTGGCATTGTATTGACTGAAGCAAGCGGTACACTTGCATGACGAGGAGTAGAATCGGGGATAGACGAAGTAGAAGTCTGATGTGCCAGCGAAAGCGTACGCGTCGTCGTGTGGCGGCGAATATGTGAGTGCGGTTTAGGATGATGGCCATTGCAATGCATGACAGAGCCCATTTGCTGGTAGCATAACTAAAGACGCTGCCGAGGCCCCGGGCGCCTTCCAAGGGCAAAGCAGATGGCTGCATCGGTATATCCTCGCCCGAAGATCCGAGAGAGGGTGCAGCGGAGTCACTGGGTCTCAGGATGTTGTAGGTGTTCGGGTCGGGAGCGATGGAACGGAGCATTTCTGCCGTGGTGGACGCATAGTGGTGCGAATGCGTATCCAGCGACGCAGATGAGGCCATGTAGGACCCCAGCTTCATGAATACACGCGGGCCAGCCCGGACAAGCTCTTCAAGGAACGGGGCGTAGCGCGTCACGTTGACCCAGCCCGTCAAGTTGTACCAGCCCGAGGCGCTCGGTGCCTGCAAACTGGAAGCAGGCGGCGTTGGGGCCAACGAGGCCAGAGTAGGAAAACGGGGATGCTGTTCCATATCGGGGTGCGTGGAGATGAGCGTCGGCGGTCAACAGGGTGCGGTGACGAGCGGCCGGCTCTCGAGAGGGTTGGCCTATTGAGCGTATCTCTAGGGTGCGAGAACGGTGACCGGAGGACACGGTCGATGACGAGACATTGTCGAGCGTGGCCAGAGTTAGCCGCAGCTGGCCGTTGTTCACCCAGGACAGCTGAGCGACGGGGGAAGAAGGCACCTCTGTCCGGGTTGGTCGGGAGAAGAAGTCTTAGCAGACGTGTCGTCGCGGCTGGGGGACCCGGCAGGAACGCGGAAGAGCAGGACGGGAATGGTAGTGGGTGGGAGTTTGTCATCCCCCAGCAGGTACTCTGTACACAGACCAGCACCCCTCAAAAGTCCGCCATTCTAATTAACCACTGGCTCGCTTTTGCGGGGTAATGCTTGCAGATTTCATGTGTTTCCGCTTCAAGAAATAGATTCTTGACGCTTAATTGTTCAGACATATCAAAACATTGCGAACAAAAGGGAGTAAAGTGTCTCTGATGCTATTTCATAATATATTGTCGATTACATGACTTTCCTCTACCAAGCAAATCATCATCAGTCCTGCTGCAAACGTTAGTAAGAGACTAAAGACAGCATTTGTTTAAACACATCACAGAAGCAAGTATCTTGTCAGACTAGCCAGTTTACTCATATGTCCCGGCCGGTCCCTCTTCTAAGCAGGCTCAAAACGAGAAACTCATCAAAGGGGCACTAAAGTCGAATTACACCGGAACAGCAACTCCACCACTCATCATTGCAAGTAAATGCTCGAGTGCGGAAGAACGACTCGGCCGGAACAAAATTGTTGAATGGATATAACTTGAATCATCACATCTTGCCCCAGCACCTCACGAGCAGTGTCCCGTGTTGGGCGTTGCACGTACCTGATGGTGGCGAGGTAAAGTAGTAGCCGGGGCGAGAGAGTGTTCCTAGTTCTGGGATAACGAGTCAGTAATGTGCCTTTTTCAGCGTATAAGCAACGTAAAATAGGGCGTTGTTGTGCCGTCCTTTGACCATCAGAGATCTTGGTATGGTATAGGTATTCATCACGTGTGTTCAGAAGCAGAACTGAATGTAATGGTTTTCATCATTGAGTCAGGAGGAAAGTCGGGGGTTTGCAGGACAGATAAAGAACCAGAGGATCGACTCACAGTCACCTATGCTGGAGCCGAGCACGCCTCGGCTCAAGCAGGCCGTCGACGTTAGTTTCGTAGCACCGTAGCAGGGTCTGCAAAGCTGGGTCAGTAACGCGGGCTGCGGACACGGGGTATGTGCAAAAGCTCCAGAGACCGCTTCCAGCCAGGATATCAGATGGTAGTGCATGTTTGTTCGAGCGCTCAGGGATCACGGGAACAGTGGAAGGTAGATTATCATCATTTGGGAAAGGGGGAGTGAAGAATTTGCCAGGCACGCGGGTGCCTTCGGGTTAGAGGGTGAAGACCGGCACTCACCATCAGTCACAGGTGGTTGACCTCTCGCCATCACAGTGCCAAGGTGAATTGCTGGTCAGTTTACAGACTCATTGTTCAAGAGTACTGTCCATGCAAAGCCCGGCCGCGTAATCAAGCCGCAGCATCGCAAGGCGGAGGATGAGATGCGGACACTCACGCAGCGTTGCTGCGGTGGTTGTTGTTGTGCGAAGGCGGATGGGTGACCACTGAAGAAAATTTTGCCAAATTTGAGCCCTTAAATGCTTAAATGCTCGATTAGAGGGTCGCGGCTGATATAAGCTCGCCCAAGTGCATGGGAGTTTCACGCTCAAAGTAACAAGGGTGCCTGTGATTATTTAGGTATCGGGGCCCAAGGTACCTAGGTAGGTTGTCGTAGCTGGGGAGGAGGAAAGTGGCACAGTACATCAGTTGCCTGATTATGAAGTACCAAGTACCCGCCGAACTGTGCATCTCGATCAACGCGCCTAGGTAATTACAGTACAGTAAAGTAGGTAGGAATGTGTAGGTAATTTTCTCCTGCCCAATTGGTACCTCTCGTGCTGAATTCCAGCTGCATCCTGCAGACCCCCACGACTCTTGATACCGACTTTGAGACCTGATGGGACACCAACAAGCAAACCAGACGGCTGCATAAACCATGGCTGACCGTAGACGAGTTCACGGGCCAGGAGGCTCGTTATGTCTCCCTTCTTATGATGACGACGTCGACGTTGCTCTCTCAAGTCGCGACCGGGAGCTGGAAAATATCCGGGCAGTTTGTGAGACTCAAGGCCCCAAGTATGTCCCTCCAGCACGCTGACGGCGCAACAGATCTCAAAACAGGAGTGACTCCCTCGGCATCAGGGTCCGCGTACCTGGAAATTGAACCTACGCGAAGGACTGGCTCTGGGGGCATGAAGCTCACCTGCACGGTTCACGGCCCGAGATCTCTCCCTCGCTCTGCGCCCTTCTCGCCGCACATGGTTCTTTCCACTCACGTCAAGTACGCGCCATTCGCAACGAATCAGAGAAAAGGCTATGTTCGTGATTCAAGTGAGCGAGACTTGAGCATTCATCTCGAGACTGCTCTCCGTGGCGCCATGATTGCCGACCGCTGGCCCAAAAGCGGCGTGGATGTGGTGGTCACGATTATTGAGGGAGAAATAGCCAGCCGTGCTACTGCGGACCCGGGGCTTGAAGCAGTGAACACGATGAACATTCTGAGCGGGTGTATCAATGTTGCCGCCGCGGCAATCGCCGATGCCGGGATAGACTGCGTGGATACGATATCTGGAGGCGTTGCCGCTCTCATGGTGGACAATGACGCGACAACGGTGGTGATAGACCCGGTGCCGTCCGACCACGACTCTATACTGGCGGCCTGCTGCGTTGCGTATCTCCCTGCTCGCGACGAGATCACAAACCTTTGGCTCAAGGGCCGCTTGCCGTCGGGGGACAACAATGCTCATCAAAGGCTCGTCGCCTGGGCCGTCCAAGCAAGTAAAGCATCGAGGCAAGCCACTGCCGTCGCTCTCCGCAAGGGGCCACCAGGAATGCAATAGAGTTCTTATATATAGTCTAGGCAGGTTAATAAAAGCGTCTATATAAAGCACACCTATATATATATATATATATAGTAGGTGAGTAAGTATCTCTAGAATATTATAATAAAAATAAAGTATATACTAGTATTTTATTTTATTATTAAAGGTAAAGTAAAGGTATTTAAAAAAATAACTATAATATAATATTATACTACTATATATATAAATAAGTAGGTAAATATACTAAGCTAGCTAAAATATAGTAGAGTATTACTATTTATATAATAGTATATATTATTATTATTATTATTATTATTTTTAAGATTATACTAAGTACTTAGCTAAAAGTATTTAGAACTTTAATATTAAATAAAAGGGAAAAACTAAAGTATATAAAGGAAAACCCTCTCCTCTTTTAGTATAGGTTTTATTACGGAGTAGGTAAAGGCGTATATATAGGTACCGTTTATAGGATAATATTAATAAGCTATATAGAGCTCTCCTATACGCGGCTAGCCTATATATATAAATATAGGATCCGGCCCTCTATATATAACTATATAGCTTAAGCTATAGCTTAAGCTTATAACCTATAATAGTTAAAGACTTTTATATAATACCTTCCCTTAAGTATAGCGCGGCGCTACTTAATTAATAGCTTTTATATTATTAAGCCTATACTACTAGCTCTACCCTACCCTCTCCTATTAATTATACTAGCCCTACTAGCCTTATTATCCCTATACTTATTAGCCTAGGTAGCTAGAACTAGGCTCTATACTTATTAGCTAGCTAGCTATTTAAATAAAAGCATAACCTATTATATACGCTCCTAGGTAGCCGGCGGCTAGCCTAGACCTATATAAGAGATATATATTCTTTAACGAATTAAAGTTCTTATTATATTTCTTTATATAATTTTTATAGTTAATCTACTTATAGTATTACTTATTTTACTTATAGTTCTTATCGAGTAACCTTAAATACTTCTAGGTTATATCTATAATTAGCGTATACTAAAAGAGCTTAGTTATTTTTATAACTAAGCTATTATAAGCTAGTTATACTATTAATAGCTATTTAACTTAATCGTTTTATTTATAGTTAATATAGTATTATAAGTATTATTTAAGCGTTTAGTTAAGTTGTTTTATTTATCTATCTATTTATAGGTAATAAGCTATACTAAGCTTATATTTTATTCTTAATTATACTATAAGAGCTTACTAAAATTTAGCTATAAATATACTTTCTTTATTAAAGATAATCTTATTTAATAGTCTATAATTACTAATAATTATTTATAGGAATATATATACTAGCTCTTTTATATTACTTACTTCTTTATATAGTAAAAGTATTTATACTTTATTAATCTATTAGTAATAATAAATATACTATTATACTTAATATTAGTTATAGGTTCTTTTAATAGTAATAGCTTTATAATATAGTCGAAAGCTATTAAATCTTATAGTTTCCTTAGTATTAGTAGCGGTTATAATTCTTTATATAGTTTATATTATATAGCTTTACTTTATATATAAAGTTTATATTCTTTAATAACTTATTATACTACTTCTTTAAGCTATAAGAAGTTATATTATTATTTAATCTATTTTATTATTCTTTAAATTCCTTAGTATCTATATATTAAATATTTATATATATCTTATATAACTTTATCTTATAATTTTAGTAGTATCTATATTTTATTTTTATATATTAAAACTTCTAAATATTTTATATTATATCTATTTAGTACTTTATATTCTTTTATTTACTTTAAGATCTTTTAATATATTAAGTCGTTAGGTTATACTTTAAATATTATATTTAGCTATCGTTACTAGTAGTTCCTATTTTTATTAATTTCTAGGAGCCGTCCTTTTACTATAGGTACTCTTATATTATAGTTACTTTATTAACTAAAGGTATTAGCTTAACCGTTTTCTATTTCTTTTTTATAGATTATTTTATAGTTAAATTCTAATAAATATTTAGCTTATTAGATTTATTATCTATTTAACTATTATATTATTATAAAATATAAGATATTCTTATAATCTATATAGACCTTAACTTTATATTTACTTCTAAAAAGGTAATATTAAAATTCCTTAAAAAGCTTAAATAATTATAAGGAATTCTTTATTATAAATAAGGTAATTAAGTTCTATGCTATATAGCTTTTTTAAGTAAAATATAATTAGTTATAGTCTTTCTTTATTATCTTTTTATTTAATTTATACTCTTAAAGTAAAGTTTAATATATTAGTTTTAAATTCGATTTATTATTTTAAATTAAAGGTAGTTAAGACTAGTTTTTATATAATTATAGTTTTAATATATTTAAAAGCTTCGTTAGCTTTATTATCCTATATAAATTCTTTTTCCTTTTTTATTAAGTTATATAAAAGTACTATAATCTTTCTAAAATCTTTAATAAATCGTTAATAGTAATTTATAAATCCTAGGAAACTTTATATATCCTTAACGTTCTTTAGTATTAGCTATTCTTTAACTAAGTTAATCTTATCTTATTATATTTATATCTTTCTTAGTAAGATTATATATTTAAGGAAGTTTACTTCCTATATATAAAACTTACTTTTCTTTAGTTTAACTAGTAACTTTCTATTTTAAAGTATATAAAGTACCTTATAAATATATTCCTTATATTATTTTAAAGTATCTAAGGAGATTAAGATATTATTTAGGTATATTACTATAAAGATATCTAAGTATTTACGTAGGATATTATTAATTATCTATTAAAAGGTAGCTAGTATATTTATAAGTCTAAATAGTATTACTAGATATTTAAATAGTCTAAATTTTATTTTAAAATCTATTATTTATTTATATCCTTTTTTTATATATATTAAGTTATAGGCGCCTTTAAGATTAAGAGCTATAAACTATTTTTTACTATATAATCGATCTTATAGTTTTAATATAAGTAGTAATAGTATTCGGTCTTTTATTATAATATCGTTTAAGCGTTTATAGTTAATAACTAATTATAGCTTTCTATTTTTCTTTAAAATAAATATAATTAAGTAGCTTACTTTAGATATTAACGTTTATATATATCCCTTTTATAGATTCTTATTAAGGTAGTTATATAACGTTTATAGTTACTATTTATTTAAGTTATAGATTTTATAGAATGTTAGCGTTATTTTATCCTTAAAATAAATTTTATAGTCTTATTAGCTATATTTAAGTAACCCTATCTTAAGTTCTTCCTTAAAGAGTTTATTATATTTCTAGTATTCTTAAGGGATATTCTTTATTCTATCTTATAGGCTTTATTCTTTCTTTTAAGAGCTAGTTTCCCTTAACTTAAGCTCTTTATTAATTTATTTAAGGTCTTTTCTTAAAGTAATAATAACTCTTTAAATCTTTTATATTATATCCTTTATTTTATTTATATTAAATACTAAGTTATATAGCTATATTAATTAGTATATAGGTCTTATTAATCGATTTTATTATATATATATTAAATCACCCGCTCTAGGACGGATATAATAGAACCTTAGATAGCGCGATATAACTTATATAAGAGGCGATAAGGCTATAACTTAAACTCGCTACTTAAAGAGGGGAGTATATAAGATTCTTCTACGGCTAAAGGGATAGTACTATTAACCTAGCTTAGGCAACGCTAGAGACTAGAACACGGTATACTAGGCCCGACCTAGACTTAACCGGGTTAGACTATATCCCTTAAACTATTATACTATAGGTCGATACCTAGGCCTAGGTACCCGAACTAGCCCTAAGGTAGAAAGAAGCGGAAGTAAAGCTAGTTAAAGCTAAGACTACGTCCTAGCTAAGACTATACTAGCTAATGCTCTAGATGCCTAAGGATATCGATAAAGACCTAGACTATATCTTTACTACTTTAGCGTAGATCGCGATAGCTACGGTTCCGCGCTAAGGGCGAGTATTACCTAAGGGCAACGTATAGTTTACCCTAGAGGTAAGGAGGGTAACGAGGGAGGCTAAGAAGGTAAGGAGGAAGTATAGGTAAGAAAGGAACGAGGCGAACTAAGAAGACTTATATAAGGCGTTTATAGCTTAAAAGTAGACCGTCCGCGAGGCGAGGAGGGCCTACTAGCATAAGTTTCTAAAGGAATTTAGCGCTAATAATACTAAGCTCTAGAACGTAGAGAGGTAGGTAAGACTCTATAGTAGGCTACTACCGGAACCGACTTATATCCTACCGCTAGTTAAGGAAGGTAAAGACTAACTAACGGAAACCTTTAAAGGGAAGGCCTAGCTACTAGCCGCTAAGTTCTTCCTACTAAAGGCTAGTACGACCTAAGGGCTACCTTAGCCTATAGCTAAGGCGACCTTTATAGTTAACTAATAGATCTAGCTAGCTAACGTTATAAGGGCGCTAGGTAAGATGGTAAGCTAGAAAGCGGTAGGTCTAAATAGCGTCCCTTTAAGGTTTATTAAGAAGTATAGCCTAGCCTTAGTTTAGCGACTAGCTATAATCTTTAATACCTATACCTAACTCTTATATTTCCTAGGTTAGTTCTATAGCGCGAACGTAGTAGTTATCTAGAAGCTAGGTAAGAGGCTAGACGCTTACTATATAGTAAGGGGTTAGAGACTAATCTCCCTCCTACCTATAGTAGGAAAAGTACTTAAGTAAGTACTAGCTTAGAAGATTATAGGAGTAGCGGAGGCGAACGGTATCCTACTAAACGGATAAATAGGAAATAGGAGGGAACGCTCTATAAAGGCGGCGATCCTACTAATAATAAAACTAGTATACGTAATATAGGCCTAGAGGGGCATTATATTATTCCTATAGCTAGATATTAAAAGCGTATTTAATATAGTTAACTATAATAAGCTTATAAAGGAACTAAAGCTTAGGGGATACCTTAGGTAGCTTATAAGCCTAATATAGAGCTTTATAAGTAATAGGAGATCGACCCTTTACTTTAATAGGAGGACCTTAAAGCTAACTTAAGTATTAATAGGAGTCCCTTAAA